GGATTTTTACGGCTGCGTCCTTTGTGATGCGCTCTTTGGCGACGTCTTTCTCGAGGAGTTTGTCTACGAGGAAAATTTAGCCGGAGCACGCACATACCTCCGTGGGGAGGCCGATATAGCACATACCGGCGAACTTGAGGCCCTTGTCAAGCGAGGCTTGAGAGTTATCAACCAAAGTGACAGGCACACCAGCCTTTTGAGCAGCAACCAATGCGATTCCCAAACCCTAGTCGCTTACGTTAGAGATGTAGCCCATCAGATGATATGCCCACTTTCAAAAGAAGACGTGATTAATTACCATCTGACCGGCGCCAATAACGGCCACCTTGTGAACCTCGGCGGCCGCCTGCGTAGCGGGAGAGGTGCTAAAGGCTCTGGCCCCAATTGAAGGGATGCCGGCCGTGAGGCTCTTCGTAGCTGCGGTGCGGAACATTATTGTGTCTTGACAAGGGACAAACTCGGGGAAAGGAGGTGTTCAAGGACGAAGCTGGACCGGGGCTTGACTCTGCAGTGAAATGTTTACAGTGCTTGCGAGCTGCTACAAGGGCTTCACAACCGCGGACAAGCGGCAGTCATGTGCTTCACGTCATCGCGCTCGGGAGATTTCGGTTAACTTCGGATTATCGGAAAATCAATATCTCCGGTTAAGTTTGTGTGGAAGTCAATCTGATAAGATAAGGTTCACCAGCGAATCACTTGCAAGCAGCGTTCTTACAGGCGCGTCGCGACGCGTCGACCGCCAAGGCACCGAGATTGGTGTTGTTGCTTCCCGAAACTTCAACATCGACTGTCCGGCACCGCTCTCCACCATCTAATGACGTTGCGACAGCTATGGCAGAGTGAGCACTCGACTGCTTGGGCTGGAATTATCATTGAAACAGTGCAGCAATGGAGATCGAGCCGCCCCAGGCCGTGGAAGTTGTTGATCCCGAAGTCCGGTCATATGTGTACAGCCTCGTCACCGCGGTCAGTAACCCTTATATGGTACATTTTTGGGGCCCATTGCTGATGTGAACCAGCTTGGCGGTACTGCTGGCAATGAAACCGGGCGATATGTGCTGGGCGACGACGCGCTTGGTTGTCTACGCGACCTTAAAAAATGGCTGAGATTCTATGATGAAAAGCTCAATCGCATGGACGTTGCGCGATGCCTCGCGGAATGCAAGCTTCTCAACGGCGATTTAGTGCCGATCATATCGTTGTACGGTGATGCGGAACAAAGCGATAAGCATAAGGCAAGGATTATGCTGGCTTGCTGTGAGTATATCTTTCCCTTTTCTCGAAACTCTTTGGGATTCGATTCTCTGATATTGACGCGAGTAGTGGAATTGCTTGTACCTTTAACATGGCCCGTGGAGGTTCATGGCCAGATGACATTCAATCATCACAGACACACGCCGTATCTCCAGTATTCTCAGGTCGAATACAAACGCGGAATCCTTGGGTTTGCACCTTCGCCAATACTGCGTGCACTTATTCGGGTCGGTCTACCCAGCATGGCGATTCCACGATCCGAAAGGTCTACCAGAGATGAGGGGATCATAAGGCTTATGTTGTATTTTTTCCGAAATATTGCAGTTATCAGTTCACCGCCAAATCTACCCATAGATAGCGATGACGACAAAGCTACAAGGTCTGCAACTATCAACGCCTTTCAACAGCAGGATGTGTTTGCTCTCCTGTTGACCATGTGCTCTAACATGGGCAACGATTTTACCTTTCAAGATGTTATAATACTTGAAATTTTATTCAACCTAGTCAAAGGTGTGGATGTTGACCAACTCTTCAAGCTTAACGAACGTGCTGGTACGATCAAAACGGATGACCTACAAGATATTTTGCAAAAGGAGGATGAGTTGAATCGAGAACATTCTAAAAATGCCCCGACCCGCCATGGTCGATTTGGGACTATGATCTGGGTCAAGAGAGACGATGAAAAGCTTTCTACCGTTTCGGGCCAGGACGTGCTGAAAGGTGACAGAGCGACCTTTTTGAAAATGGATAAAACAAAAAAGTGGAACAAGCCGAAATTTAAAAGGGAGGTGGTCGATCCGTCGTCAAACAACTTCAATCTGAAGGTCAGACTCACTTCGTCAGCTACAAAGCACTTGCGAACTTTTGTGGAAGAATTTCTAGATTCGGGATTCAATCCGTTGTTTACTCACCTCCGGAAGGCGATTGAACGCGAAGCAGACCGTGTCACCGAGTCAACTTCTCGACAATTCTGGTATGCTGTCTCGTGGTTTTTACACGCTGAGCGGGCACGGCGAGAGCACCAGAAGGAAACACGTCAACGAAGTAAAGGAACATCGAGAGAAATCGAACCGGACAGCTTCTCTCTTGTGGCAAGTGTACTCAACCAGGAGACATTCGTTGGCTTGAATAGGTTCATGCAGCACAGCATCGATTTCAAGGATTGGCAAGATCTTACCGCAGGGATGAAATGCCTCACACAAATTCTATTAACAGTGCAAGAGATGGCAATATCCCCTCTTGAAGAAGACCAGGAAATCGCAGAAAATATTCAAAGTCGCATATTCTATGAGGAAACCACGCATGATCGGGTATTGTCTATTTTGCGGAATTATAAAGATCAAGGGTTTTGGTACCTAGATGCATGCACGGAGCTTGCACACGTATTCCTTCGAATGCTTGAGCAGTACTCAAAACAGAATGTCGACATGCAGGTCCGGTCACGTAGACGAGCTCGCCGAAAGCAGGCTCAAGCGGCTGTCCCGAATCAAAACGAAACTGAGGCAGGTGGCGAGCACGACTCCGACACGGAGGATATTGCAGAAGCACACCAGACAGTGACTGAGAGATCCTTTGATTTTAAACGATTTTCAGTGAGATTCTGCACACAGAAATCTGTGGACACTTTTGTTGCTCTCACCAAGTACTACCGGGAATTAGATTCAGAACAGCTCAAGCGAGCGCACCGTTTTTTCTACAGAGTTGCATTCAAGCAAGACATGAGCGTTTTGCTTTTCCGTGTGGACATTATCTCGCTCCTTTTCAAAATGATCAAGGGCCCCGAAGGACTTGATCCGTCGAAACCGCCATTTAAGGATTGGGAAGAACTTATCCGCCAGATATTTAAGAAACTTGTGAGGAAGCTTGGTGAGCGTCCAGAATTGGTTGTCGAGCTGTTGTTCAGCAAAATCAACGCCACAGTATTCTATTTGGAGTACGGCCATGAGAAGCAAACTATGTCAGAGTCGAGACCAGCGACGGAGTTGGAGCTCAAACCTGGCAGTGCTTCAACTCTAGATGAGAAGATACGAATTGTTGTGTCTGCATTGATTCAGGAAGATAAAAAGCCACTAGTTAAGTGGTTATCTCAAGTGCTAGGCTCGGCTGCGAGTGAAAGGTTGAGTTGGGAAATGGAAGCGGAAGCTAGAGCTACTTCATCTCCACAGGAGCAGTCGGACAGGTCAAAAGCTCCTTCAATTGGTGAGACTAGATTCCGTTATTCAAACAGAGCCCTTTCGCTAATGTTCAAATAGCGGTACTGCCAGAAGATGACGGATGTCGCACCGCGATGTTCAGGAATGCACGTTTACGGCTCTTGATGAGGTTAGCCGGCCTTGAACGTTTGGATGAGGACGTCCTTGGAGCGTCTTGGATGATTCCATCGTCGGTACCATCGTCAAATTTGAAAGAGTACCACGAATTAATCGAAAAACATTGTGAGAGTCCGGCAGAAGATATTGATGGCGTAGACCCACGAGATCTAATGCGCCGTAAACGGACTGCTGCGGATACCGATTCCTCTCGTCATGAGTTTACCGAAAATGTCAATTTTGGAAGTGATTCGGAAGGAGAAGATGATGGCGTTCTATTCCCGCCAAATCTCCCCGAAAGATCCAAAGCCCTCAAAACGCTTAAACAGAGGAGGCGACGGAGACGGAGGAGTGATGACGCCGAAGAAAGTGGCCCAGATGAGGCAGTCTTGGAGGCTCGACGGACTGCCCGAGAGAAGAATGCCCTGGAACGCCAACGAAAGATTAAAAGTGATCTTTATGTTCACGCAAGTGATGATGAGTCCGATGAAGAAGCAGACATAGAGTTCTTCGCTAAAGAAGAGATGAGACGACAGGCTCAAGCCCGGCGCGTGGCAGAAGCCCTGGAGACGGGAATGCCAGAAAACAACACAACCAAAAAAAAATCAAAGGCCAGCGCAGGCCGGAAGCGTAAGGTTAAACCAGTCCTCGAGTTGGATGACGATGACAGTGAAGCCAGCCCGCCGAAACGCCGACGTAGCGACGAAGTAATAGAGTCAGACAGCGACGGTGAGCTCATGGTTGGCATTGGGTCCACTTCACCTCGCCGGTCCCAGACGCCACCCACCTCAGCCGATAATATCTTTGGATCTGAGAAATCCCCGAGCCCAATGTTTCCCTGGAGTGTCGGCGTGGATCAGATGATGGCCAAACTCCAGGGGAAAGACGAGGCGTCTGCCGACAATGGAGAAAGCAATGAAGATGAAGGCGAAGATGTTCTGTCGGGGACAGGGCGTACTCGCCGACGGCGCACCATGGGCGGCTTTGTTATTGGTAGCGACTCCGATTCATGATGGACATTCAACGATAACGCTGTTCTGATTAGTCTTGTTGCATTTCAGGAGTGTAGTCGGCGTTATCGGGTGTTAACTATGCATGAGTAGTAGTTAGTGCTTCGTTTAGATGCGGACTTTGTCGTGTTTGATACCAGCTAGCGGCAATGTTTATATATGCATGTGAATTCTTTAATGTTAGGTTCGAAGACGGCGCAGATCAATCGTCTCTGCTCACCGTGATGCTCCATTTCTACATTGTTGTTTCTTCTCGGCTTAGTGTGCTGTGCTTTTGGCAAAAATCGTAGCAACCTGCAGCCATTGCGCTTTGATGGTCCAATTCTCCCACCCCCAATCCTTTCCGAAGCTACGAAACAGATTTCAATTGACTTTTAAGTGCGGATGTTATGAACTTTAATCATCATCCGCATCCAACCCCGAATCACGCCTTATGATTGATCGCGGGGTATGGAGTGGGAGTCAGCCATTGCCTTCGTGCTCTATATAAGATAGACTGCAGACCCCCTTAACTTCATTTCTCAATTGATTTTACATTATCATATTTAAAGCATCTCAGGAATTAACAGCCCAGCAATGGCAAAGTCACTTCACTACGTCACTCTCGACGTCTTCACTACCAAGCGGTTCGAGGGTAATCCCTTAGCCGTCGTTTTCCTCGAGCACCCTCAGCAAATATCCCAAGAACAAAAGCAGCTCATTGCCCGAGAGTTCAATTACTCAGAAACTATATTCGTTCACCCACCGATACCTGGTCAACAAAGTCGCAAGATTGACATCTTCACCCTGGACCGAGAGCTCCCATTCGCAGGCCATCCCACCATCGGTGCAACATACTGGTTCCTCCGATCACAGGGTTATGGAACTACCGAGCAATCGCCCTCTAGCCTCCTGACAAAAGCTGGAGAAATCCCTATTTCATTATCTACGGAGGATTCTAATAAGGTCGCCGCCTTGATACCCCACAACGTGCGCATTCATGCCGCAAGAATGTCGTTGGCGGAACTGCTTAGGCTGCATCCAGAGCTCGAGCCTTATCTAGATGCTTCGGCTCATGCGGAAGGATTCCCGGTGGTCTCTATTGTCAAAGGCATGTCTGCTGTGCATGTTCGCCTGCCTAGCCTTGAGGCTCTAGGCAAAATTACCACCCCGACTGGAGGTTATTTGATCCCTGCTGCAAACCCAGCGGGCGGCGGATATCTTGACGAAGGATGGGATGTCCTAGGACATGTGGCGATCTATTTCCGCGTTCACGACGTGTGGGATGAGAAGCTCCAGAAGAATGTTATTCGCAGTCGCATGCTTGCTGGCACCTTGGAAGATCCGGCTACGGGAAGTGCTTGTAGTGGAATGTGTTCATATCTGAGCTTAACAGAGGGAAAATCTGCAACATACCAGGTTGTGCAAGGCCAAGAGATGGGGCAGAGGAGTGAAATTGCAGTTCGTGTAGAGCTGAAGGATGGAATGAAGGAGATCCAAAGTGTTCAGTTGCAGGGAAATGCAGTCAAGGTTGCTGAGGGAGAGCTTTTTGTTGGAGATGAATAGCGGATATCTCTGCTTGCATTGACAAATCTAGGCATCAATGGGAAACAGTTTGTCAATGTCCAGGACACAATACCAATACAAAAAACTTCCAAGTGCAAGAGAAAATCATGGCTCATCCGGAATGTGTCTGTTCGTCCAGTGCCCCGTATGGGCCTGGGTAACTGCCGACGATATCTTCCTATATCTATTCATTGCTTCATTTGCATCCATTGAATATACATCACCCAAACATCACCTGTACATGGAACAGCCATATGGAATAGCTCGATCATTCTTTCTCTCCTCTCTCTCTCTTTTTCTTTTTCTTTTTCCTTTTTTTTTGTCTTTCCAGGCTGGAGGGTGCGACGAGCATGCCGCTGTCCAAACATACCACGTCCAAGCAACGGCGAACCCCCTTCATTATCCCTGAGGTGAACTCATCAACCGCTGAAGTCTCCTCCGCCTCAAATGGCAAACAAACAGGCCGCAAAGCATCTCTCGCTGTTTCCCTCCAAAATTTTGCAAATCGCACTTTCCAGGCCCTGCCACGCCGGGTAAACACAGGGAGCGACAACGCCGACGCGACTGCGGCCCCGAAGCTGCGCCATTCCTCCGCGAAGCTTCTGATCTCAAGGCCGGTATCAAAGCTGCCAATCCCGCAGTCACGGCCGTCTACATCGAGCTCCTTTGTTCGAATCCCACCTTCGGGATCAAATGTTCCTCCAGTACCACCCCTGCCTGCGCGTGGATCAGAGTCGAGAATACCAACGTCCAGTCGAATACCAGCGCCGACCGCGCGACAACTTGAATTAGAACCCCGGGCTGCTAATTCTGATTCTAAAGCCGACACGTGTGCCAACTCAAGAACGAGCGGATATAACCACCTCTCACCTCAGCCAAAGCCATTTGTCGCGTATGAAGACGTGAAGGCCTTAACACGGAACAAAGCTAGTCCAAAGGATAAACAACAAGGGCTCGAAACGTTGAAAGTGAAGGATTCTAAGTCAGAAAGAGACACAATAACCGGCCAACCTGCCAACTCGACGCCCTTCCGGAAGCGGATGATAACCTTTAGTCATAGGAGGACATCAGCAACAGCATCAGGTAAATCGATACGGGCAAGTGACATGGGAATTCCAAAATCAACGTCGATGACAGCCATCACTTCTTCACGTCGGGCATCGGAAATACCGCCAGTTTGTTCTTTTCATTCCCTTCATGCACCGCCAAACAGCCAAGTTAAATCGCCCAGTACATGCGGTTTGAATATCGGAGCCAACCCTGGACAGACTCCAGATCGCGCAACAAGCCATACACATCGAACACTTAGCAACGCATCAGGGGCAACTTCCCTCACCTGCAGCCCCAGGGAGAGGGACCTGCCGCTGCCACCGATCCCTTCGTTACCCAAGAGCTATTCTGTCGGGAACGTAAGGATTGATGGCCAATCTGAAAAGACGCCTCTTCCAGTCTCATATCAAACACCGGCCTCTCCCAGAACCCCAGAGGACACGCGCGCGCACATGAGTTCGATGTCAACTCTAGGTCATACGCATGACGCACCCAAGCCCAAGGATAGCAAACGAAGCAGTCGCCCTAGCGATGCAGTTCTAAACTGCTATGTGACGGCCAAGTACTCAACTGTGTCCGCACACATTACCGAACCACTATTAGACCTGACTCCGCCGCGTCCAACACATTCGCCCACCCATGTGTGCCTAAGATCTGCATCTCCTAGGACACTTTCAGTTAAAGCATGCAAAAGGACCGAAGAAAATGTCAATCTGGTACGTGCTTCTGCGCATCATATAACTCCATCCAAAAAAAATATTGAAACTGACAGTCAACTTCTATCAGGTCACGCGCGCCCAGCCGCAACACTATTGGCTTGGTCGGCTCTCAACGCTTGTGAATAGCCTCCAGTACGAAGATGCATTCAACGAACCAGATCCATACATTACCTACCGCGCGCCGTCTAGAACCAAAATTCTCAAGACTTGTGGGATAGAGAGTGCTGAAGAATTCAACATAAAGAGAGCCTTCGCAGCGCTGGAGCGGGCGTGCATGACTGATGAAGCAACAAAAAGTCTCAACGAATTTAAGGAAGAGTATGAGCGCAAATACACGAAGTCGGGGACTCCAAAGCCGGATAAAAGTTCCAGGACCGGTATGAGAGAGAGGCAGACGGCGATTCGCGTGAAAATGAATATGGAGAAAAAGGACTAGGATGCGAGGATGCGCGGCTGCGTGGATATTTTTGACGATAGACAGATGCAATAACCGTGATATCCAATTAAGCCTTTAATATTCCATTGCACGTTAAAATTGCTTTGGTATCTGAACTTCCCAAAATAACGCGATCCTACCAGTCCCAGAACCCATTAATACCTTACCTTGTCTATTGCAGTAGAAACACCATGCGGTCCATGCGTGAGCAAAATGAACAATCAACTTCTAGAGGCTCTACTTCTCAAAAAAGCGGCGACTTGCTCATGTCTCGTGACAAAGAACATTCTTCGTTTCTCTGATTTCCAAACTAAAACACCGATTTCCTCTGCGTACCGGCACGGGGCTTCAAACTCCGCCGAAGATGCGAAATCTTTGAACAAAAATCCTGGTGTGGCCTTCAGCCTATCACGTTCTAACTGCCAGAGCCGGATTTGATCAACGACTGTGGGCGGTAGAACAGACGCAAGAAGTCCAGCTGTGGTTGAAGTGGACTTTGATGCGTTTACTTTTCGCATCTGGGGGTGAGCATGGGTCGTGAGGTAAGATATTATTTGGTCGGCAGTGATGCCCATTTCGACGGCGCGACGGATGGATTGGCGTGTTAGCTTTCCCGTAACAAGGTTGGGAAAGCGGTATTTAAGTGTTGTGAAGAGTGCGATGAGGGAAATTTGAAGAGGGGAAGAGGTATACGCGTATAAGCGGTAGTTTGTTTCGATGATTATGAATCCTGTGCCTGGCGCACCAGTAGCGGCGTTTATGTTTGGACCAGCTGGAGCAAGGTTGCCTGAGATCGAGCTGGAGAGAGCCATGGAGTCGGATGTAAGCGTTGTTGCCAATCGAGTAGGGTAAAAGCGTGTGGATTCCGAAGCAGGGGAATGTTGGTAAACGATTCCGAAATCAGTGAGGTCGGCAAGGGTACGGAGTTGCGTTGAAGTTAGATGCTTTTTGTCGTAGGATTGCCCTAGCTCCAAGCTACTGAGGAGGAAGAGAAAGGAGAGCACCTCGACGCTATCCATTCCGATGGCTTCGGCGTTCTCGACGTAGAGGATGAGAATATGCCAGACCTGAGTATTGACATCTTGCAATACAAAGGCAAACCCTTCCTTGGTGATTTCCACTCTGCGATCTCGGACCTCGACAAGGTGGCAGGCTTGGAGGAGGGATTTGACTCCTTTACTCAGCGTTACGTTTTCACGTTGAATGCCCAGCGAGTTTGTCCCGACCATGTACCCAAGAACACCCTCCCACTGTCGCCTGGCATAATCGTCTAGATCGGAGACAGTCATAGGGTGCGGATCAGGCATACTAGACATAACTCCAAAAGAATGTTGTTTGTCTCCGCCGGTGAGCGCCTGTCGCAGAGAGGAGGAAAATGGATTGGTCACCATATACGCCCTAACGTGGTCCGACGTTGTAGTGCTTGAAAGAATGTGTAATCGACTAAGGATCGACAGGGCGTTGTCTCTCTCGCTTGTGACAGAGTCAGAATACTGCGCGTAAGCCCGCGAGCCGGTCAAGGTTCCTCCTACCGCTTGCTTCCTGCCTTGACCCACAGCTCGAGCTCAGCTGCTGGCAGGGGGTCTTTGAGGTAGAGAAGGGCCATGACAAAACATTTTGCTGCGTAGATATCAAATGCTTAGCAAGATGAGAACAACTACACGGAGACAGAACGGATGAGTTACCTAGATGGGGCAGCATCCGGCGAAAGATTGCCAGAGCGGTTGAAGGCTGCTGATACAGCTTGAGGAAGACTGTGCCCGGAAGGCTCTCTAGATACTCTAGAGGACGGGACGAAGAAACAGGCATCTTGGAACTGTGCAATTAAACGCTCCACGCCGTTCAAAGCTCATAATCTATCGACCATCATGTCGCGGTAACTGAGACTTTGAGAAAGCTCCATCTGAGCGTTTGCCAGTCAAGCCCGCCGTCCGCCAGAGGCCTCATCTCTGACTTTTAACAACATTGCTGCTGACTAAGCTTTTCGCTGCTGTGCTCTCTCGCCGGTTCCAAGCAACTCTCATCCGCAAAATCAAAGTATCCTCGATTAACAAAATGACGGCCTTGAGATTTGTTAGATCGGTAAGCTATTGTATCAGATTCCTTGATGTTTTGAGCCCGCGTCCACTAACGTCTCCCTGCAGGTATGGGAGTCCTTCCGGGCTACATCAGGCCTGGAGCCGAGGTATTGGGTTTCGCAGCATAAAATGGCTTTTGTACTGTTCAAATGCTGATATTAATGATAATATGCAGATTACTAGACAATGTATGTCTAAAAGCTTGGTTACTGTCGATACGGCAATAACTACATGCTGGGGTTATTGCTCAATTTCGAGCTCCTGGCGGACAGGGGCTCGCTGTCGAGCCGGAGACGAAGAATAACAGCTTTTGCAAAGTTGCTCCTAACTTGGACATGTCTCTTCTAGCTTCGAGTCACTGCAGCTCGCCCTGGTGTTGTAAACTTTGAGCTTGATATTAAAAAGGAACATACAGTGAGTGTTCCCCCTTTCCTATTGTCTAGTGATACTTTTCTCAGATGTTTGAGCCAGCTCTTGAAATAAAGAGATTTGGCGCTGTTTGAACCATCTGTGTTCTGGGGCTGCTTGCAACTTGTTTCTGGTATTACGTACCTGCTAAAAAGTCATGATAGAATCGGCTTAACATCCTTCATGGCGGCACGATTGCTAGCATGGGTAAGCTTCAGTCAAAGGGCCATTACAGATTTTAAGTTCCCTTACCCTTTGCTACTAATGCCGTCGCCTTAAACAGTTGATCTCGGAGGGTCTCTTGCTGTGGCTTCTCGGGGCCTCTTTGCCACCGGTGTCTCAACAGATCTCAATGGTAGGCACGCATCAACCCCGGAATATCTGATTTAAACTTTCTAGATACTAAATAGGACATATTACTCCGTAGTGACTTATCTAAGCTCCGGGGGTAAAGTCGGGGATAAAATTTTAGCTGTATGTGAAGTCCTATGATTCCCCTTCTTTTTTTTTTTTTTTTTTTTGATGTTTGCCTTAGCCTCATATGTGTGGTGCTGATCAATATATTTAGGAGGTGACTTGCGACAAATGTATGCAAAAATTTTGTCAATCTGATATTGCATGGAGGGAGCAAATGCTCCTTTAGGGTGATACGCTATACTAACAATCTCTTAGTTGGAAATAATCTTGCATATACCAGCATCAAGTTCATGAATGCCAAAAATGAAGTTGTGGCTAGGGGCAGCCATACAAAGTGAGGATTTTTTTTTCTTTTTTTTGTTGCACCATTGTATAATTTTCGCTCTGACACCACATTGCAGATATGTTGCCCATGCTTTCAGGGATCCAAGGAACATTGTGGAAGAGCTTAAGCCAGAACCCTGACTGCTGTCTCTTCCAACAATGATGAGACGCCAAATAAGAAACTAAAGAGCGAAGTTAATAAATAGATTAAATGCCGACTATCCCATTTTGCACATAAAATTTCGCGCTTCATAGAATGTATAGCAAAAAATGTATTTATACAACTGCAAGCGAATGACTGTAAAAACATGTTTTGCTAGATCTTACGGACACAAGAGCTGATCACGATGTGGAACCCATTAAAGTCTTTTCCGAATCCTACCTCGCCAAAATCCAAGGCCGGAGTACCTCCCTATCATCAAAGATTATCATACAAAATACACAGCTTCCCTCAAATGCATATATTATTCATTCCTTTTCTCCACTAGGATCATTCCAAGAGAGATTCCCGGGCCGCATCATTCTCAAATTCCTCGACTCCGTCTCTCATTAATGCCCCGTCCTCATCCATTGGAGCTGTGTCCATAACAGTCACCTCTTCTCCCATGGCCTTGACCTTCGCTTGCGTCATTTCGTATACGTACTGCCCAAGATGTTCGATACCTTCCATGGCAGTGCCGCTGATATCTGCGTCAAGGGCCCTAGTAGTCGGAAACATTTCCCCGGGAACCAACATGAGTTTATCTGGGCGTTGAAAAAGGATATCAAAAGCCGGTTTCAGTTCAAAGCATGATTCAAATACTTCCCGTCTGCCCAGAATGTACAGCCCTAGGCGTGCACGAGAAAGCGCGACAGTGAGGCGCCGGACGTCCCGAAGATATCCCACAGCTTTCGTTCGCGTGAGAGAAAGGATTATGTCTATCAATTGAGAATCAGAAATGACGTAACCCGATACAAACCGTCTGGGTAGTTTACTTACAGTCATTTTGCTCTCCTTGGTACTTGTCCACCGTCGTCACTATTCTGGGGAGACCAAAAAGAGAGTTCTTGGCACATCTATGATTTAGTACATCCTTAACCAAAGCTTTCTGGCCAGCATACGTGGTGAGGATCGAGATTTTCGAGGCAGCGTAACCTAGCAATCGCATGTATTGAAAGATTGCCACAGCATATTCAGCTTCGCCGAGATTTTGTATAAAGTGTGGGGATGGCTCCCTTTCACCAACTCCTTGAAAATCGGGTACGTTGATAAACTGGTAATCATACTGGAAACCTGCATTGGCAAGTTTGAATTCTGCTCCATTTTCAACGGTTGGAAGGTTCCCTAGCCGCTCGTATCTCCATTTGAATAGTTCAGCGATAGACGGACGGGCCCGGCCCTGTTGATCTAAATTGATAGTCGGTACGCCCAATCTAACCAGTCGGAGGAAGAGACTCTGTTCGAAATTGGCATATTGGCGGAAGGCTATGTTTTGAACGATAGGGGAGTTTTGCAAATGATCGCCGCACAAAACCACCCTCTTCAAGGGCAACTCGCCGGTTTTGCTGTTTTGTAGCGCGCACGGAATGAAGCTTTCGACTTCGGTGACTTGAGCGGCTTCCTCCATAACAACATTATCATAGTGGAATCCAAGATTCGCAATTTCCTGCCGTCTCATAGCGGCATGTGTCGAGGTCATTGCTATGATCCTCGCTTCCTTGACCAAAAGGTACTTCGCCTTGTCGCGTTGTTGTCGTAGGATTTCAAATGGGCGAATATCTTCTAACTCAGAAAATACTCTATCAAGATGGCGTTGGCACCCAGCTGCAATGTCCTGAATTTCGTCCTTTGATGCATCTGGTTTGAAGAGGGGCTGAGGGGCATTCGAAAAAAAAGAGTGAAACGGAAACCATTGGATTATGTTTTCGCACGATGAGGTCTCCAGCCGCGCTTTATCCCAGAATTTGGTCCAAGCTGGTTGGATATATACTGAATTGAAGTACCCTGCCGTTTCACATGAATTCCCATGAGCACCTTCCGCTCCAATTGACGCCGCGAGGCGATCTACCTCAGCAAGATATCCAGCCCTGTTTTCTAGGAACGATTCAACCCTGCCAAATTTGCTATAACTGGCTTCAGTCTCGAGTTCTTCTTCTCCATGACCGAGGCGAAGGAGATGGCGTGCATCAATATCTAGGGCAATAATTTTCTGGAAAAGTTGATTAAGTGCCTGATTGCTATGTGCCACCAGTAGCGTGCGCTCGCTGGGGAAATTGTGGTATATGTTGCTGATGATCTGTGTTGCAACGTCGGTTTTTCCAGTTCCTGGAGGTCCGACGACTATGGTAAGCCCCGGCTGAGTGCCCGAAACAATGGCATTGACCTGGGCAGGTGTAAATCGTATTTTGTTCAACTTTGGCGCGTCCATAGGGTAAGGTCCTTGATTACTAGGCTTGTACGTAGAGGCACGGATTGACGCTGCTGCAGGCTGCACAGATTCGGCACGATCTCGTCTCCTTTTCTTCGAGGGGTTTAAAGTCTCCCCCTTAGATGGGTTGTCTCTGATTTCCAGTACATATGGTGGCCCGAAACTGGAATTATTGTTTTCCACTGGCTCAATGGTGCAACCCGGAAAACTTTCAACAAGGTGCTGCCAATCCAGAAATGTATCTCGATAATCAATCGTTTTCAATTTTAAGCCCAATTCTGGGTAACTCGCACTACGTGGGTTGCCATAGCCGAGGAAAACGTCTTGCAACCATGATGGAAGCTGTGTGTCTGCAATTGTTAGCGCCTTCACAATCTCCAGAATCGGTTTGAAGTTATTCTCCCGGCCCCTTCGACGCACAACCAAGTTTATCAACGAATAAATATCGGGGTCATCCTTGCCCCGTGAATCCAAGTCTGTCCTGTAAGCTCTGGCATCTAGATTCACAATGAGTCTTCGCTGACTGGGTCTCTGTCGCGAATAACCGTTGTGCTGGTCATCCTGAGGCTCCCGAATCATACGGCCATTAGCATCAAGGACTTGAACTATTTGGGCGCAGCGGACGTGTAAGATCCCGATATCGGGAAGGTTATTGACGGAGTGAAGGGAGAGAGTGGATATAGGAAGTTTAGACCCAACTGCTAGCAAAAATATAACGTCGTCCGGCCGAAGTGTTTCCCACTCTCGACGAATGCTGTCATTCAGGCGACTAACATCTAGCAGGATTTCAGCGCGAACGTAAGCTGGATTTGAGCTTCCAACTTTGGGTTCTGCTACGTCGATGATAGCCGGTTTGGAAATCGGAATTGCCATCCGTGAAAAGCCTTCGAAAGACGTTTTCTTTGTCTCTCGGTGTATGCGAGGAAGCATTCTCTTTACAACGGATTCTAGGTCACTCTTAATCTCAAAAAACGATTCCGCCCGGTATAACAAGAGGGATCGCCACAAGAAATCCCCCAGGCTTAAATACTGTAGATTCAACTTTGGAATTGCCAGCGGCCGGGAACCGTCATACGCTTCGTTTCTAATTAATGCTGGTTCGTACAGTGACTTTTCGCTGGGGAAAACGGTCAATTCAGACGCAGTATCCTGGAAGGATGGTTGACGTTCAAACGCGGACAGAATAATTTCGAGAAGCAATTGGCGATTGGATTGAACACCAGCCTGTTCAGGGTACACAGTCCTGAATCCCAGTGCAGAACATAAGTTTTCCAGTTCAGTATCGTTTAATTCAGATAGATGTGTCTCCAGTTCAGAACGCTTTTCAAGTGACCCATAATTGGCCAGAGCCAGGAGGGTCAACTTTTCCTTGAAGTGTTTGATAGCAACTCGTTGAAGCCGCGCAAGCTCCTGGCAATGGATATCATACACATCTTGAGGAGAGTGTTGTTCGCCAGATTGATCATCTATAGAAAATCCGACAAAATGCTTGAGAAGATGGTAAAAGTCACGAAGCAGAGAGTTCTTTCCGTTTCTAAAAAGGCGCGAGGTGCGAAGGATTGGGAGGATATTAAGATTTTTGAATAGGGTATTCACGTATCGTCGTGTTGGAAGCTGGCTTTCTAGGTCGACAAGCAGTTCCATAAATCTCTCGCAGAATCTAACGTTGTCTTCACTCAGTTCCCCGAGTGGGTTGAGTCGCTGCAAGAACTCCAGAAGCATGGAGTATAGCCAAGATCTCTCAAATCGAATTCTGGCTTTCCCGGACTCATCGGCCATATCGTACCGCTTCGTTGATACCCTCCATGCTCGTTTCAAAGCTGCCGAGCGCTCAAGTAACTTGGTTCGGGCGTCGATGCTGTGGAGGTTATGCCAAATGGCAATTGACACCAATGGCGCACATTCTTTGCGAATTTGGAGATTTTCCAACGACTGGAATGCGCTAATAACGAAGGAAAGAAGGTATATCCGAGATGTTGTAGGGAGTGTTTGGTCAAGGTTCATTGAAAGGATACGCCTGAATAAGCTCGAAAAGTCCTCTGGTCGGTCGGAAAAGTTTTCTAAACCCAGTTAGAATTGAAGCTGAAATCTCGGAAGGACCCATCTTACCCCATATCGGCAGATGTTCTCTTTGTTTTATGCCCACAATCACAGCAATCAGCAGAACATGATAATTCGAGGCGTCCTCGGAATAGGTAGGCCATAGGTATCTTGACTGGTTATTAGTACCGTCCGGTCTCAAAAGTCCAATGCAAACATACTTCTCTAAAATATGAAGATTCTCTAGCAACAGCAGAGAATGAAGGGAGAAGCCTTCTGTGACCAAGGGATCCCAGATGTCATTTTTGATGACCTCCGGCCTGACCTTCCGCACCTTCGTTTTAAGCCAGTGAGCTCTGGCCAACGCCACCCATTGATTTTCTTGTTGGAAGTCGTTGACAGTAGGTCGCATATCTAAGCTGCGCGCCATAGCTGGGCGCATCTGTAACCCCATTGTAGATTGAATCTTTCTCAGATGCGCTGAAGTTGCGCGCTGCTCTCATCAGGCGTGATGGCCGAAGCTGGCATTTGAGTTACGCTTTACAAAATTACAGCTTACGATACGCAAGACTTCCTGGGCCCAGCGCCAGCGGTGGCGTAACACTATAATTACCATACAGAGCGGCGCCATTGATCTCCTGCACCACGCTCAAAGCTACTAGTGTCCTTCAACTCTCATTAACACCACTCAACCCACCCGGTGCTGGCTGCTTTCTTACCGGTAGTGCCTTGAAGATGGCTGTCGGGGACATTCGCGCTGTTCAGATCTATCGAAGACGTGTTCAGGTACTGCTGGACAGAGCGACGAAAGTGAAGCAGGGCTCCGAAATAGAACCGCCGATAACAGAGTCTGATTTGGGAGATGCAATCAACGAAGTTGATGACGGCGAAGAAGAGGCGTTAAAGAACCAGAGTTCCCAGCCGGCTTATGCAGCAGTAGAGACAGCTTTCCGCGAGAAGTTTTATCACTTACTGGTTGGTTGGATTATCAACCTTTTCTGCAGAATCTGAGCTAATTCTTAATTTGCGATCCAAGGCCACGACGTCTATAAACAAGCCCGAGTTTGTTCACATGTGGAATCTACTTGATGTCGTGTCTATATTCTCCGACAATGGTAGAATCCCAGTGGAGCTCGCTGTCTCGTTCCACGCTGACACCTTACCCTTTAGAGCGATGCGAACCCGGTCTTATTTTCTGGCTCATAGAGGAGCTACTCGATAGTCAAACCATCGACGGCTGCCGTAAAGTATTCGACTATTTAGAATCCAGGCGGGAACGTAATACGGCTGTAAGTTTAGTGGATATGCGTCATTGTCTTTGAAGATGGATCTCCTAATTTGGAGCAGAAACATTTCAAGCAGAAGAGCTTAATTATTCTCCGTTCATGCAATGAATTGCTGCGACGACTCTCACGAGCGGAAGATACGGTATTCTGCGGACGGGTGTTCATTTTTCTCTTTCAATCATTTCCTTTGGGAGACAAGAGCTCGGTTAATTTGCGAGGAGAATATCATACAGAAAACGTTACAACATTTGACGAACCGCCAAAACACATCGCTGCCAATGAAGGCGCCGACGATGTAGAGATGAAAGATGCAGAAGCGCAAAAGCCTTCAGACAACTCATCAAAAACGGACGCAGCTTCTCAAGGAGGTTCTGTCTCCGCCGAAATCGATGGTCAGCGATCACAGCAATCGACCGATCACCAAGCTGAAGATACATCGATTGATATGGACGCTTTATATCCGGTATTCTGGGGATTACAAGCGAACTTTTCGGCTCCTACGCGGCTTTTTGATCACGAGCATTTTGCTTCTTTCAAAAAGGGGCTCGAATCCACCATTTCAAGTTTCCAAAAGGTTAGCATTGACTTGGAAAAGCGCGGTATGACAAAGGGCTCAGAAGAAACATCACGGCGTGGGCTGAAGCGGAAGCGGGGTGAAACCGGGCCTGAAACCGCAAATACATTCAACCCAAAATATCTCACGAGCCGGGACTTGTTCGAATTAGAGGTATGCTCTTTAATATCTACTGGTATTACTTTTTTGATTGATGTGCTTACCTAAATTTAGGTTAACGACGTCGCATTTCGAAGACATATACTTGTCCAGTCGCTTATTCTTCTCGATTTCCTAATTTCTCTCTCACCGAAGGCGAAAGCCAAACTTGCGGATGCTACAAATAAATCAGTTCTCTATGGCTATGTGCTTAGCGACGAAGATGTGAGTAGAAAAGCCATTTTCAGATTTTAGCTGCTTACACATAATCTCTATAGGCGAAATGGGCAAATCAAATGAAGTCCTCCATCGCGAGCTACCTGCAGCAAGGTCTCGATGGGAAGTTCTATTATCGCATGGTAGATACCGTCCTGACGAGAGATAAAAACTGGGTCCGTTGGAAGGCCGAAGGATGCCCACCTATTGAGAAACCCCCAATTCAAATTCAAGACTATCTAGATACCCAGTCCTCTACTACCAAATTAACTACAAATAAACGGCTCCGGGCGACGCCACTTGGCTCCTTGGACCTTAAATTCTTGTCGGAAGAAGCAAATTTAGGCAATCTTGATCGCCTCATGGAGCCTGGCAGGTAAATTTCCAGGGAGAATGGGCCGAGTCCACAGGTAATGATGCTAATTGGGTATTAGGTTTAGAAATCCAGGGGCCGAGTCATACATGCGGGGTATCACGGACGATGAATTCAATCTCGACATGGCTCAAAACAGTGACGAAAAAGAAGAAGCTGCAAAAGCAAAAGCAAGCAAGATATGGAGAGTCTTACGGCTGTCCTCGCGCAGCAAGTTGAATCGGTTCGATAAAATCGAAGACGGCAGAAATTTGAAGGTCCTTTTTGAAAATCCGCCTCCTCCGGAGAAGGCGGTTGCGGAAGCGGAAGATGGAGCTGATGGTCATAAAGACGACTCGGTAAAGAATCCGCCAACCAAGGAGAATGATGCTCTTACGGAGTGAGATCCCCTTTCTCTCCGTAACGTCGATCATTCAACAAGTTGAGAGTGCTAAGCTCTGGATGTGAGCCTCAGCCATTTGCTATATGATGCCAACCCTAAGCCAGGGCCGAGATCTTAATACGTTTCCTAGGAAAGGAGCACAAAAGTGTTGAAGATTGCCCCGTTAAAACCGCTGTATGAATAAAAATACAGATTTCGCCACGATCGTTGACCCTCACCCCAAGTGTGCGGTCCGATTTGAGCATTCTTTGGGAGATCATCCGTGAAAGTCCAGAGTACTCCTTTCTAGAGCTCTGAATTTCCGTTGATGATTAACGTGGGATTTTTTTTACTAGTGTCTACTGGGGAAATAACGACGTTTATGCGTCGATCAGAGGATCTACTGTACGAAATTGGTGCTGGTACGGTGCAATCATGCAAGGAATGCTGTCTGATTACTGGAAGGTTATGCAGGAACCTGGGCTTGAGATTCCCTGCGTTATGGAAATGCTTTTGAGTTTCAATTGCAAAATTTCCAGCGACCGCTTTCGGCTCTCTCTGTCAATCTCCGGGCCTTCATCTCTGCATCTTGCAGCACCATGAAAAATCGGATAAACCCCAGTTGCATATTTCCTTTTCTGTGAGAGACGATAATGAAGGAAGAATTGGGCTATGATCTACCCAGTTATCCGGCGAATCACCTATGGTCCGGTGGTAGTAGATCCCACTCATGTCTCGGAGCTCTGGTTTTTATGCAGTGTTGTATAGATAGGCGATACTCTCTAGTCGTTTCGCTTCCCGGTAAGGGTTAGGCAATCCGAGATATGCATCAGCTAATTCCTGAAAATATTCACCTTTTCTCGGGACATTTTCCCTTTCGGGGCGATTCAGCTTGACAGTGTGGGTAGTAGATGCAAGGGCAGATGTGTGTTTTTCCTATCACGAGGGTTAAGAATGTATGTAAACTATGATCTGGCTGAGAGAAAGGGGAAAACGCACCGACCAGCCCTGCGTGACGATGCTTTTCTTAGAAACATCCAGCATGACTTTTTGGGGCGTGTTTGGGGGTTGTTTCGAACCGCTCCACGCAGCTCGCCCAAGCCTCTGACACCCATCCCGATCGTCGAGGTTGGCAACACCTCCGAGCGTGAGCCTAACTCTGTAAGAACTGGCTAACTAACTACGAATCCCAACTTTTTTTTCTTTTCTTTTTTTTTTTCCCTCAAAAACTAACTCAAGGTTGTGGATGGTATTCCCGAAGCGTGGACGCGACTTTAATCCTTCACATATAGGGGCTCTGATGCCAGCATCGTGTCCAGTAACGACTATCCTTCATGGCCAAATGGCACCCGAAGGGCTGGCTTCGGCTGATTTCCGTGCCTTGATCAGAAAAGGCACCCATGGGAAACGTAGGAAGAAGGAATAATGTGTTCCTCTTGTGGATCAACCTCGCCCCTTGACTGTTTCTCGGCTTTGGCCCCATCGATGACAGGTGTCAGTGATGGATAGTGGCGAAGAGATCCATGCAAACAAACATCCCCTGTCAACGGACCCCGCGATTTGGTCTGAGCAACCTTTCGGGCATTAACTCCGCGCCATACACTCGCTTTCCTTGACATCACTGCATTTCTTGCCATGCGTTCCCGGGACATCGCCTAGAGGCTAGTGTGCTGGTGACTCTGCAGGGCCCCAGCTGAGGCTGGGCTCATCGCCTATCTTTTGAAGGGTTTCACACACTTTCGCCTGCGTGCCCACGCTTACTTCCTGTCCCTCTTGGCCTACACCGCGCATTCATGAGTATGCATTTGAAAAACAAACAGCCACAAGCCCCCAAAAAAGAGAGTCAAGATGCCGGTAGTGACCGATGATGCGCATTCTGACAACATCCGATACGAGAGGATAAGGCAACCCTTCCTTCCACCAGGAGACCAGGGTAGGCGATAACATGGTGACTTTGCAGAGTCAGATGAGTTCTTGCAGCCGCACAAGGCATGGTTGCCATGACAAGCAATGGGGGATCTGAGACCTAAACCGCTCTTCTGGTTGATTCCTTGCATATATCGACTGTTCCTAGAGAAGTTTCTTCCCGGCAGGAAGAGTTCTGGGGATCAAAGACCTGACCGCAAGCCGGGCTGATACTACCCTGCCCCGCACCGTTATCATGGCCCTTAGTTCCATGCTAGGTCATGGCCACATATAAGTACTTTTGACAGGGTTGAAGAACACGCCCACTGGTTGGTAGGTCATATGTTTTTTTGGTATAGATTGGCTTATCAATTCAAATATTAACAGTGAGTTCTGCGCCTCCCTTTGAGCTCTTTGTCAAGCCATTTCCCTTCTTGAAACATTTGATATTTTGACTGAACCGGTTCCTGTGAAAGTGATTCTATGAGGTCGGATATCGACTACACTAGGTGGGTACATCCTTCTCTAACTCTACCTAGATAATCCTGCGTGAGGATTTTGAAAAGGCACGCTGCCTTGCAGCTGTGAAGTTGATATTTTTAGCTCTGCATTATTATTGGCAATGGAGCCAATATCAAATTGTTTCATCCCTTTAACCCGTCTCTCTCATTTTTGTTCCATTTTAGTGATTTTTGGTGCTTAGGCTAATCGAATACAGGACTGCTACCGGATGCCATTATTTTGTCGCTACGAAATCTTCTAGTTGTGGTAGCTGATGATTATCTCACTACAAACCTGCCCTCTTACCAGTTGAAAATTGGAGCATTCAGTCTCTGTGCAGTGAAGACTTACCCGCAATAAAATGGGCACATGCGAGGCCAGCCCAGTGGACCTCTTGGGTGCCTCTACGTGCCGTGTTGAGAGTGCTAGTTGGTCACTACGTGAACAGAGCCCAATATATAGCAACTCTCGACATTACAGCAAGGTCGAAAACACTCAACAACGTCAAGCATATGCTTGGCCAGCTCCCGCTCTTGGAAGAGATTGCACTGGATCTAACGAAAGGCGCAATGGGGAACAGTCACCGTGTCATGACGAGATCCAAAGTGACGATGGGCCTCAAACTATGGGTGGCGGAATATTAGAGGAGAAGACATCGAAGAGGAAGATGAAGCGTTTCAGGTCAGCTCTTTGCATTAGGACTGTATGCATATTTTTCAATTGCTAATATGAGCATAAAACCCAGACTCACCCATAGCCAAACACGCTATCTTATGAGCGAGTTCACACGACAAGCACATCCTGACGCCGCTCATAGAGAGCGTCTTTCCCGTGAGATACCGGGGTTAAGTCCGAGACAAGTTCAGGTTTGGTTTCAAAATCGGTATGCAGCGATCCCTGTGAGCAGAAGAGGATTTACGAACTGATATTGTCGCAAAGGAGAGCCAAATTAAAGAGGTTGTCTACCGACGATAGAGAAAGGATCCTAAAATCAAGAGCAGTTCCAGAGGATTTTGACATGGCAAAAGCACTCCGTTGGCCTTACACCAACTATTCAAATACACCAGCATCTGCCGCGACACACTGTGATAATTCGCTCGGGAGAAATGACGTGCCATTGGTGATTGAAAGCATAAAGCTCTCGGGAGAAGAGTATGTCACAGCTCCGTCGAGTAGTCCGCCTACCTATGGGTACTATGCATCAGGCCCGTTGTCAGTGGCGGAAGACAACACGAGCCCCGACAACATCATTTCGAATTCCTCAGCCAACGAGCGGAAGTTACCTGTAATATCATGGACATACCCCCAGATGCCTACACCACCATCAGAATCAGCAACTGTACCTGAGTCAACGAATCCTTCGGAGGTAAGGTCGCCGTTAAACCGCAAGTGGAGTGGTGTATCCTTGGGAGGTATCTCAGCACGCCTGTCGCCCTCCAAATTATCACCTCATACTATGAACCGTAGCCTAAATACACCCATAACACCATCACACAGCTACTATGAGAAGCAGCTAGCTACTCCAGTATCAGTCGGAGGTTTCCATGAGAGATCCGGTAAGCATTCACAGAACGGGGTTCATGAACACGACCTAATTGTTTTTACAGCTTCTCAGAAGGAGGTGCAGAGCCCGATGGCCAGCACAATGCCGACCACTCCCCTTTCTGTTTCGTCGGAAGAGCAAGTCCTTCGGCCGAATTCGTACTTTGGTCTTAGCTCATTCGAAATATCTTGTCCGCAAGGGGCTTCGCCGACCATGGGCTATACGGCTTCTGGGGTTGCTTTCGAACCCAGCCCACGGTTTGTTGAAATTCCTTATTCCACTAATCCGGTGAAAGATATGTGGGATATGGGATCCTGAAATATACTAAGGGACATTGCATTCTGCTTGCATTCGAAATCCCCCACACGCGTCGACTCTTCCTGGCGAACGACTTGATGTCTTTGGGATAAAAATGATTTCTGCATGCTTCTGGGTAATACATTCAGATCTGACCATCCTATTCTGTTGATTGTATTCTAAACCTTTTTATTTTATTTTTTTTTTCTTTTTTTAATCGCCATTCCTGCCACCTTTTTTGTTGTCTTAGTACTCCGTACTCCCCATCCTTGAAACCTCCTGCCTTGCACCATCATCATTCACTCTTGTTGATACTATCTATGAAAATAAAGTTGTAGTTAGTTAGTTATTTAAACTTATTAAGACTGATCACAACACCCTTGAGACACGCCCCATTCCCGTCATACCATCAAACCTTGTTCGCCCGTCGCCCTGCGGCATGAACCACGGCTCGCTGATGGTGATCTGTGATATCAGGCCACCAACATTGTTTGCACCATTTGAAGGGTTTGCACAGATGTTTGTCGATAGTGGTGCAATGGTTCGCATTCACCAATCATCTTCCAGATATTGCCAATGAGATGACTGATGACGCAGTGAATCGCGACCAGGCAAGAACGGCGGATAGAATGGAATGAGCAGTAGTATAAAAGCTCATCAGCTGGTTGAAATCCTGTAGATTATTTTGTAATTTTCCTTATTCAAAATTTCATTGTTTAATTGTTGTTGTTGACTGATCAGTCCTGCCAGTCGCAAATATATCCAAAGCCACCGCCCTTGCATAACCACTCAATCGATCGACGACCTCCTTTTTGGCCCAAATACCTTTAAAATTCTGAAGAGATATAAACATTTGACAAGAAAAAGAATGGTTGTACCACCGCTATCTTGCTGCCACTCCTCCAAGGAGGGTTGTGTCTGCGCAGCACAGGCCAGATGCTCCTGCGGAAAGCAACACGCCCTCCACTGCAATTGCGAAAGGGCACGCACCGAAAATGATACTTCGGGCCCCAGATGTTCCTGCAGTAGGTATTCCCCATTTCCCATTCGCAGGCGCAGTCCGTGGTGTCTGACCAGTGGTCTTTTGGCTCGAATTACAGGAAGCCGCCCCGCCGGGCAGTGTACTTGCGAACGGGCAGAGACAGAGAACCATCCACCTACAGGGGAGACGTGTCCATGCGGCCGTAGAATTGCTGGTGAGTATAGTTACCCGGACCCTAGCAATGATTCATCGGTAGTGTCGTTGTTGACTAACGGTCTTGTATCCGAGCCAGACTCTTGCACCTGCGAAAAGGCTGTTGATGCCGGAAATTTCCCGGGTGAGATTGACTTCACCACACAAGCATAGACACAGATTATCGGTCTGTCCATTGATAGAATTTCAGGCTTTGCTGCTTGGGTGGGGAATGTGCTGGGTGTCAATATATAAATGGAGTTTGGAGGTTTGAACATCGGGATTCTAGGGAATGTGATTGTACGAGCATCAAAGGACAAACAGTGATTGTTATAGCATGGTTAGCAATGCGAAATATACTCAGTACTCTGTAACGGGTCTCAGATACAACTCTAAAGTTCCATCGTCAAAATATCTGTTGATTCACCGTTCGGGTGGTTGTCGGGAAGCCGCGCTGCGATTGATATGTTGGCGACCACTAAGTTCGGCTGTCGGCGACTAGCGCCGGAGATAAGAAAGTGTGTCCTGTGGTCTTGGCGCCCGGTTGATTAGCTCGCGGCGTAAGTTTATTCCGTGGAACTGGTCTCCCGTCCAGGGATCCAGCAGTGTTATTGTCGGGATAGACCGAAGAGGGTAGCAGGAAGGGCAAGGCCTCCAACGAAAGGGCGACATCTTCAACTGCAAGCGAGTCGATCTTTGAGCCAAGCTTGAAATCTTTTGCTTTGTTCGTTTTACCGCGTTTGCACTGTGTTCTTCGCTCCTCTTCTCGGAGATCCTAAATCGCTTCGCTGCTGTGGCCTTCAGGCTTCCCCTGGCTGGAGCCACTGCAACGCCAATCCCGCGGTCGATCCATTCGTCACCCTTCCCCGAAACTTGGCATCGGTGGTGATGCTCATGCTGTTCTCTCGGTGATACTCTCGGAAATATGTCAGTGTTGAGTTCCGCGTGAAGCCTAACTGGACCTGCAAAGTCCGGATAGAGCGAACGGCCAACTCGGTCGTACTAAACCGCCATAATGTCGACAACTATGCGAGGATTGGTCCAATTCATAGCCGATCTGCGGAACGCTCGAGCTCGTGAACTGGAGGAGAAGCGGATCAATAAGGAGTTGGCTAACATCAGGCAAAAGTTCAAGGATGGAAACTTGAATGGGTATCAGAAGAAGAAATATGTCTGCAAGCTCCTCTATATCTACATCCAGGGATACGATATCGATTTTGGGCATTTAGAGGCTGTTAACCTGGTATCGGCCTCTAAATACTCGGAGAAACAGATTGGATACCTGGCCGTGACGCTCTTTCTCCACGAACAACATGAACTTTTGCATTTAGTTGTCAATAGTATTCGGAAAGACTTACTCGATCATAATGAGCTAAACAATTGCCTGGCTCTCCATGCAGTTGCCAATGTGGGTGGCAGGGAGATGGGCGAGGCGTTAAGTGCCGACGTCCATCGGTTATTGATCTCTCCGTAAGCTCTATGGTCGCCTCGCGTGAGCCTTTGGCTAATATGGCGTTATAGGACATCTAAAGCGTTTGTGAAGAAGAAGGCTGCTCTTACCTTATTACGCCTCTACCGCAAGTACCCGGGCATCGTGCAGCAGGAGTGGGCAGAGCGCATCGTTTCTCTCATGGATGACCCTGATATAGGTGTTACCCTTTCCGTCACGTCCCTTGTAATGGCGCTTGTTCAAGACAGCCCCGAACAGTACAAAGGGAGCTACGTGAAAGCTGCGCAAAGGTTAAAAAGAATCGTGGTTGATAAGGATATCCCGGCCGACTATATTTATTATAAAGTACCTTGCCCATGGATACAAGTGAAATTGCTGCGTCTGCTCCAATATTATCCCCCATCGGGTACGTGAAATACCTCCTGGGCTTATTTATGGCATCTCTAATTGGATTACTACAACAGAAGATACACACGTCCGCGGCCTCATCAGACAGTCCCTTCAAGAAATCATGAACCTTGCTGTGGATATTCCAAAGAATGTACAGCAGAACAACGCGCAGAATGCAGTTCTTTTCGAAGCAATCAACCTCCTTATTCATCTCGAGAGCGAACAGGCACTTATGATGCAGATTTCAACTCGACTTGGTAAATTCATCCAGTCTCGAGAAACCAATGTGCGATATCTGGGGTTGGAAGCAATGACGCATTTCGCCGCCAGAGCGGAGACTTTGGATCCCATAAAAAAGCATCAGAACATCATCATCGGTTCTCTGCGGGACCGTGATATCAGTGTAAGACGAAAGGGGCTGGACTTATTGTACAGCATGTGTGATACGACTAATGCACGACCTATTGTGAATGAGCTCCTTAAATATCTCCAAACCGCCGACTATGCCATTCGAGAAGAGATGGTGCTTAAGATAGCTATATTGACAGAAAGATATGCCACGGACGCCCAGTGGTATGTTGATATCTCACTTAAGTTGCTCCATGTTGCAGGTGACCATGTCAGCGATGAGGTCTGGCAACGAGTCATCCAAGTCGTTACCAATAACGAAGAGCTTCAGGCATATGCTGCGCAGCATATCTTGGGATATACCAAAGGCGACTGTCACGACAGCCTAGTGAAGATCGGGGCCTATATTTTGGGTGAATTTGGTCACTTGATCGCCGATAACAAAGGCTGTTCTCCCATAGAACAGTTTCTGGCTCTTTATTCCAAAATGGCATACTCCTCAGACCACACTCGAGCCTTCATATTGTCATGCTTCGTCAAGTTTGTCAATCTATTCCCAGAGATTAAGCCTCAGCTGTTACAAGTATTCCGTGCCTACTCACATTCTCCGGACTCCGAATTGCAGCAGCGTGCTTATGAATATCTCCAACTTGCCCTATTGCCAGCCGATGATCTTCTGCGGACGGTCTGTGACGAAATGCCACCTTTTTCGGAGAGAATATCAGTGCTTCTATCCCGATTGCATCAAAAGAGTGCTGGAACCAGCGATAAGCGTACTTGGGTAGTCGGTGGAAAGGATGCCAATGCAGACGAAAAGGAATTTATGTTGACTCAGAAGTCGGGCTTAAAGCGTTCCTTCACAACTCCGGCCAACGGCATATCTGGGACCAATGGAGCATCGAAAACAGGTGCCTCAAGCGACTTATTGGGTTTGGACTTAGCAGCCTCAGACGCAACTGCGCCAAATTTGGCAAGCGCTGCACATCTTTCACCAGATTGGGATATCGGATTCAACAGACTCTTTTTTGTCGATGAGGGAGTCCTGTTTGAAGACGCCCAGATTCAAGTTGGCTTGCGGTCGGAATATCGCGGCCATCTTGGTGTCTGTAAACTGTACTTTACCAACAAGTCTTCGTTTTCTATTGGGTCTTTCACAACAACCCTCGATAACCCTTCTCCTACCGGTTTGAAGGTAGACACCAAGAGCTTACCGGAGCCGGATGTTCTTCCTGCAAGTCAAACCCAGCAGACTGTATGCTTTGAATGTCTTGGCCCCTTTACCAAGGCACCGACAATTCGAATATCATACTTGGCTGGTGCACTTCAAGCATACACTCTTCAACTACCTGTTCTCATGCACAGGTACATGGATGCGTCCGGGTTAGCCTCCGACGACTTCTTCAAACGCTGGAGGCAGATCGGAGGGGGCCCGCTTGAGTCGCAATCAACGTTTGGACTGGTCAACATTAAGAATCGAACGATAAATGAAGCATCGACCCGTCAGATCGTGGAAGGATTTAAGTGGAAGATATTACCCGGAGTCGACCCAAATCCAAAGAACATTGTTGGATGTGCTGTTTATCAGGCTGAGAGCCGAAAGACAGGATGTTTGATGAGGCTGGAGCCCAACTACGAGAAAATGGTAGGCCTGCGCCGCGACATATATGTCATTTTTTGACCTTTACTGACACCGAAGCAGATGTATCGGATAACCATTCGAGCCACACAGGAAGACGTGCCACCAGCACTGGTGAAATTAATGGAAGAAAGACTAGCGCAAGGAGTATCAAATGATGATATGTATAGATAGCATCTCGAATAGTAGGATTGTCAAACGCACCGACTATCCCGGATGACATCAGCGGCATTTCAAGGCATGGCAAGGCATCGCGCGTTCACTTTGTTCACCGTCCTTTGGGATAAGGATAATATACATTGTATATAATGCTTTTGATTAATTTGGTCTTTGAGCGTACGGGTATCGACAGTCCCTTCAATTATCCTCTTTCTTTTTCTTCCTTTTTTTTTTTTTTTTTTTTTTTTTTCCCTGATTATAGAATGCGGCAGTTCAGGGAACCACTTTTGCTTCTCCTTTTGGAGGACGAGCTCCGAAAATCGTGCTCCCCACTCTAACCTCATTGCTCCCCATGGCAATAGCACCCTCAAAGTCTTCACTCATACCCATGCTCAACTCCAGCTTCTCCTCCCCTTCCAAACCCAATTCTTGGCAAATTCTATCCCTTGTCTCTCTCAAACAGTCAAAATCTTCATTCTGAGTCTCCGGGGTTGTTGCCTTGGACCGAGCAATGGCCCCGATAGTCATTAGGCCCTCTAGCTTCAACCGTGGACACTGCTCCCTGATAAACCGGCACAATTCCACCGCCTGTGATGGCTCAACACCAGACTTACTCTCTTCTCCGGAGGTGTTCACCTGGACAAAAACACGCAATCGCTCCGGCTCCGCTCTGCCCTGTTGTTGTTGCTGCTGCTGTGCGGAGTGATTCTTTAGTCTCTCGCCCCACCCTTTGTCTAGCAGGGTCGCTTTCTTCTGTGTGTCTACACTCTCGACGGCCCAGAGACCTCTCACATCCCTCGCTAGTGTGACGCATTTGTTCGACTGTAGCCCGCCGATGAAGTGCCATCTGATTTCCGGGGGCAGGATTTTGGATTTTTCGAGGAGCTCTTGCAGGTAGTTTTCACCGAAATGAAGGTGGGATGTGGGTGGGTTGTAGAGGGCGAGGATGTCGGATGCGGGCTTGAGTTTGGAGACAGCGACGAGGCGGACAGAACTGCCGGGGACTGAGGCGGCGGAGATGCGGGAGGTCACGGAGGAGAGGTTCGCAAGCAAGGCGGAGGCGCGGGACGGAGAGGGCATGTCTGCAGATGGCTCCGGAGCAGAGGATGCGCTCATAATGAGGACTCTTGAAAGGAAGAATGCACACTAGATTATCCCTTGCAACTTATGTCGTCCCTGCGGTGAGCTACAGGGCGGATTGGCGTTCTCCGGCTGGGAGAAGCGGAACGGGAAACCCAGCGGGCTGGCGGCGGCACTTTCTGCCCAATCGGCGGTTATCTCGACGGGCCAGCCCTTATCTCCACGTGATCACACAAATGCGGCTAGCGCAAGCTGTGCGGTCACATGACGGGTTCGGGAAGAATCGCGGCGTTCAATTCCAGCCGGAAGCAGCAGTGCTGGACAGCAAACCGCTCGCGAGCAGACGGTTCGTCAAAGGCGGGCGACGCATGGGAACGACGGAGAACAGAGCAGCCCGGGCAAATCAGCACCATCTTTCGCCCTCGCTCCATGATTACACATGCGAAACCCAGAGGTGCATATGCCACACCATCCGAGTCGGTCTGGTGCGGCTGGCCACTCACGAGAGAAACCCTAATGCAGTTCCCCTTTGACGTGCAGCTATTAGATAAAACAATGCAGCACGAGGATCATTCCAAGACAGCCAAGGGCCCCCGGTCGAAGACATCCTCCATCCCACTCAGGGTATGGCCGTGCTGATTGTTTCGTAAAAGAAATGCCCGAAGGAGGGACTGGCAAACAATAGGAGGTCGAACAATGGACTCCAACATGCATAATGGGATTATTAGTTTCACCTAATAATGTCTTGATGCTTTCTTTCGTTTCTCTCTCTCTCCTTTTATTTTTTTTTTCCCCTTTCCCTTCTTCTCTTCTCCAGCTCGTGTCGTCTGTTAAGATCCCGGCTTGATTTGAATTAGTTATATGGTCTGCAGGAAACCGTTCTCTCCCCTCCACCGTTGTTGGCCATTGTCCCTCGCTTCACTGGCATTCCCTCACCTTCACTCGAGACCATTTATCTCACCAAGTCTCACCTTTACCTGGCTGACAAGTATCATTTTGTTTCAAAAACCCACAAAAAGCTTATATTAGAAAGAACCATGGATTTCTCCCGTTGATGGCAATGCTGTCATTACTCTTTGACTTTTGTCCCATCGATTTCGAGAGCTCCGTCACCATCAAGTCTATCCAAAACCCTCTATTTGCCTTTGTTATCAATCACCCATCGCAGTATACCCTCTAATTAGGGCGTTGTCTTGCCTTGGGACATCTGCCAATAAGATAATTAATCACCTTTCGAAATGGGCTCGACTCCTACACCCTCCCGAGAATCTATTTCGCGAAGCCGAATTCTCCGTACCACCACCACCAGCAGCGTCCATCGGCGAGGCGATTCCGATATTCAAACAACATGCAACTCACAAGGTCCGCCGAGGCTAGGTGTGCCCGATTGGTTTACAAAAGACGATGATCCGAGGACATCCACGAGTACATATGCCTCGACGATACCCTGTCGCGAAGAATTGAAGAAGAAAATCCACACAGAGCTCGTCCGCGACAGATACGAGGCATTTCCAGCTGAAGCGATCGCTTCAAATCCGACCAGCTTTGGCAGATTGTTCCCCTCGTGTAGAAAGCTTATGGTCAGCCACGACGATACGACCCGCGACGGTAACCTGAATCTACGCGTTTCCACGCTTGTGACTGAGACTCGAGGGCGGCAATGCGAAGTTATTCTTTTCCACCTGCGAATGCTTGACTTGCAGGAGAGGAAATTCTCGTTCAGACGATACTGTCGTCAATCTGGCAGAGAAGTGTGTCATTCCGCGAGAAAGTACCGAGAGTGTGCCAACGAAAAGCGATACACAGCGTTCTCCTGGGCCAATTTTTCGCCGTTTCGCCCAAAGTCGAAGTCTCAGCAGACAAACCTCAATCATCTCAGAAGGCAAGATTCGGGCTATAAATCAGGAACGGAGGAAGACGAGTTATCTGAGAAGAACGGGTTCCCCGAAAGGGATGCGCCACCCTCGCAAAATGAACCATCTCCAACAAACACGATAAAGCTAGAGTTTTCCAATTATGCTCATGTGGATGTCCAGAGACGTGGTTCGAAAATTTCCAAACGCTACGATTACGAATACTGGAGTACAAAATATCAGTGGAGGAGGTCAATTCGGCATCACGGCGGTTCCGAGGAGCTATCCTACCATCTGTATGATCTCAGTAAGCCGAAGCCCGTCGCACATATTGTCCCAGAGGCATTGGCTCCCATGGAAGCGTTTGACGAAGAGTCCAAGGGGGGTTGGGTACCGCCATCGTCGATATGGATCAGTGACGCGGCAATATTTGGCAAAATGAGCGATATCGCTGAGTGGGTTCTCCCTGCAACACATCTGGAACGGCATGTTTCAAGTTACTGACAACTAAGCATTAGTGTTGTCATCGCTACAGGCCTGATTGCCCTGGTTGATGACAATATCAGGCGCCGCTGGCACAACAAAGAAAAGTCACGCCCGTCCTCTCCCATTGCGTCCACGTTTATCAAGAGCGTCGAGTCTCTTGTTTCGACCAAGCTTTTCGACAAGATTTTCCAAAATCGATGGTCTTCCGGCTCTCAACATATCAATTCGATTCGCCAGCTAGTTTTTCGTGGCCACGGGTCATGATAACTTCTTATTATAAAATAGCGTATTAGCAATCGGTTTTATTTTATTCGATTAATGTATTAGTGCTCGACTTGTTTGCTTGCAAGAATGATGTGGACGAGTAGCAGTACAACATGAATGCACGATTCTGACACATAGGGGGCGTTTAGTCTCTCAGCTTTTCATATTTGAGCGCGCAATTGCATACCTACAGCACATGTGTTATGATATTTCTGAACGATGCACATAGCCGGTTTTGGTCTTACATGAATTTTTAATATCGTGTCCTGCACACACCCCAGTCGTTGCAGTTGCCATTAGGCTACCGTTTCTCCTATTCGAGCCAAATCTTTTATTCCCTGTTCGTCATTGTTCTGGCACTCGCATTTGGAAGAGACCTTTTTCTTTTTTTTTTTTTTTTTTTTTTTTTTTTCCGCGCACTCAGATGATCTCCGGGACTGATGGAATGGGCAGCATTGAGCATGTATCATAACAAGCAGCAACGAACAGTCAAAATTATCTAACTAATAGCGTGGATTGCATACTTTCGGGCGCAGATTTGAATACTTGCAGCCACGGTGCGGTTCGCGGGTCGATTTTGAATTTAGTTGAATGTGCCCCTGCATACTTACCAGGTATCCGGATGACACATGAGTGATGATGCTTCTGCCGGAGCAGAGAAGAGTGTTTTTCTTTTTCCTCACAGTTAGAGTATGATGGTGAAAGGGCATGGCTTTCGAAAGAGCCGGCCTTACTCGCCGCTAGCTGGTTAAGTTCTCGAGAAAGTATCGCCTGGTCTTAACTTTATGACGCCGCCAATTGAGGTGTTCACACCGTGTTCAGGCGGCTAAGCAGACGATTTTCGAAACACGGTGTTTCTTGCCTAATATTTTAATTTTAGACGGTTTGCGGTCACTTGCTTGACTAGAATTTCCCTTAATCACGTACTTTTCTCCCTGGAGTTCGTGTGGGATGAACAGCTGCACGTATGAATGCCCAACATAGAGCGAAAGCTCCGTGAGGGCGAAAAAAAAAAAATTGAAAAAAAACTGAAAAACCAGCGAATCATGTCTGCAAGAAAATCGGATGTCCCCTGTTGGACCATCCACTTTTATCCCAGCGCATCCCTGCTGGTGCCGCGTCTGTCTGCACGTCGGCCTTGCTGGAAGGACATGGGATTCAAGACGACCGACGGCCGCCCTTCTTGCTGCTGACTTTTCTGGGGAGCTCCACTGGCTGGTCGTCTATTTCTGTCTTTACAGCATTTCGAGAGCTTTTCCCCAGGTCTGCCGATCGGGGATCAACCCAGGAGACCTGCGGCCCTTCAGCTGCTTGACCCCTCCATGAAGGGCAGCAATTTTGTCTCCCACTCGTCTATGCCTCATCTTTTCACTCGTATGCTCGCTTTTTTGTATTTTCTTTCGGGTTCTCGCCTGTCTGCCAATTGATGAGCTGGCAACGCTCTGCTGGGCCCTTCGCAAGAGATCTCCGCTGCCCAACCTGCTCTCCCTCTCTCCACAACACATCACCCTGGCTTGGTCCAATTTTTTTTCTCTCTCTCTCATGACAATTAACCGGGCCGATTAACGCGATTCGATCTCGCCTTCGCCTAAGAGAGAGAAAAAGAGAGGGAAAAAAAAAGAATAAGAAAAAGAAAAAGGGAACTAGGGCAAAACCCCTCGCAGTTGACCCTCCGATTCGCACCGGGGCTGGCTATATCATACTGCGTCCGACTTTGGCCCATTTGCTTTACCCCTCCACCTTCAATCGTGCTCTGGTGGGGTAGAGATGATGCCTCTTCACCAATCATTCCTTTTCCGCGCCCCCTTTTCCCGCTGAGGTTGTTTTCCTTTCGTTCCGGAGGATATGCAGGCCTACATTTGCAGGGTTGTTTTGTTCACCCATTTAGCTTGTCATGTTCTCCCAAAAGATCTAATGGGAGTGCAGCGGGCCGACCCATCATCCTCCTGGCACCTTGTCGAGGATGGGGGTTAGCCCAACTGCAACGCACGGAGAGTTGCAAATGGCTTGTGCTGCGTGTGTGTGTGGAGGACAACTATGACATATTTGCCCATCCTGATTTCTTTTCTTTCCTGCATAATGTCCGGCTCATTATTAGGACGCTGGCCAGAACCACTCCAGTGGCGTGGATTCAAACGCGAATCCTCAAAGAACCTCTCACGTCGAGTGATATAAACGGCTTTACCTTAGCTCTACCGCTCCCGTCTCGATTCTTATAATATCCGCAGTGCTCCCTCCTTCTGTCGCCGATCGCATTGATTTCTCTTCTACAAAAGGAGGAAACCAAACGCGGATACCTAGCTTCCCCGACGTCACAACCCAGTGATACCCCTCATCCCACTGTCTTTCGGTAAGCTCCTTGGGATAATTGAAAGGTGTTGCAAGATATCTGATCCATCATGACCAGCTTGCACAGATTTCAGCCAAAGCCCCCTTGTGAAAAATGGCCGCTGCTACCGTTAACGGAGTGACCCGCCCCACATGGCAGGAAAAACTTCAAGGTTCGAGCTCTCCTCAGCCGTTTCAATGCTAAGAACAGCATCTTGTTAACATGCGCGATAGATTATTGCAAGCTGTCACAGCTGCCGGAGCCGGTTTTCAGCCTCGTATCGGACCGCCGAGGTATCTCATTCCATTATCCTTATGTTCAAACTTGGTTCACTTTCCCCGCCGCTCCTTGAGAAACAATTCTCCATCTACGTTTTCTTCTCGCAATGGGAACATTAGTGAAGGAATACGATGGCTAGCGCCCTTAGCTTAAGTTCGGAGAAGCATGATGTTGACATAAAGCCGTTCTGTCTTCCAGGAGGTCGAACCGCCTGGTCGAGTAGTGTGACCATCCAGGGTACGAACTTCGCTGCTCGCTATTTCTACGACGGCCAATACCTCCACAATGCCAAAGAAGACGCCGCCGAAGTTGCGCTCACGTGTCTGAACTCGCAATTGTCAGCGCCGCTCTCTACCACCCTGCCAGGACAGCTTTACACTCAAAACCAACAGGGGAACACACACAGCCGATCCAACCGGCCTTCCTAGTTGCAAGGCACCGTCGCCTTGACACGGCTTCTTCTAGTACAAACTACGTCCCACCACCGCATTTCTTTCGTGATTACGTCTCGGCGAGATATCGTCATTACAGCTCCATTACCTTTCCATAACTTCCTCCCCGATGATCGATTTTCTAGACATATCACCATGACGTCTCGTCGCGGCGTAACTTCACATGTACCTCCCTCTATCCTTTTCTTCCTCTTCTTCCTCTCTCCTCTTTTGGCTAGATTTTTAGGGCAGCCTGTACGTTTGACACGGCAGAAATGGGCTTTTTTTTTGTACTTCACAGTTTGAAAAGAGCGGCGGATTTCTTTGATCATTGGGAAAGGAATAGGGCAACCTTTTTTTTTTTTTTTCTTATTTTTCTATTTTACAGAATATCGTGGAGGCATCTTGGTTACCGTTTCTCATCGATTTGCAGCATTTTTATTTCTTCGCATTTTATGAGCTAGTTTGATATTCAGCTACATTGGGAAATTGGGTTTTGGAGGCGATTCCGCCAGCTTTTGGCCTTATATCGATGGATTGATCACGGTGTTGCCATATTAGATATTCGATATTCGAAAATATTTTGGGCGACATGGTGGGCTGCTGCACTGACATCAATGTTCAGCTGGACCTCGGGTAGTTATAGGCAGTTATTTCTCGACCACTTCATGCCCTCTTTTTTTTTTTTTTTTTTTTTTTTTTTTTTCTTATTACATATATTTCTCAGGCTGAATAACTGTTGCATATCCGTACGTTACCTCCAGAACCCAATTAGTTTTGCCAGGATTGAATGGAATGGACGTCAGCTCACGGCCTTGCATACGCAATGTAATACTACCTTCGAGAGGCACATACCGCCTAAGGAGGGTGAGGTTTGAGTGTTCGCCGGACTCGCGAGCGTGCGTTGGTCGTCCATCTCGCTCATCAATACTCTGCCGCCGAGCCCAGTAGCCCTCTTTTTTTTTTTCTGGGAAACTTGGAAAGCCCCGAATGCCGGGCCTAGCCGTGGTTGTGGTAGCCAGGTTCCGGCAGCCAGCTGTCCATGGGGGCGTCGGTGCTGTGGATTGGCTGCACGAGGGTTGACGGGCTATCCGGTTCAATTGGGACGCCCATCGTTGATTACATACTTATAGCCTTGCCCGTGCTGTGCAGTCCAGCAAATATATAACTTGTTGAGAGAGCCCTTTTGCCCGGGCCATGGCGTTGCGCGCTCTTCTTTTCCCGCCGCTCTGCCGCGTTCGTCGCCGTCCTGCTGTGTCTGTGCTGAGCCAATTAGGACACCTGACAATGCTGCGGGACCCGCAGGGAGCCGACCCCACGATCCACCGAACGAACCATCAGGGCAGCGAGACCGGAACAACCCCCAACAAGGCCTCGCTCGCCCGTCACCTCACTTCACGCTGGCTCCCTCGGTCATGGAGACCGATACCGACCCATCCTGGCCAGCACCCAATCCAGCCTCACGGAAACCCTATCATTGCGCAACGGAGCCGCGAACTATTATTATTTCTAGGCGGTTAGACAAGGAGTCCGAAGAGGGAGGGAAACAGGAAAAGGACCGACCAACGAAAAATAATAATAGCTATCGGGCCAAAAAAATTCTAAATTGATCGACCATGCAGGCCTGCGATCGTTGCCATCGCCGAAAGTCACGATGTGATAAACAGGTACCTCTCTGCGGCCCGTGTATGAAGGCCGGTGTCCCCTGCGTATATACAGATCGTTCCAAAGAGCCGACGTATAGAAAAGAGGTTGTCGAGCGGTTAGAGCGCCGGCTGAAGCAGTGCGAGGCGACTAATCGTGCTTTGGCTGCGAGATTGGCGAGTGCTAACAGTCAGCTTGCTGCGGCCACGGGAGTAAATGGCGCCTCAAGTGAGGATCGGGCAATGGCTGCCCTCCCTCAGGACCAGCAGCAGCAGCAACAGCAGCAACCACGGTCAGACAGCGACAATGAGGTGACGGACGAGGTTTCGTTCCTATCCCTGACTGCTGGCGGGGAAAGGCAATTCTTAGGATCGGGCAGCGGAGTGCTGTTTGCCAACCTTGTTCGTGCTACAGTAGAAGCAACTTCTGCACCTACTTCGTCAATTGCTCTCAAAACCAGAGAGTTCCAACGCAATTCTCCCTATCCCGCCGGTGGTCTTCCCGGATCTCTCGCATCAATACCGAAGACCGACCTCTCCCAGATTCCCCCTGAACTATTCGCGCGAGACCTACACCATGCATACTTCGAACATGACCACCTTTGCTACCCTTTCCTCCATCGCCCTACCGTCCTTGCCTCCTTTGAACAAATATACGCAGATCCATCGTCCCTGGATCGCGACCACTCCGCTGCGTTTGTATACTATATGATATTAGCTATATCGTCGGTCGATTTCCATAAATTCGATTGGCAGACGAGACCTGATGCCGAAAATTTTCACGCAATTGCATTGGCCAGGCTTAATGAGGTCCTGCAGCTTGGTGGGATTAAGGCGCTACAAGCCATCCTTCTGCTTGTGCAGTATCGGATGAGGAGTTCAATCCAGGATACTTCTGCAAGTATGGTCTGCCCGCTGGACGAGATGGGTCATGGGTGATGATCACTGATTTCTTTGTTTTTCCTCTCTTGTTCTCTCTAGGCATGTGGCATTTAGTCGGAGTCGCGGCGCGAATATGCTTTGAACTTGGCCTTCATCGAGAGCTTGTATATCAGGTTCGTCAGACTCCCGATCCGTCTGGGTTAAGCGCGACGGATCAATTCATTCGATCAGAAACTAAACGTCGGTGTTTCTTTTGCGTCGTTGCAATGGATCGGTACGTTCCTCTCTTTTTATGTGGATCTCATATGATATAGTACCCCTTCTGTTGACAAGACGGAAATCAGTGTTGTGAGCATTACGCTGGGCCGGCCCTTTGCAATTCGACTCGAGGATATCGACGTTTCTCTCCCCGATTCCCAATTCGATTTGGATATCACCCCACCTGGATCCAGCTTTCACCCGTCAACCGGCGAGTCATTTTCTCGCACGGCCTTGTTCGTTCACATTGTTCGCTATAGAACCCTATGTGGCAAGATCCTCGCTTCGTTGCACAGTGGAAAGCGCCCTCAGCAGAAAGTCGAGGACAGTGCTGCTTTGGAAGTTCGAGAAAGCCTGGCAGCGGAACTTGAGGCATGGCGCCATGACACGGCTTCCCTCAATCTTCCTGCTGTAGATCTTTCTAGTGCAATACCGGGTGACAGGTCAAGTTTCCGTGCACATGAGTGGTACGAGATTTTATACCACAACGCAATTCTGATGCTCTACCGCCCGTCCCCTGCATTTTCGGCAGTTTCGACGAAAGTTCCAGTCTCGATACAAACGATCTTTATGGCTGCGAAGCAATCTATCACTTTGTATGCTCATCTCCATCGCTCTAGGAGGATTAACTATACATGGATTACGCTACACGCCGTGTTCATGGCAGGCCTTTCTTACGTTTACGCCGTTGGTCGGCATTTTCGCGCAAAACGTCGAATAGCAGCCGGAGGCCACGCGACCACGATGCTCGACGAAGATCCATCTATCATAGAAATTGTGAACGAAACCCGTGCTTGCTCTAACGTGCTGGTAGCTGTATCCGAGCGCTGGTCTGCCTCCCGCAATTCTCACGACGTGTTCCACCGTCTGAGCGACGCAGTTCTCGCCGATGCCATTGAACTTTTAAGCTCGCCACCGCCGTCATCAGCGACTAGCCAACATCCGCAAGGTTCCATACCAATTGGCGGGCTGGGTTCTCCATCCAGCATGTCCATGAGCGGAATGGCCCATATGAATAATACCACAAGCACACCCGGTGGCCTGGAAACGTCATGGCCTGTGCCGGATATGGTGACCAGTCCGCCGCTGGCGGTGGATTCAGTGTTGAGGGATTGTTTTAGGGATTTACAAAATATCCACGAGCATGGTTGCGGAGATGATCCGATTGGGAGACTGTCGCAGGATTGGTTGGGAGAGATTGGTGGGATGTCATTGGAAGCGGTGCAGATTTGGGGAGAGTAGCAACAATCCCGTGAATAAACGCATCACGGTATCTGGTTCACGATTGTGTGAGCTCCGGGGAGTGTCAGTCCAGTGTGCCAATCTGCGACGGACCTCCCTGCACAAAACGATGGCCTGAGACTCTTTCACCTATTCTCTCAACTAGGAGCTTCGGCACACTCCTATTGAAAAAGAAATTGTATGACTAAATCTGTGATACGAATATCAATGCCATCTGAGCATTCCTCACGGGGATTCGCTCACGCCAGTCGATGCTAATTGACTAGCTGTCCTTTGACTAACTGTTTGAGTGAAAAGAGCAAGGATACTGCGCCTTCATGTGCGGTTGATATTATGTGCCTCAGTGACCGGTATGTGTGACGGTCGTGAGATCTTTCTGAGTGATATGGGGCAGTTATGGCATTGGATTGATGATTCTCCTATAAATCTCTTTTTAACCAATGTTCTATTTCGGAAGGGCAGCTTTGGGTTATATGGAGTACCTAACGCATATTTGGGTGCAGGATACCCGTGTATTTGGGCTATGTTTGGTATGGGATAGATAAATCAGGGAATACAGATAATGATAGCTCTCAGTTTGAATATTTGGCCTACCAGTGCCCTCTACATCCTCATAGTATGATTTTTATCGACAAATAAAAGCATTTCTAGCTTCTAAGATAATGTAGACAATAAGGGCTTTGGAATCATGACCAGGATAAATGTGAAGCATGGTTTTCTTGATGCTGCTAGCATTTAATACCGAGACAATCGAAAAGAGAGTTTCGGCGCTCAGTGACTTTTGCGGGTCCTTTGATCACAGCTTTCACTAGATAACATCGCCGCATTTGATTCATCTCAACACTGAAAAGAATAGCACAAATTAGGACTCGATAAAATAATGAGATGAAATACCTTTTCCGCAGTTTAATTGTTCCACGCTCTACCCTATACCCTACTTCACAGCAACTCAAAAGCATCGGCAAATTTATTCATTACTCCGCAGCCATGCCCGCCGAAGAAGCAGCATCGCGTGCTCCGTCAGTCAGCATGAGCTACTCACCACGGAAACCAATGCCCTCTGCCCTAACATTTGATCTTGAAGCTAGATGCTCAGTACGTCAGACCTTCTACGTCGTACTACCATGGCTAACGTGCCAAATTATGTAGACAACCAAAGCCCGCGCCAGCACCCTCATACTACCCCACGGTCCCGTCCAATTACCCATATTCATGCCCGTTGCGACACAAGCGTCCCTTAAAGGACTCACGCCGGATCAGCTGAAGCAAACTGGATGCATGTTATGCTTGAACAACACATATCATTTGGGGTTAAAGCCAGGCCAGGAAGTGCTAGATGCGGTAGGCGGCGCGCATAAATTTCAGGGATGGGATAGGAATATATTGACGGATAGTGGTGGGTGAGTTACACACCAGCCTGCCATTTGAGAAGCTCCTCTTCTGGGCTGGAATTCCCAGATAGAGCTAGGCTATTTTGCGGTGATATTGTTTCGTTGCTAATGGGGAAGATTTTTGTCATTATTTCCTGATCTAACAGGTTCCAGATGGTGTCATTATTGAAACTTGCTAGGGTTACGGAGGATGGAGTTCGATTTTTAAGTCCGCATGATGGGACGCCGATGTGCGTGTTCCGTGGACCCCTCTTCCTTTCCTCGAGATACATGGCTGATTTGGTGAAGGCTTCTTACTCCGGAACACTCGATATCACTACAGAATTCTATAGGATCAGATATTATTATGCAACTTGACGATGTCATCGCTACTACGTCCCCCGATCACGCCCGTATGAAAGAAGCAATGGAGCGTTCGGTACGCTGGCTAGATCGATGCATTGATGCGCACAAATACCCTGAAAGACAAAACTTATTTTGTATCATACAAGGTGGTCTTGATTTGGAGATGCGCAAAGAGTGCTGCAAACAAATGGTCGAGAGGGATACTCCAGGTATTGCCATTGGTGGGTTGTCGGGAGGTGAAGCGAAAGATGAATTCTGTAACGTGTAAGTAATGACTTCCCTCATTAAAGGCAGAGTGTTTCGTGCTAACGTCTGTATTTAAGAGTTGATACATGCACAGAGCTATTACCTGAGAATAAACCAAGATATGTCATGGGCGTGGTGAGCATCCACCGGAGGCCTGGGTACTCTTCGTCAGACTAACGGCGTTAAAGGGATACCCGGAAGATCTAGTCGTAGCGGTCGCATTGGGTGCAGATATGTTTGATTGCGTTTGGCCTACTCGAACGGCTGTGAGTAATGTGACTGATCCACATGCATCATTCCTGAAACTAATTTCAACAGCGATTTGGAAATGCCGTGACATCTTCAGGTACTTTGAGCCTTCGACATGCCTCGTTTGCAAACGATTATAGACCAGTTGAGGAAGGGTGCAAGTGCACTACATGCAGACCGAAATCCGAAGGCGGGCTCGGTGTGACGCGCGCGTTTATTCACCATTTGGCATCGAAGGAAACAGCGGGTGCGCATTTGTGAGTTCCTTCGAACATCCTTGAGTGCGAGCCCAAGATAGCGGCAGCTAACATACATACTAGGCTGACCATGCATAATGTTCATTACCTCCTTTCTTTGATGAACTCCGCAAGACAGGCAATCATTGACGATCGATATCCGGCCTTTTGCCGCGAGTTTTTCGGAAAACTATATAGCAACCGTTCAGACTATCCTGACTGGGCGGTCAATGCGCTACAGAAAGTTGGTGTAGACTTGATGGTAGATTAAGTATTAGCCAGGAAAGGCGGGGAATGCGATGGGACCCTGTAGAGGGTGACTTTATACTTTGATATCCTCTGCTTTGCAACATGCCTTGCATTTGGATTGTGTTGGTTGTGCATTGTTGCGAATTGTTTTGTATGCAAACATATTCAGGTTCACCTTCAGCTACCCGGTGTGCTCCACAGAGATAGCTCCTTAAATGATTTGTCCGACCGATAGTATGTTCTGCTGCAGAGTCCAGTATCTCGAGAATCTCGTGGGCTTAAAGTAGTTTTAGAGTTGCCGCGTGACAAACCTTATTTTCGCGTCGTGGCTCGACGCGACAGGAGCCGATAAGATAACCACCGCAGCTGCATCTTTTCGTCTTCAATTACTCCATTCACACAAAACGCTGCGGAAGCAACAGGTTCTTAATGTCCAGATATGGCCTCAAATACACCTGTTGACCATGTTCAGGCACTTCAAGCGCCGACAACACCCTCCGCCCCATTCCCTTCACCGTCGCCCAACCCGGCCCATGATCCCACTCATGAAGAGCATCAATACCTTAATCTTATCCGCACCATACTCGCAACAGGCGAACACAGACCCGACCGTACAGGAACAGGTACATGTGCCATCTTCGCTCCTCCACAGCTTCGATTCTCCCTCTCCAAACCCGGTCCTACGCCGTCATCCACTCCAATCCCTATTCTACCTCTCCTCACCACCAAACGCGTCTTCCTTCGCGCCGTAATCCTAGAATTGCTCTGGTTCATCTCGGGCTGCACTTCTTCGCTTACTCTTAGTGAAGCAGGCGTAAAAATCTGGGATGGAAATGGGAGTCGAGAGTTCCTTGACTCCGTTGGTCTCTCGCATCGTGAAGTTGGTGACTTGGGCCCTGTATACGGGTTTCAATGGCGCCATTTTGGTGCAGAGTACGTGGATGCGAAGGCAGATTATAGCGGCAAGGGGGTGGACCAGATTGCAGAGGTGGTTCGAAAATTGAAGGAGAATCCGTACGACCGACGGATTATTCTGAGTGCATGGAACCCGGCGGATCTGAAGAAGATGGCGCTGCCGCCGTGTCATATGTTCGCGCAGTTTTATGTATCTTTCTGCAACGCAGCATTGCCGGAGATGGAGAATGGAACGAATGAAGATGCGGATAAGAAGCAAAAAGGCACCTTGAATTGTCTTCTCTACCAACGATCGTGCGATATGGGCCTTGGGGTACCGTTTAACATCGCCTCATACGCTCTCCTTACACATATGCTTGCTCACGCCGCCGACTTATATCCTGGTACCCTGATTCATACTATGGGCGACGCGCATGTGTACCTGGACCATATCGCAGCCTTGCAGGAGCAGTTGACACGGGAACCTACAACGTTCCCGGAGCTGAGGATCAATCGAACGGATCGCGGCAGTGGGGATATGGACGGATGGGCAGAGGGCGATTTTGAGGTAATTGGGTACAAGCCGCATAAGATGATTAAAATGAAGATGAGCGTGTAACTGCGACAGTTTCTTGTTTCCAAACGTTTTGGGACGTTTCGGACTGCATTTATACCCGCATTGCCCCTTTTTGCTTATACGAACTATACGCAATGAATAGAAACGGTTTTCATTAAACTGTCGTCAATATATTGAAATTTGGCCAAATATCAAGGCAAAATTGTTATTCTTATCCCGTCAAATGCGCCCAGAACTCCCATGCTCTTGTAAGATAGATATCTAATGTAACCCAGAAGACTTGCTCACGAAAATAACGCCCAAATGAAGAAATTTCAAGATTAGGCCATACACGGAAGAGATCATGCCTCGATCAAATCGGGTATCGGTGGTCCCACGCCCCTCAATAAGACTATTGTGTCACCTTGCGCAACCTTGCAGTTCCCAATTTTCTCTGAGAAATCCAAAAGCCTTCCCCCTTCAACATGAAATACCCTCAATCTTTCATCCTCCCCTTCCACACGATTATTCACATTCTGCACCTGTAATCTCTTTGCAGCATCGTCCAATACCCGCCCCACACTCCATGACGAATCAAAGTAAAAGTCCCCGGAGGGAAATTTCGACTTCGTCGTATCCGCCGACGCCTCGACATGGAGATAAAACCGCTTCGATACATCGAGGTTCGAGTCGCCTTTCGCTGATCTCTTCAGCGCATTTAGGTTCGCTATCCGCGTGGCTGCGCTGCTTGGTGGCTTGGGCTTCGGTGCTAGATTCGCCGTGACGCTCGACGACTTGTCTTTCCCCCAAGCGCGCAACTTGGAAAATGCGGAACGCGCTTTGTCTACGTTTGTCTGCGCCACAGATTTCCCTCCCACCGGCCTCGCTCCGAGAGGGATTAGCTTCGTACAATCATGGTCTTCGCGCAACCGATGTGACAAGCAATAATGCCTATTGCAATTCTGGCAATGTACGCCGGGATTCTGAAGCGTGTGGATAAGCGTCTTGCACTTCGGGTGGGAACACTGCGCCGAGTTATAGATCGTCGGTTTAGAGTTGGGCAGCAGTGTCGACGGCGAGAGCATACGGTTATTATTGTTATTGTTACTCGTGGCACTGGCTTCTTTCCTCCTTCGCGCCGCAGCCCATTCTCCGGCGTTGGGGCACTTGTGCGCCGTTTCGGTCCGATGGTCGAGACAGTACGTCTTCTTGCATGATTCGCACCGGAATGGGAGGAAATCAAGTTGGTGACAGTATTCGAACTGGCAGTGTTTGCCTATCGATTCGAGGTCGTGCTCTGGACCCATTTGCGTGTAGGACTCTCGCTGCTGGCCTGTCGCAGGTGATGGAAAAGGTGGCATGGCGACGAGAAGGATATTTCACTTGAAAATTGTTCAAAGGCTAAAAGAGTGGTAGGATAATTACAAATGAGCGATTATCAATCATCAATCATCAAGAAAGGACACTGAGAGAAAGTTTCTTCGCCGTTCGCTGTCCCGATGTCGTGCTGTTCGGACACTCGCAGGCTACCAGCGCACTTCGTCATTCGAGCGACGGCGGAGAGAACATAGCTTAGTAAGCACCAAGGATGGGGCTGGTGGTTGTGGAGCCACAGGGAATGTTCCAGCCACATCTAGCGCACGGGGATACCGGACTATATATGTTCCCCATCCCGGGTGCTTAGTCATTGGACAGCAAAAAAGCACTTATCACAATCCACACGTATCAGCCCTTGCTCCTTGACCCTGCCAGCTTCGAAGGAATATATATATATACATATACATATATATATGAGGAGGAAAAACATGGCCTACAAGGGCAAGATTCACAGTACAGTGGGGGAAACCCAAGGTCGAGTTCTCACCCAAGATCTTACTGGTCTCTTGGGATGCCACATTACTTCAACCCCGCGCCGAAGTCGCTGGGTTAACCAGGTCTAACCACACCATTTGCTCCATAGACCGGGGTTAAATGTATGCATCTTGCAGCCTTGTGCACGCAAGGCTGGCAATGTCAAGGTTTGGCTGCTTAGAAAAGCCCATGGCGCCCGCTTCGTCTCTCTTGACAGAGCACCTTTTCTACTCAGTCCAGGTAAATAGGCTGTGTTTCAAGCTATCTGCCCGCGCCACTTCTACATTGACAGTTAGCGATGCCGATAACGCCGCAAGACAAAAGCTTCATTGGCAGCGAAACCGCGGCCCAAGAGCTCTACGGTATCGGCGTACGCCTCGGATTCTACTTTCAAGGAATTGGCCTCTTACTACATATAGCCCGAAGCCGAAAGTCCGCCGCGGGTCTCAAGTTTGCTAGTGGAAGCATCTCGCTCTCGCTCCTCGTGTCATGGACTGTCCTTGCAGCGAGACAGGCACTGAGTTCCTGCGAAGCATACATTGTCCTTTTACTCCTGTCCACGATGACGCTACCCGGCCGCATTGCATTTATGACCGAAGATGTCTCACCCGGTGAAGGCGTGGGGATATTTCTGGTGCTATTTGCGGAAACGTGGGTGACTACTGCATACGGCTGGTTTTTTGTACGCCTCTCTGTTACGCTGCCAACACTGGGGACGAAGAACGTGACGTTTTTTTTCGCCAAAGTATCTCTGCAAGGATGGTTTAGGACGCTCGGACTCGTCGTCTTTTCTCTCACCTGTTTTACCATGCTTTTCTTCCTATATTTTAGCATAAGGGCACTACGGACAACCTTCGCTTCATACCGAGATGGAGGGCGACCACTGACTGAGGACGAGAAAAAGTCTGCAGTCCCCTTTGTGACCACGATAGCATCCTATGCCTTCGCCCATGGGGTGGATACTTCAACACTCAACCCACAAGAGGTTGAGATGATAAAAACGCTCATTCAACGCTTTCATAATTCTGCGATCCGCAGCTTGGTCTCCATCTTCTCAGTCTTGTTTTTCATAACCACAGTCGAGCTCACTATCCATTGGAACGATCTAAGCCCGATTTCAGACTTGACGTCGCCTGGTCAGTTGATCCCGCTTGTCACGGGGATCGTTGCGCTGTGGGATGACTTTCTTATCTTGGTCCGCCCAAGGAGCTCTGATGAACTTACTCCTGGAGCTAATGGTATGATCCCTGTATCGAGCTCGTGAAGCGAATGAAGTGTATAGACGAGTGTGGCTCCAAGAATCTAAACAGCGGGATCTAGCTCTACTATACTCCGTATATAATGGAGAGCAGATGGGTGACCTGTGATCCGTCATCGCAAAAGAGCCTAAGTAAGAAGAACAACGATACAAGTGACCTTAGGAATTGGAATCTAGCATGTGGAGCTGTGTGCTGGTAGTGGAAAGAGAACAGAAGAGACAAGCATACTAACAAAAGAAATACCTACAGAAGTGCATATTGCGCTCTTCAATAGTTATATATAGCTTTTCCAAACCACATAACATAGCTAATAAATGCCTCTTGATAGCAGCAGCAAAAGCAAGAATTCAAAGTGAAATGGCCGCCCGGGCCATTGTGTATACACATAATATTTCTTAGAGCACAACCCATCCTAAGGAATGCATTCTAGTAGTCAAGGGATAAAACAAAGACTAACATAAGGTATCCCCTGTGCAGTTACAGCTTTCTTCCAAAGGCTTTTCGAGGTTATCAATGCTTGCTTTTAGGATCGGAAGAAGTCAGCACCTCGCCACTATTATTTCAATGCCATCATCTCACAGCCTTCCTTTTAGCATGTAGATGGTGAAGTAGACGGGAGGCCTTGCTAAAATGTCACTGTTAGACTGTGCCTTTTTTCCCGATGTTACTGGCCCTTTTTTGCGACACTACCTTGATTGAAGATTATTACTTGACTAACCAGAAGGTAAAGGGTGTTTGTTTTCCTTGTTCCTACTCTCTGCAACAGGGTTATCAAATTCACACAAGAAGATTAAATACATACTAATACTCAATGTAATTGTGAATAAACTAGTGGATTGAAGACAAAAACAGGAATAAAGAAGATATAGGGTATATGGATAGACAGTGTGGGTAATATGCAACGCCAACACCAGAAACTAATGTCCCAACAGACTACGCTGGGGTATGGAACGAAAGGAATAGATATGTGGGTGATTAAAAAGGGCGAAAAGAAAATAAAGCGTAAGGATCAGTCCAAAGGGAAGCACACTAACTAGACAATGGATTCGTTCGAAGGGTATATCAACTATGAACCGGTATTGCTATCGCGGGAAGGGCCAAAGGGAATGACAGAAGTCGAGGTGAAAACAGGAAGGTCTTCCTTTGTGTAAGCTTTTGGAGGGGCCGACTTGACTGTGGTTTGGGGTCTGGCGCAGGGTGACAATGGTGTAAGGGGCGGAGAAGGAAAAGACGGGTGGTCGGTAGTTTGGTGCTGTTCGCGACCTGCAGAGATTGCGAGTGAGTGCTCGGTAGACGAGACTGGGGTTGATTCTGAGGGAAGAGGAATCATACGTGGGTCGGCGGTGTCAGACTCAGCTCTCGGAGCTTCTGAAATAGTCGCATTACGCGAAGTTTTCGATGTAGACTTTCCTGCGATCTGCTTCGTCGGCTTTGCGGCAGGGGTCTTCTTAGCTGTCTTTGACATATTTCTATTCCGTTCTTCGGCAATTCTTGCAGCTTCCCTCGCAGCATGCTCTTCGGGAGTCGGAACTTTCAGTTTAAGGCTTAATTTTTTCACGCCATTGGAAAGGTGGTCGACATCTCCGTGCTGGGATTGTGCGGAGGTGGTGTCGAGCGGAGTGGATTTCCTGGATCCTGATCGATCACCCACTCCCACAGCTCTCTGCTTTTGCACATTTATCCCCATAGATGTCGCAGGCCTAGTACTTGCTTGTGCCCGGCTAACTGGACGGCTGGAAGCTTCACGAGGTTTGCGCAGAGAGATATTCCTAGGAGCTGCACTGCCCACCGATGCCACGCTCGAAGTGACGCTAAGTTTTCGTGAATGCTGTGGCACCACCACCTGAGTCTGATCAAGGGACTCAATTGGTGTTTCAGGAAGAGCACCATCAGCCAGATCACTGGATGATGCAATGGTGGTCCGACGAGTACTGCGAGATGATGATCTTGAATTTCCGGGCTGCAGCTCTGGGATGACCGGTGCTTTAGGCTTTCTTTCCCGAAGTTGCATATGCCCGCGTTCAGAAACACTTTCAAGGTCAGTAGATCCTGTCAGCGAATGGCGCTCTCGTTTGGACCTTGCGTTCTCTCCCTTCAAATCAGCGTGCTTTAAGCTCGAAGTTTGCCTATCAGTAGGTATGATGGCCTTCGACAGTTCAACCGCTGCCAGGGCCCAGTCGACTTCTGGAAGGGAGAACGGCTCATCCAGAGTAGCATGGTGTGAAAACAAAACACCACGTTCCCTGACTGGGGTGACGGCTTTCGCAGCGGATGCCTGGGTGTGTGCCAAAAAGCTTGGCTGACCCTTTTCACGGAGCTTACGAATAGGCGCCGGAGGCGGTTTCTGTGCAATTATCTCAAGTTCTTCCAACATAGGTCCAGTCCACCATATAGTATCAAAAAGTATGGGTTCCTCAGTTGAGTCACAACTTGGAGCATTGCTAGCCTTATCACTCAGGTTAAGGCGACTGAACATTTCAGAAGCGAGGCGGCTTTGCGCATCCATATCGTCGACAACAACATTTCGAGTATCAGCAAGCGCTGAGAGGTGGCTGAAAATACCGCTAGTTAGCGCTCGATCACTATATCCTCCTTCAAGGACACTAATAATCCTTCCATCCACGGCTAGATCTTCTTCTTCGGCGAGTCGGTTGATATCTGACGTAAATTTAGCGTAGAAGTCCGTCGGAACGTTGACTTTATGCCTCTGCATGCCGATCCCTTCCCATTCACTAGCGTCGAATCCCGCAGAGAGGAAAATCGCAGCTTTTGGGTGTGTAGAATTTGGCGAGTCGCGCAACTGTTGGGAGCATGACCGCAAGAAACAGCGAGCCTTATCTAGAAGGACCGCGTATTTCGTATTGTAGAGCTGCCAGAACTCCATGGCGTCCTTCCATGGTTCAAGGTGCACATTCCAAACGGACTGTCCATGAGCATTGTCAATGCAGACGCTGGCGCTCATGACTTTAGCTTCATCGCCACTTTCGCACGGATATGAGTTGATATCGTGCAAACTGAAATATCCGATCCTGGTCTTTTTATGCAGTGGCGCATTCCTGGATGCCGATATGGCCCTTTGATTCTGTTCCCAAGCAATAGCCTGAGAGCCATCGCCATGATGCAAGTCAAAGTCAATAATCGCGGCATGTGTAAGACCGTGGGTCATTGCAGCGTGCGCGATGCCGACATGTACATTATTCAGCCAGCAAAATCCAGAAGGAAAATTTGAGGAACAGTGGTGCCCGGGGGGACGAATGCATACAAAAGCTCGACGTGTGGCATCCGACTCAAAAACGGTATCAATCGCCTCACACACGCCTCCCAATGCACCTTCAAACGCATTTAAAGACTCCGGACAGAGATATAAATCACCTTCATGAAGTTTCGGCACGGAACCAGAGCTATCACTTCCTGAACTGTTTGGACGAACAAGCTCCTTGCCATTCAGCGCCAAGCGCGATTCCGCCGCGTCACACATCATTTTCAGTTCTCCCATCCACTTTGCCCCATGGACATGTGTGATCGCTGGAGAGTTTAACGGTAAAGTTCTCGTCGTTTTCAGAATCTGAAACGGGGGCACCGGTAACGAACTTAGGTCTAGGTCGGGGTGAGGTGCACAGCGATGATTCCCCCATCTTTTCCCCATCCGAACGTACGCAGACGCGACACCCAAGATCCCTGCGCGTAGACGTTCCGGGCGCTCCACTATGGATTCTAACCCCGCTTTAGAAGTCCTTGGGCGTGAATATCTATGTCCATAACAAGCATCTTGAAGGATCACGACCGTCTTTGATCGTAGGTCTGTGGACTGGTGAAGCGCAAGCTCTTTCTCGAAATGCTCCGCAGCGATGGATGAGGCGGTGGGCAGGGGAGGAGGTGAAGGACATTCCGACATGACGGAAGGGGATATTGGTCGCATCATCGATCCTGGCGTTGATAGGAATTGGTGGGACGCGCGTCTCGAGGTGCTGGGGCGCGGAGAGCCAACGCCGTTGGAGTTCTGAACGGAGCGGAGCGAAGCGGTAGACAAGCGTTTCTTCAAAGACGGGGTGGAGGACCGACGGTCTTCCCTCAAAGAGTTAATGCTGGGTGTTCTTCGAGGAACGGGAGAACGGTGCGCGAGAGCATCATGTTGCGCCTGCTGGGGCTTGTCGAGGGTTCGATAGGATTGGGAAGAGGTTCGCGAGGGGGACTGACGGGGCAAAGCAGCCTGAGGAGCCAACGAGAGCTGATTGAAGGAGCTCACCAGCTGCTCACGCTCATTGTTTGTTGTGAGAGTGCTCTGTCGCCCTGACGATCCAGCGTGCTGTTTGGGCGCCATTGCAGGCGGGGGTTTCCGCCCGTCCATCTTCTCTCACGGGACAGTTAACTTATGGCCCAGTGTAGCTCTTCCAGCTCAGACAGCAACTAGATGTATCCTAGATGGCGAATGCTGTCCTTGCATGGTGGCCTGAGGTTGTGAGTTGAAGCCAGCTTGTGCAGCCTGAGGGAGTTTGGGGTTAGAGATTCCAGATCCTTTGGCAGGGAGGGGGGCAAGCTAGGTAGTTAACTAGCTAAGGGGCTGCACTGGCTCCCCCTGCGAATCTCATGCATGAACGCCAACCTCCCCGGCCCAACATCCCCATTGACCACACCGCACAGCTAAGCATAAGGAGCATCCCTACCTCTTACAGGGGAATTTGGTACCAGGGAATAAAAATAACAAAAAAGCAATAATGGCGCTACAGTAGTACACTCTAAAAACGAGAATGAAACCGGGAGGCGTCAAAAAAACGCAATGTAACTGGGTCCCGCCGCGATTCGAACGCGGGGCCTCTCGCAGCTTTGAGTTGAGCCCAAAGCGAGAATCATACCACTAGACCACGAGACCTGCTCGCTTGCCAAGCGACTAGACCGAATTCTCTGATGAGAAAAGTCTGCAGTCAACGAGATAGACAATGAGCTGAAGAGCTGTCGCTGGTTCTGGAGCGTGTTTTGGCGGCTGGTTGATTGGGTGATATGACCAGCAGTTGGGATTACAGAGTGAGTCGTCGGGAATAAAATCCCTCTACGTAGTACATTGATTGCCTACTTAACAAACCAAGTAGTTAACCCAGGGAGTTTAGCTAACTACACGGCGGTGTGTGACGGCGCGCAAATAACCTGACTGGTGGTTGAAATATGCAAGCGAGATCACAGCTTTTAACTACAATACTTAACTAGTTAATACTCCAGGTGTGATTTGATAGCCAAGGGGCAGCCGTCACTGCCACCCTTCATTTTTGGTACTCATTCCCATATATACATTCATAAATAGATATGTACTCTTGCCATGTAACTACATCCAAGCTCAAAGCAAGTGCCAAAAGAGTGCGGACGAGCCTAGCTTTGGGACCGGTGGGCCCCTGAAACCATGCCCAAGAAGGGTATCACCGCGAAATATACGTAAGGGCGGGTTGGAGGGGGGTAGATGTCGCGATAGAGATGGTTAAAGTGTTTACAAACCTTCCTGGAAGGCAAGTTCAGTCATGAAGCCAACAACCACCTTGACGTGCTCGGCCATGTGGTTGAAGTTGAGGCCCTCGATGACATCGTTGGCAGTGTGGATGCTTGGTCTCAAGTTATCGATGGTGCTCTCAGCGACCATAGCGGCGGGGAAGTTGTATCGATTGGCGGAGGCGTGGTCGGAGCAGGCGTAGCCACAGCGGGTGTCGGAGGTTGGGAGGTCGGAGTACTATGGTGGAAAGCTGGTTAGCTGCGTTGACTCTTCAACACGAAACAGGAAGAATTGCTCACCTCGCTGACAACGTTGCGGGCGAAGTCGGTCAACTCGGCGTCGACGTTGTCGGTGATGATACCGAATTCCTCGCGTGTTCCTTCTCTGACATAGCCGGTCATATCCTGGTTCAACATGGCCTTGATCTGTCGGCGTTGTTGAGCGTATTGGGCAAAGATGTCGGCGGAGCCGAGCAAGCCAAGTTCTTCACCGGCATACCAGTGGAATTCCATGCTGTTGGGCGCATTGCCGGAAGCGACGTCCTCGTTCTCCAAAACCTTACGCAGGGCCTCCAAGATGGTAACGGAGCCACTGCCGTTGTCATCAGCACCGGGGGCGCGTCCTGTCTCTCGTTGCTGCTGATTGATGCTGTCCTGGTGAGCACCCACAACAACGGTGTTGTTCGAACGGCCTGGAATGGTGGCGATGACGCTGAATTGACTGAATCTATGATCGAATCTCTCGACCCTGACTCCCTGGACATCACCAACGGCCGCTTGAACCTGCTCCATGATCCAGGTTGCCGATTGCACACCGGTCTCGGATTGGTAGTATCGGTTGTGGAATTCGCTCAATGTGGTGAGATCCCGTTCCAGATTCTCCGTGGTAAGCGTGGCAAGCATTGGCTTAACTTTGTCCTGCTGTGCCATCACCTTTGGGTAGTTGGGGCGGGAGAGAGGGCGAAAGCTGTTTAGGTCAATGTTCCGCTCGAGTTCATGGGTGATATCGATGAAGTCTTTGCCCACCTGGAAGATGATATTATGGTTAGCAAGATGAGGAAAACAGCCTCTGTTTGACCGCCGATGTAAATATAAAATTAGGTGGGACATACAGCCTTCAGTTCAAACTTCTCGGCGTTTGTGACCCATCTTGTCTCTCCATGAGCAAGTTCAATCAAGGACTTGCCCTTATGTTGAGGAGGAATGGAGGCTGCCAAAGCAGTGGTACCAAGTGCAAGGAAAGAGGCAAACTTCATGTTGGCGTGATCGGAGGCGACAATCTGCTAGGCCTTGGGATATGTAGGCTTAAATCAGTTGTTTCTTCCAAAACGGGAGGTGACCTGGGACGAAAAGACTCAGAATCGGGCTCAGATCCGAGATTTAAATACTCGTCAGCTGAAACGAAGGAGGGAAAGAAGCGGGTTATTACGGCCTGCAGTAATGGGCGACTGTGATGGCAGCACATGCCTTGTAAAGAATTGCCGGAGGGATTGACCCTGAGCATATTGGCCAGGCTGACATCCTAGGGAAGGTCGCAATCCTGCAAGTAACCGAAACCCACTTGATAATGGGGAACTGACCTGGAGATGGGGTCCCACCCCTAAAAGGGTGTTGATAATCATGGGCCTGGTACTTCCGCAAGGATGGTATTTATGATCTTCAGCTAAATAGGCACTGATTGGCGTGCAAGCCACCTCCCGTTGTTGGGAGGGTGTCAGGGGAAAGGGGCTTTTCAGCCTTTCAATTTGTTCTTCCAAATCCATGGTTTTGACACAAAACAAAAAAAAAAAAAAAAAAAAAAAAAAAGGAAGAGAAAAAAATCACATCAGCAGCATTAACCAATGGATAGTCTCCGGCAAGGTGCACTTTGGTACCCTTATTCCAGCAATTGGGACAGAAGGATTTTTTGTCGTTTCGCGTTTTGAGACATCACACAACCCTATGAACTAATAGGAAGGTTGAGAGGTGCGCCCTGACAGGTATTTCCCGGCCTTTGTGTGATATGGGGTTGTGATCCACATGAAGACGAAGGACGTGTGCCCCGAAACCGAAGGGTGTTTCATCAGCGGTTGAGTTCCGGGAACTTCGAAGTACCATATGTGTCTGCGAATATTCAGCATCCCCATGACCCGGGGAAGAGCGATGATTGTTTTGTTATTCAGAAAAAATAAAAAAAATAAACCAAATCTGTTCGTGACACGCATTTGTGGAGTACCACATCAAGACTCCGAAGGCTCTGGTGTGCCTGTGGTTCTGCATCATGTTGGACAAAACCGATCATTTTGGACCGTCGTGCTGTTCGCAGGATCGATGAAAGCCTTTAGCGCGCACTCCCACAAAACCTCGCATTGATCTGCGGGTAGCAGATGTCGATCCATCACCCTGACCGATCCTTCCACAGGACCACAGGTCCTTCGAGAAGGGTTATCAGCCTGTGTGGGACTGCGCTAAAACCCGAAGCTGGAGCGCCCCAGGAAAGCTGACAGTGCAGATATCGACAGGAGCAATAATAATCATAGCCATGATCGGAAGAATTTGGTTATCAACCGAGTACAGAGCCGCCATCACAGCGACAATGATTTGTTTAATGGAAGGGGTGAACAACCCCATGCTGCTGACACAAGATCCGCGGTATGCCGAGGAGGAACATCCGCATTTGCTGGGAAGCTTCAAACTTCGTGCCCAACTCAACTTTGTACCCCTGTCATCGTATCTTTTTCCAGAAGAACTGGAGAAACTCGGCGTCCAATCTCGCGGTTTGGCTGGGTAAGGCCCGTTCTTATCCGGATGATATCATCGCTGCAGCCGGCCCTGTCCGAATGAACCGCCCGTGCGAGACAGATTCAACAACGACAGATCGTCGCAGGGCGGTTGGTATGTTGAACAGGAAGTTTCTGCTCCAGCCTGGCCGACCCTCTGCGCTCAGTGCCTGGAGAAGGATACCGTCGCCTGGCGGGAAAAAAACGCCAAGCCGCCGCCCCCCGGCACCGCCAAGCCAATCCCCCGCAATTTCCACCCCAGGCGGTTCCCCGACGCCCATTGGCCCGCATGCGATGTTCCCCTCCACAGTCCGGGAGCGTGGAGGTACCTCAAGAATGGAGTATGCTAAGGTACCTGGGCCCCCGGAGTCCACGTAACCCGCTCGGACACGAGATGCTGCTGGAGCGCCAGAGTTCAATCGCCCGGGGCGTCGTCGATTTTGTCGGACAAGGAGGCATGGCTGTCGCCCTCGACCGACACATTAGCAATCACGTTTCTGAGTGCGTGACTCGGGGGAATTGATCCGTTGCGAGAGATCTGCGGTGATGTCCACGAGACCCTCCAAACAAGGTTTAGTCCACAACATCTGATCCGATCTCTGCCCCTCCGTCAACCCGTCTTTGCCGCCATCAGTAAATATATCTCTTGCCAGGCTAATACCACCATCGAAGCGCTGCGGAACAACCACGGGAAAAGCAAGTCTCCGCCCAGGAATCTCAGCGGTAGTTACTTCGTTACGAGTCAAGGGAAAAAAAATAAAAATAAAAATAAAAACAAAAAGTGCGGGGAACCACTGATCTCAACGGGCCCGAACCCGATCTTTTCCCAACCCAATATCAGAGTGGTTTGTTCCACGAAACCCAGGCATCCTGGGTTATACCTTCTTATCAAAATCTCACCGGGGTGCTGAACCGTCCTTCTTTTGTTCCTTGAAAGATTCTCTCCTGCCGCTTTTACAGGCAGGGTCCAGACGGAATTCCTTCATCGAATCAGACTTGCGTTGTCACTACTACGTTTCCCAACCCCGTTGAAGAAATCATGGCTGATAGAACAGGCTCCTGTCAGTATTTTCTGTTTTCTTTGCTCCAGTCCTGTACCCTTTCACTGATGCGAATGCCTTATCGGAGCCTCTGATTTACTAACAATGATATCATCGTCTCCTATGCTCTTCAGACAACCCATTTTCCAGGCGATCGTCTCACGGTCCAAAGACCGTGAACACGTATCGGGTATTGACGCCTCTGTCTTGGCTCCTCGTAGTGGTCTTCGGCATCTATTACTCGGTACGCGGCCCTGATGATGTTCCATCAGGCTCTACTATAGGGAATCAAGCCGAGATCAATCCCACACCCTTTTCGCAGACCAAGACAATCACCATCATCTACTGGTAAGATGAAGCGTGTTTATTGACCGTCCTTGATTTTCCAGGAGATGTGGTAGTCTTTTTGTTGATAGGGTCAATTGGCCTGCGGGGCGAGAATGCGATTTCTCCACTGAAGTCCCCTTTAAGCTAACTTGACCCGCCAGGGTTATTCTCCTTGTTTCTCAGCTCGGATATATGGGGCAACTCTGGTCCTCAAATCCCGAGAGATTGACGGCGGCTGCCAATGTGGCGCCGCACTTCATCCTAAACAATCTCTTCATACTCTCTTTCATTCTCCTTTGGGTTCGCTCCCATTTCTGGGGTGCCGAAGTCTTCGACATTGTCTCGTTGCTCAACCAGGGCACGCTATACTGGAGATACCCAGGTCTTCCCGAATATATCCACCTTCCAGCAGTGGCGGGACCCTATGCTTGGTCCATCACGACTCTCTTCTGGAATGGAGCGGTTGCCGTGGGCGGTTACAGTCTTCCAAAGAGGATAGTTGCCAATGTGTTCATCTGGGTCATGTTCCTCTTTGGACAGGCCCACATTGCACGCCGGAATGATCGTTCGCTCGGCTACTCACTCAGTCTTCTGACTTTGTGTAAGCAAATTCAAATTTTCATGACCCTTTAACATGCACGGTGCGTTATTATTTGACGCTCCAGCTAATCAATTCCCAATCCAGCACTTGCTCTCAAGCAGTTCTCCTTGAAGATCATCTCCTTACAGTGGATCTTCGCCTTCATAATCTTTGGCATCTTCCTGGTATCATCATTGTACAGCTCAACTACCAGATACTACAAGCGAGACTTCTTCCTCAGAAGTCTGGTCGAGCCCGAAGCCGGCGACCGTGAACGCGAGCCCTTGCTCAGCAATGCGTAAAGAGGGCTAGGTCCACCTTACTAAAGTGGCCACTAACATTACTTGCGGAAACGGGATCCCGAGAAGTCCACAATGGTAATTTTTCATGCCGTTGTTTCCAGCTTATGCCTCAGTAACATGGTGAAGTTTTTAGTTCTGTATCTGTGTCTTTCTCAGAAATTGCTAAAGTTATTCCTAGCTAAAGTCAGAGCAGAATATCGTGCTTCATATTGCAATTTGGAAAAAAAAAAAAAAAAAAAAAAAAAATTGGAAAAGGAAATGTGTGGTATCCCACCTATTAGCTCTCATGTGTTGGGTCCTCTTAACTTGGTAATTTGAGGCCCTTGGCTTTCCCTTATAATGATATGCTCCTTTGTCGTTCAGATGCGGTTTGGCTAGTCTCCATTACTTAATCCAAATAGCTTTTTGTTCTCTCATATCTCCTCTTGGTTTGTGGGTATTTCGGGTGCGAGCGTAATGCTTCTCGATGCGGGTTTTGAGCGGGAGCTCAACTTGGCAGCATTGGAGAATGATGTCATTCCGCTAGCTTTCTCTGCCGTTGGATGAAGATCCACTGCTAACTACCGGGTAGCCCATGGGAGACAAACGACCTAAAGTCAACTGAAATATCACGAAAGGGGAACAGTAAATATGATAACTGGTAAAGGCATTCAGAGCTTCCGCAAGACTTGACCGCTCCCTTCATCCGGATTGTCTCCTCGATTCTTAATGTGCCGCCTCAAGTGACCTGAGTATTATTCTGACTTCCAGTTTGAACATTTATTTCGGATTCTGACGCTGTCGAGTCGGGAATTAGGGAAAGCTCTGACGGCAGGGAGATCAGCTCCGCATAGCTTCTCTCAGAGCGAATAGCTGTGCAGGTGTCAACGCTCACGTGGAAGAGGACAGGGGATTGTTGCCATGATAAAATCTTTAGATTCGTGGATTCTTCGCTCGAAAAGATATTCTTTAAGCCTGATGATTGACATGCATGCCGAGTAGCCAGGAGAAACACACAATGTGGTTTGTTCTACGGAGTACTCCGTGCACATAACTGGAATTCTTCCAGTTCGCAGCCCAGAGGAACTGGGAAAAGGAAAGTCTCGATGGTTATTGTTGGCCCCTTGGTCAATTCCAGAACTTCCTCCGCGAATTCTGGCAGCCAGAAGAAGAATAGACAAAGGCAATCGACAGGGTCGGGTGCTGATATTTCGGGATCGGTTTGACCCACGACTTCATTCTTTTCCTCCTCCCTTTTTAAAGTTGTTTCACCCATTTTGCTTTTACCAAAACAGGCAGTGTCTTGCACGGTAACGACAGCCGAAGGGAAACCCACGCTACGTCATATGTCTGGCTCTTCTGCAGGAGCTTTTATCTTCGATCGCGTCCAGCTTGAGGATCGGACCATCGAAAAGAGCTGTTCGGGCCGGACCGGGTTTCCATTGACCAATCAACGATTTGGGAGCACAACTGGTGGCCGCTGACTAACCGGGCGCTCCTTCGAATCGTCCACTCACGGCACCGCAGTTTCAAAGCCCGGCAACATCAGGCCACCTACTTCATGCCCTCCCCTCCGGCTGGCAAATTACGATGAGTTCAGGACCCTACTGGGGAAAGGCGATATGAACTACGGAGTAAATAGGCTGAGCTCTATTCCCGCCCAACGTGGCACATGACGGCTAGCCCTGGCCGGGAGAAAGGTACATTATTGACTCAGCCTGAAAAGCTGGGCCGACAGGGCACGAAATGTATATAATCGTGAATTGAGGGTCAATTCGTCAGGCTTTCCTCATGCCCCCATTTCTATACGTGCCGGATAACTAGTCCTCCATAAAGCCTTGGTTCGGGGACTTCTTAGTGTGGATCCAAGCTGACAGTCAGTCGACTTCATATATCGTGATATACGAGAGACTTCAAGCATTATTTAAATATTCTCCGTTGACGGGCACATAGTTTCGGGTTTTCGTACTGGAGGAGGGAAACATGGCAGTGAATAACGAGCAACGACGGATGCAGCACATCGAGCGCAAAGATCTATATACAAACCTGGAGGCGCGGATACAATATCTTCACAACTTCCTTGATTTCAATTCCAGTATGCCTCCCTCACAATCCCGCGGAAACCTTGATACTCACCTGATTTGATAGATGATATCGAGGCACTGATCTCCGGCTCTAAATATATCAAAGCTCTCATCCCTGCCGTTGTCAATATCGTTTATAAAAAGCTCTTGCAATATGATGTCACCGCGCGAGCATTCCAGACAAGGAGTACGAGCTTTGAGGGGCCATTAGATGAAGAGCCGGACGAAAACAGCCCACAGATTCTGCATCGAAAGATGTTTCTAAGAGGGTATTTGAACCGATTATGTTCAGATCCCAGTAAGATGGAATTCTGGGAGTATCTGGATAAAGTCGGGTAAGCAGAGGCCCTGTTTCCGCATTTGCGATTTGCCCCGGGGGCACTTTGGTGGAAAGGGCTCAATAGCTGACGCATATTGCAGCATGATGCACGTCGGTCGGGGTCGCAAGCATCCGTTACACATTGAATTCGTTCACATCGGCGCGAATCTCGGTTTCATTCAGAATGTTCTCACGGAAGCACTTCTCTCCCACCCACGACTTCCGCTCCCTCGCAAAATAGCGCTCGTCAGCGCCATCGGGAAGGTGATCTGGGTACAGAACGATCTCTTCGCAAAATGGTATGTGCGAGATGGAGACGAATTCGCGGACCAGATGGAAGAAGTCGCCATAGAACGTGAGGGTTACTTACATGGGAAGAAAATGATTGTTAGTGAGGGATCGGAAAGTGAGACGGATGGGGACCCAGCTGCGCCGGCCACGTGTCCGTTTACTGGTGCAAGGAACGGTGCTTCGGAGCGATATGACGCTGTGAAAGAGCAGCCGCCGTCTGAACTGCCTGGTTGAGACGAGAGAAGGTAGCCAAGCGGACAGGATGAACAATGTATGATTAGTCAGCTACAGATAGCATGTCGGAGTCCCAATGGAGTTAAACCGTATTCCTTCATGAGCAACCTTGACCCCGGGTTCATTGTAACATGCGTGCCAGAACTCATTTACGCTAGACCTTGATACGAGATGATGCCCATCATGCCCGTCCGCTTGCTGGTTTTCCCGCCGCATGCGTTGACATAGGCTCTTGGGAAGCAGGTTCTCAGCACCCGCTCTAAACGCAATTGCTGGCTATATAAAAGCCAATCGCAGGTGCTGCTACTCGAGGGACTATCATTAGATGATCTTCTTTTGCGTACCTTCAGATTCTCCAAAGGACTTCTCTGATATTTGGATCGAATGACCTGAAGTTAGTAGGTACAGAAACTTGAGACATCGAATGCAGCTGACCTTTGAAGAAGTCAAAAAATGGCTCCCGAACCACTCTCAGCAGCTGGGCAAAATCTTATCGATACTGCCACATCAGTCATCAACGGCATTCCAGTCTCTGACTTCTACAGTGTGGCAAGCGCCGCTATTTCTGACGACGGCCGTGTCTTCTCCGGCGTCAATGTCTACCATTTCAACGGCGGCCCGTGCGCAGAACTTGTTGTTCTCGGGGTGGCGGCGGCTGCTGGAGCCACGAAGTTAACTCACATCGTGGCCATTGCCAATGAAGGGAGGGGGATTCTGAGTCCGTGCGGAAGATGTCGACAAGTACTGGCCGATTTGCACCCTGGGATTAAGGCTATTGTGATAGGTAAAGAAGGGCCGAAGATGGTGGCTGTGGAAGAGTTGCTGCCTTCTATATATGCTTGGGACAAGGACTATGACCGTATCTAAGGAGGACAAATGATAGTTGGAGGTCAGGATAATGTATTCCATCTGGACTAGAATGCTAAATGTCTAGCTGGACTATGCCAATATATGCTACGGACACGTCAGTATCCTGTTTAATTCAATGGCACCCAGTTAACCACCGCATTAAATTCTCTCATTCCTCCATAAAACGTACTACGCTGCAACACCTTTCTCACCGACGGCTTTTGAACATTGAGCATTTTTTACATAAACACTTCATGTATCTAGGATTCACAGAGAATATCCAGCCCTAACAGACCGAACTTTGAAACACGAGGATATCAGCACGTTTCCTCCGTTCCTGGACACGGGCGTCGGCAGGTGGGCAGGATGATCCCAGTTGAGCGCCGTGCGGTCTGATTGGCGGCGAGCTGCTGGCGCTGGTCGTTGTCGCAGCAACACCGTTTACAAACATCTACACGTGATATCAAATGGCAATCTTGTCCCCGTCGCGCTGCATGCAAGCGCTTCATGATTATCATTCTTCTGACGTGCATGGTATCGTGCTTTTGCTGTGCTTTTCTTCGTTTCAAGGTTTCGTGCTTTCATTCAGTTCCCGTGATATCCTGCCGTTCTCTTTGTGCTCCATTGCCATATACCAGCAAGTCGTTCCGCCCAATCTAGTTCCGGCCCCTGGCCAAGGATACACGAATTCTACAATCGCGATAACGGTGCCGGTGTCGCATTACTTTGGAAAGGGTTCGGGACTGCGCTGGTCAATCAGCCACGTCTTTTCAAGAATCCGATGACCCTGGAACCACATTAGCATTGGGTTGACTCTTGGAAAGACCCAAACTCGACTTCAAATTGGCAAAACGCTCTGTTGCCAGCACCGGTTTCATTCGCTCTCCATACTGAAAAACGCTATAGTTCAAGCGGGCAGCACCTTGCCCGGTGGGCAAACGTGTGGCGACGACTCATTCAGCGCAATCATCTAAAGTGATCCTTGGGGAATATTGTCCAGAGACTCGCAGACACTTGATATGGCGTTCCCTCCGAATAGTTCGAACGGCGCTCCTCCACCGCCTTCGTATGACGAGGATCCTCCATCGTACGGATATAACGATAGCGTCCTGACCTACGACACGAACGATGATATGACGGCTCCCATCTCCGAAAACGGTCGGCACGACGGATCGACGATGAGGCTCCTATCGTCGAGCTACGTGGACGACAACGTTGACGGGTACTCCGCAGAGGCGGATGTTGGTGGCGCGTATTTCAGAGAGTCGCAGCCTGGGGCGTTGCATCGCCGATTGTATGTAAACAAGGTTCACTCTTCCATTTCAAACTCAGATCCTTCCCCTCCGGTACAGAAGGATGCTACGGCTCCGGAAAGTTCAAGAAGTACTTCCACCCTACCTTCACACCCTGCGACGGTGCGAAGGTGTCCAACTATATCAGATAGCTCAGATGCTTCAGTTTTCACGACACATCCGGGCCAGGATAAGGACGAATTTAAATTCGTACGGCGCCGACATACCAGAGGCTCTGCTGCTCCAGACACTGTTCGCACCCTTAGGATGGTCAACGACCCGTTGACGGTTCCTGCCCCCCTTCGCCTGACAACGCCAAAGTCGCCAGTCAAGCCCAAACCCGATATCCATCTGGATCCCATCTGTCGCACTGGACCTCTTGCGAAACAAGACCAGACAGGTCTTTCCAGTGTACAAGAGACAGATCCAGAAGAAGTAGCTAACAAGTCGCATCATAGAAGCTCTGTATCGACAGCTCGATCGTTGCGTTATCAGCCTCTCCATCACCACAACCACTCGACAACCTCATTCTCACCATCACGCCCACCGTCAAGTTTAAGCAATGCGCCGAGTATCCCACCACCAAGCGTCTCTGGAGAGCCTGCTCAGCGGCCAGGGTCGCCAACCAGACCCTTGACACCATCCCGAAACAGTGACTGGCCGCGACCACCGACATCTGCTCCAAGCGTAACGTACGAACCCGCAGAAATCAACGGTCAGTCACGGCCGGGCACCCCGAGCTCACGATATGGTGGTAGCCCTCGACGCCCTCTTCCTCCAGCGCCGCTATTCTCTCGACCGTCAGCCAGCGAAACGAGAATTAATATCGAACGGACCAATAGCAATGCCAGCGATGATCCATTTGGAGGTGATGGAAGGACAATGGGCCCGAAGCCAGGTTCAAGGGCTAGCGTAAGGTCGTATGACTCGTATCTGACCGAATCTACGATGGTTACAGACGACAAGGACACCATGAGCAAAGTTGACCTCGATGACGAGAGCATAGCAGGTAACGCCGACCCGAATCTGCATTATGGACCTGCTCCAGAGGGCCGTCAGGACCGTAGAGGCGTTAGACAGGCACAGATGACGAAGAAGGAGGTCAAGCTGATCAACGGTGAATTGGTTTTGGAGTGCAAGATCCCAACTATCCTGCATAGTTTCCTTCCTCGACGAGATGACCGCGAATTTACCCATATGCGATACACCGCCGTGACATGCGATCCCGATGACTTCGTCCCCCGTGGGTATAAGCTACGGCAAAATATTGGTACCACCATGCGCGAGACGGAGCTATTCGTTTGTATCACAATGTATAACGAAGATGAAATCAACTTCACTCGTACGATGCACGGTGTTATGAGGAATATCTCTCATTTCTGTTCCAGGACCAAATCCAGAACTTGGGGAAAAGATGGCTGGAAGAAAATAGTGGTATGTATCATCGCGGACGGCAGACAAAAGGTCCACCCGCGAACACTCAATGCTCTCGCAGCAATGGGTGTTTACCAAGACGGCATCGCAAAGAACATCGTCAATCAGAAGGAGGTTACTGCCCACGTATACGAGTATACGACACAAGTCTCCCTAGACTCTGACTTGAAATTCAAAGGTGCAGAGAAGGGTATAGTTCCTTGTCAAATTATCTTTTGTCTCAAGGAACGTAACCAGAAAAAGCTCAACTCTCATCGATGGTTCTTCAACGCTTTTGGCCGGGCCTTAACTCCCAATGTTTGCATTTTGCTCGATGTCGGCACCAAGCCATCGCCTACAGCTCTATACCACTTGTGGAAAGCTTTCGATCAAGACTCAAACGTCGCGGGCGCCGCAGGAGAGATTAAGGCTGGTAAAGGAAAGGGATGGCTTGGCTTGTTCAATCCTCTTGTGGCATCTCAAAATTTTGAGTACAAGATGTCTAATATCTTGGATAAACCTCTCGAGTCAGTTTTCGGATACATCACTGTACTTCCTGGAGCATTGAGTGCATACCGTTACCACGCTTTGCAAAACGACAGCACCGGACATGGGCCCCTGAGCCAGTACTTCAAGGGAGAGATGTTGCATGGGAAGAATGCTGATGTCTTCACCGCCAACATGTACTTGGCAGAAGATCGTATCCTATGCTGGGAGCTAGTGGCTAAAAGAGAGGACCAGTGGATTTTGAAGTTTGTCAAAAGTGCGGTTGGGGAGACTGACGTACCAGGTATATCGTTCGGCTTAGAAGATTCTTTGTGATGTCTCTGCCCTCGAAGACTGACGTTATATTTTTAGATGCCGTTCCTGAATTTATTTCTCAGCGACGAAGATGGCTCAATGGTGCCTTTTTTGCTGCCGTATATTCTCTCATCCATTTCCGTCAAATTTGGAAGACAGATCATACGGTCATGCGAAAGATATTACTTCATATTGAATTCGTCTATCAGTTTGTGAGCTTGATCTTCACATTTTTCTCTCTGGTATGCCCTCGTTCCTCACAACTCAGACCGCATACGATACTCAGACTACTAACTCTCAACTACTAGGCTAATTTTTATGTCACATTTTATTTCATTGCTGGGGCTTTGGCGGCTCCTGACGTTGATCCGTTTGGACATAATATTGGCAAAATAATATTTGTTGCATTGAGATACGCCTGTATCTTGCTCATATGTTTACAGTTTATTCTATCCATGGGAAATCGACCTCAGGGGTAGGAAAATCCTTTACTCTTATTGAAAAGAATAAGCTGACAACTGGTAATAGAGCTAAAAAGATGTTCTTGACGGGTATGATTGTGTACAGTATCATCATGGCCTATACTACCTTCGCCGCATTGTACATGGTGGTGATGCAACTCAAACACCGTGACGACCCCAAGAATAAAGAACTGAACCTCGGAAACAATATCTTCACAAATATCATCGTCTCGACACTCTCGACTGTTGGTCTGTACTTCCTCATGTCATTCATGTACCTCGACCCTTGGCACATGTTCACGTCATCAGCCCAATACTTTGCACTTCTGCCGAGCTACATCTGCACTCTGCAGGTCTACGCATTCTGCAACACACACGACGTTACCTGGGGCACAAAGGGCGACAACGTAATCCATACCGATCTCGGAATTGCGCGTACGCGAGATTCTTCCACCGTCGAGCTCGAAATGCCGTCTGAACAACTCGACATCGACAGTGGCTACGACGAAGCGCTCCGCAACCTCCGTGATAGGCTAGAAGTCCAAGCGCCCGAGGTTTCCGAAGCGCAAATGCAAGAAGATTATTATCGTGCGGTGCGGACGTACATGGTGTCTATTTGGGTCATTGCCAACGCGATCCTCGCAATGGCCGTGAGCGAATCGTATAACAACGAGGAAGTTGGGAGCAATGGCTATCTCGCGTTTGTGCTCTGGGCGGTGGCGGGTTTGGCTGTGTTCCGTGGCTTGGGATCCACGGCGTTTGCGGTCCTGAATATTGTGCATAAGATAGCGGAGGGCAGGATGAAATTTGCCGCAGGATCTGGGTCGTCGGGCAGCGGTGGTAGTTCTGCTGCGCTAAGCAGTCTAAGTTACGGAGCGCACAGAAATATCGGCGAGAAGGTGAGAGATTGGTTTAGCGAGACGGGGTGGACTTTGAAGAGAAAGGTTGGAAAAGTGGCTTTTTGGAGGAGATGAGGGCAATTAGCTGTGTTTTGTGGCCTTCTCCTTTTGAGATCCTTTGTTTTGCTTTGATTGGGACTTTAATTTGGCTGGACTGGTTTTCTACGATAATGTGTTGGTACGAATTACGATTGATACACCGATTGGACGGGTCAAGGTAGGTGGTCTTCTTCATTTTTTTTATTTTTTATTTTTTTCCTTTGGCGCTTGGAGAAGACGCACCTTCGGCCTTAATTGTGTTTGAATGTATGTATGTTAGTTAGTGTTGGCGAAATGCTTGTATAGTGAGTCTATCACTGATTTCCATCTGCCTCTTTTAGCATTGTTTCCATGGTAGAAATTACTACTCCCGGCATATATATATAAGACTGAAAGTAAACAGGCACGGGATCTATTGAGGTATCTAAAACAAAAGAAAAGTGTCACAGCGACGTACCAACAGTCGACGATGACATATGCACAACTATATAACACACGAAGTGATATCACTGCTCTCGACAAGGCATCCTCGAATTCCACGACCTTTCACATGTTGTCCTCCGTCCACCGACTCCTCATCTTATCCCACGCTTGCTTCTCTTCGATCCCTGATTTGATATCCAGTCCCACGCCCATCCCTCTCTCAACCCACTCCTTGCCCTCCATCTCCGCTAATCTTGACAACGCCCGGGCAAATGCGAAGCGCTCTTCGTCACCGCTGAATATGGAGGTGGCCCTTAATTGGGACATGGACAGACCGAGATCATCCATCAACATGCGCATGGAGTCATCCAGGTCTTCGCCGGAGTCTTGAGCAGGTGACGAGGAAGAAGAAGAGGAGGTGGAAGAGATGGGTTTAGAATTAGCAGCAGAGTGCTTTGGGGTGTGAGTGATGGAGGCTTTGATCTCAGAGGGGGAAAGGAAGAGGTTTGAGAGAGGAACAGCGGTGGTGAGGACGAGTTTAGCCTAGACATAGGGATATTAGTATGTTTCTCTACAGCCCTGCTGAAAGTTTAAATGAAAGCAAGCAACTCATACCCGACTCTCGTAGACTGCATCAATAAACGTAATGAATCGTCTGGCCAAATCACGCTGCTGCAGCGTCATCCCGGGCACATCAGTGATGATGAACGCATTGTAGCTCCTCATCAACTCGATATAATCCGCTGCACTCGTGGGTCGGCCAATCAGCTCATCGAATGTAAATCTTGCCGCTTTGCCTGAAGCTTGTGGAACGACGACATCGCGTCCCCAGACTTGATGCACTGCGCGGTGTGGTGGGTCATTTTTGAAATCCCCTAGATACTCGAACCATTTATCGGCGTGACGGTCGGCCTGCAGACCGAGGGGACAGTGATAAACACCAGACGGTGGACGCGGGATTTTGCGATAATCTGTGGTGGAGTTAAGATTTAAGACGGTAAGTGTATTCTTGAGAAGTTGGATGCATGGGATAAAAGACTGTCGCTGAATTCCGTTCTTATACAATTCATCCGGGTGCCGGTTTGATGTTGTTATGAAAACAACGCCGTGGGACATCAAGGATTCAAGCAATCTGTTTGCCAGGTTAGCTTCCTGCATATTTATCAGATGGTCCTAGCACATAAAAATCCACAGCATACCTCCTCAGGATCATTGCGTCAGCAACATCAGTGCACTGAAATTCATCAAAACACAGTACACTGGACTGCTCTGCAATCTCAGCTGCCACAAAGGGGACTCCATCAAAGTCATTTCCATGCTTCATTTTCACAAGATGCAGCCGTTTGTGCACGTCCTGCATGAAATTGTGGAAATGTATGCGTGTCTTGGAGCCAATGTTCGCAGGTAGAGTGTCATAAAAGAGATCCATCAACATGGTCTTCCCACATCCCACGTCGCCATGCATATATAGACCCTTTGGCAGGTTTTCGGGTATCCGTGAGACGAGGCCGGATGGTTTAGAGCTACGGCCGAAGAGGGTATCAAATAAGGAGGATTTGGGCGCAGCGATCAACTCAGCAAGAGACGGGTGGACTACTGGAGGTGGGTTATACCCTCTGAGGACTTCATGTAGGTCTTGGAGATGTTGGATAATTGCTAGAAAACCGCAAGGAGGCACGGAGATACTAGTTAACAAGGCGATTTTTCTCTCCAACACAATCGCACGCAGCAGGGGTTGGGGTATCTACGTACCTCTTTGAAAATCATCGTCCCTCAACCGCCCCGCCTCCACTCTCGAATCATACTCTTGGATAGGCCCAAACGTCGCTGCCGGAGCACTGTCCTGAACCCCAACTGCGGTACCGACATCCGTCATCCTCCTTGTTTGACCATATTTAAGCCCACCGTCTACCCTCCCTCCACTTCCCGGAGACACGTATCCAACGCACTGCTCCCGACGGGCCGATCCACTCAAGCATCTCGAACGATGTGCGTCCGCCACACCTCTCGCACTGACCGAAAAGGAACGCGCAGCGCCAGGTCCCGACCACGTAGCACTGGCGAGGAGTTTGCGATATGGACGTACGGCGGGTCGAATCATTTGTCTCTAATAATACTCCGAAAGGGAATGGGAAAAAGAAAGAGGCAATTCGTTCGGCCCAAAAGCTTTATTTTTTCTTCCTCACTTCAGCTGCTCGAATTATACCAATTTATCCCGTCTGTAATCGTGTCGTGCGATCTCCCGCCTTATTGTCGATATATATATATATATACAGATAATAGAATGTACCGTCTCAGACAAGTATCTCATCAAATTGCATTCTTCCTAACATGTAGCATTCCCGGGGACGGATAGCTAATCGATACGATCGCGGGACAGGATGGGACGAAACAAGGCCGGCAAACGGGGAGAAGAAGAAAGGGGAAAAAAAAAAAGATACAGGCAAGCAAACGCTTTATTGAAACTACTCGAACAGGAGAGGCCAAGAGAGAAAGAAAGCAAATATATACGCCTTACATCGAATAACAGATAACGGTCGAGAATGAAGCAGCAGCAGCAGCAGCAAAACGGGCTCAATTCGCCATCATCCCGCCGGAGAAATTCAAAGCGACGGTCACCCGAGCGGCTTTGCCATCGGACGGGCGCTAGGCCAGATCCGGGTTGGCGTGCCGGTGATAATTGCCGAGGCTGCTTATGCTGACCTAAGCATTAATTATGTCATCACGCGTGAGAGGCAGTGACCAGGCGCAGAAGTGGCTGAGCAAGCCAGCTGCTTCCGACAAGAGCCGCCTGGTTAGCTCAATCGGTAGAGCGTGAGACTCTTAATCTCAAGGCTGCGGGTTCGAGCCCCGCATCGGGCTTTCATTTTTTTGATTTTCGTTGCTTGCTTTTTTCGGCTTGTCGATGAAAATTGCATGTTGGGTAATTGCTTTTTGCGGAATTGGAGCGAAGGCTACCTTAGGTACATGCGATGCGGAAGAATGTCTGAAGCAATTGTGTGCATCACCAGATCTAAGAGAATTCCCCCTTAATAACAGAACCATCAAAGCCAGCGGGATCGCAAACCGAGCAACGAAATACTATAGCGATACCCCAAAAGCATACACATATAATTATAATAAATATATATAAAGCGACTACTAGGGAGGAGCAGTTGAAGATACTTTTTTCTTTCTTTCTTTTCTTTTTTTTTTCTCATTGCATTGGGCGTTCGGTCTTTTTACGTTGGTCGTTGCTCATCTTCACATTCATATCATATAACCCCCGGGTGCCATTCGTCAACCCGAACTATCCTCTCCCCTTATTCGCATCTTCTATTCCTCCTTGGCTTGTCCCTGGTTCATACAAACATGACGTGCAGAAGAGGAAGAAAAAAAAAAAAAGAAAAAAGAAAAAGGGAAGGCGGTGAAAAAGGGCATTCATGGTACGTGTTTGAGAAGCAAACGGGGGTGTGTGGACGATAGTTAATAGCGGGTTGTGTGTGTGTGTGTGTTTTTTTGGGGGGGAGAGGGGAGGAAGAGAGAAATCTGCAAGCAAGTTAACATGGGGAAAAATAATAAAAAGCAAACCAAGAAGAACAAGCAGGAGAATAAGTAACCAAACAGAGGCACTGAAGCTCACAAGCCAAACCAGAATGTAGACCTCCGATAAAATTTCAGCCCATAACGAAGTTCGTAAATTTGCAAACATCCGATCGAGGAAAACAAAAAATGAAAAATTGATCGGGGTAAATCAAAGTGGGAAGAGAGGGGAAATAAATAAAACTGGTATCGAAGGAGAAAAAAAAAAAAAAAAAAAAAGAAAAGTAAACTTGTATAAATCGAATTGATGGAGAGGAAAAAGGGCGAAACAAGGGCCTTGTAGCATATTGTCATGTAGGTAGGATATCACGCAATCCCAACATATACCATGAGCTTCGTATTCCGCTGAATTGCCACCTCCAGATCAGCGTCACTGAGCAGTTCTACAAACCCGCGAGACGGTTCGTCCTTGTACCGCAGGAGGATGTCCTCGTCGACCTTTAAGCGGTCCTTGATCTTGTCTCTTAATTGCTGCAATGTGATATCGGTAGGGACACGGACGACAATGAGATCATCTTGGAAGAACACTTTGATCTTGATCGCATTCGAGCCGGATGATATGGACCCTTGTGTTAGTGCGCTACCCTGTCGAAGCATCATCGGCTGCTGGGCCACGCTTGATTGCGACACGGACCCCTGGTTCCGCTGGTGGTTAAGATAGCTGTTCATCTGGCCTTGTGAGGATTGTCGAGATGCACTGGGCGATGCATCGTGTCCTGAGGATGGCTGAGAGCCCGAGGATAGCCGGTATTCGTCGGCCATTGCGGCAGGGTCGATTTCGAAGTCGCCAGGCCGTGGTGCGAAAAGCTGGCGGACAAGCTGACAGCGCGAAATGTGCGGCGGCATGGAGAGTAATTTCTTAATGTACTCGTCCAGGTTTTGACGGCGACCGTTGGATATTGCATTTGTCACATGAGTGACTGGGCCGGGCATGAATGGCAGTGTCCGAGGACCTCCCTTATTCCCAGCTTCCTCCTCGAATTGCGCAAGCAGAGCTATCTGGAAGTCATAAAAGTCATGATAGTATCTTGATAGTTCCCACCATCTGCCATCTTCCATCTGCGCCTCAATAATATACCAGTATTTGTCATTATCGAAGCAGTAGCGGGGGATCGACGCCTGAACCGGAGCGGGGACGGAATAATAATCCTGTGATCGCTGCTGTTGGAATTGCTGGTTCGGGTTGGGATATCTCTGACTTTTGCTTGCGTTGCGCTGATGGTACTGTTGCGCAGAGAGAGATTAGACAAAAAGGCGGTGGTGACATTGGGCGAAGGGGGAGAGGGGGGGGAGGGGTAAGTTTGACTCACATAATCGTTGCTGTTGTGATGGCCGCTGTTGTTCAAGCTCATCTTTTCGATTTCGGCGGTGGCAGACTGAACACCTCCAGTCTCGAACTTGCCCAGGGTAATAGAGCTGTTCTTGTACTCTGCTGTCATTTTCTTCCACTCTTCGACCCGCGGGACTCCCGCACGCTTAACGGCTTCGTGGGGATCGGTTACGGGCTGGCCCGTGACCATGTCTCTGACCTCGATGAAGGAGACGGGAATGAGGCCCGGGCCACCCAGACGGCCAATTGGCTTTGCAACAAACCACTCTGGGTTCGACTGGGCGATGACGATGATCGCCTCGCCGGCTCTGGCCTCCAATTCATCTGGTCTTTCTGCGTGAAAATCATACTGCACCACTCCGTAGACCATTGCGCCCGCACTCTTCCCAATCGCCGACATCCTTGCCTGCGCACCTTGTTTTGTCGTGTTTGTCGTAGATTCTGTACCGACGAGTGTATTCCGGTCCGAAGGATCCGAACTCTGAAGGTCGTGGCTGCGATGGTCTTCGGGAAAGCCAGTCGAGCCGCCGCTGTTTCGCTCTGTCTTGCCGATGACCTCGAAGAAAGAGACGGGGACCAGACCACGGGCACTGGAGGATAGTGGGTTGCAGGCTTCGTACCAATCGAAGTCGTCTTCTCTGCTTATAACATGGAAAAAATCACCTTTGCTGAAGGCAAGCTCGTGTGTGTTGGCTGGATCGGGAGTGTAATCGTAGAGGGCCCTTATGACCTGTGGGGTTCAAAGGGAAGTGGATTAGTCTATTGGGCATCGCAAGGGCCGCTAAGAAGCGTGGCGATGACGGGCGGGCAAGGGTGGAGCGGGAAGCGAAAGGAAACCAAACACTCACCTTCTTTGGCGGCAAAATAGCGATGGCAGACTTGGGAGTGATGGAGACATGCTGTGGCTTCTGGTCTTTGTCGCCCTTGAGTGAACGCCTGATGGCCTAGCAACGAGGGGGAAAGAAACCACGGCGGTGGAACCGATTAGCTGAAACCCAACCGCATCCCTGATGGGGCATATTACATTTTTTTAAAGGGGGGTAAGAAAAAGGGGAGAATAGAGGTAACCTCATCGAAAAACTAACAAATGGGCAGAGGGGAGGGGGGAAAAAAAGAGGCAGATAAGATTCCCAGAACATACCTTCATTGTGATCGACAAGCCCCAGGTTCCACCTGCAAAGTGGAAATCTTATTATTTTATTTTATCTTTCTTTTAAAACTCGAGTGAAACAAGTTTTAGGATCGGGAGATATATCGTCCTGTTCGGCGGGCAGGCAGAGAGAGAGAGGAAGCGTGGAGGGTTCGGGGGTGCAGGGCTGGGCGGGATCAAGACGTAAGTTGCGACGGCCTCACTAGCTAATTAACCGCCTAACCAGGGCTCGCTCTTGGGGCTGATTCCGCTCCGTGTCACCCAGCAGCAGCGAACGGGGGGGAGGGGAGAGGCGTGCACATCCAACCAACCCCACGACAGGACAAGACGAGCGAGAGCTTGCAGCAACTACGCGCTGGGACGTTTGGAAGCCCGTGCAGCGAAGCCGCCCTGACACGGGGACAGGGAGTTATATCAGTCACTTCTGCTGGTTAGTTATGGAGCTGAAATGCGACCAGAGCGAGTGATTGCGATGCGCCCAGAACAACGGCCACGCGTAGCTCAGCTTAACATACCCTTCCACCAGGCAACCGACCTTTGAGGATATATATGTAGCAGTTATATAGAAGCTATAGTTTTAGTTTAGGAAAAAAAATTTAAGATTTGGTCGGGAAGGGCCTTAATTCAGGGACCGAGAAGATGGATTAAGTTTGGATGGCGATACGAGTCTCATCGTCTGGGCCCGTGTGCTCGCGATGGTGGCATCCGGCTTTGCAGCGACAGCCAAGTTAACAACTTTAGCTCTGTAGTTATGCAGCTAGATTATCGACAAGACGACGTCGAGTGGCATCCCAGAATCGGCCAGGCCGGCAGCGAGAGGAGGACAGCGGGGAGAGACAGATGGGGCGCGAGAGAGGCAAAGTCACGGGCGACGGAAGCGAGATAGAGAGAGAGACACACAGAGAGAGAGAGAGAGACAGAGACAGAGAGAGAGAGATAAAGAGAGTCGAGCGGACGGATGGCGGTGGCCATGTCCTCTTGCTGCTTAAAAGAGTTTTAATTTGTTCCATCCAAACCAAATCTACCCACCCGATCCGGACCCTTCTTTTTGTCGCCCAAATGCAAATCGCAGGGCTGCCCGTCCGATCAGCGAGCTACGAACACGCGGACAACCAGCTAACTAACCAACTACTCTGCCCTCCCGTCCGGCCATCAGAACCCCGGCCTCCCTCCTCGCCGGCGATAATTCACTATTCTCCATCGACATCATCGACTTGCGGAGTACTCTGTCGTAACTCGTCGAAAAAGAAAGCAACCGCTAGTCCGCCGATAGCGCATGAGTCTTGCGCCTGATATTTCCCTCGCCTGCGAACCTAATTTCCTCTCAAACCCGCATCATCCAAAGGAGCACCCAGCTGCTAATTCCCATCAGAACAAAAGAAGAAAAAAAAAAAAAAAAAAAAATCAAACAAAATCCCCTCCTCGCTAACTACCTAATCGGCCTTGGCTGCCCTACGCGCCCATCCTTCTTTCGCCGCGATGATCTCTTCGACGCCCCGCAGCTGTTCAGCCCAAGTTCTCCATCTTCCCCAGTCGCTCGTCCCTTGCAGGCGTGAGCTAGCTAACATAACCAACTACTAACTTTCAACCTCTTCTGGATTCTTCCGCATGGGCGCAAGCCCGCCTGCTGGGCATCGTCAGCTTACTGCCTGCCAGCTCAGTTATTCGCCCTGGTCGTCGAACCTGAAGCACGATGACGTAACTCTAGCGCATAAACCGTCCGTCGAGGGCGTCGATTGCAAGGACTGGAGCAAAGAAGACGGCAGGGCCAAAGCGTACTTGCAGACGGCGGCCGAGCAAAAAAAAAAAAAAATAAAAAATAAAAAATAAAAAAAAAGGGAAAGCAAAGCCGTGAGAGGATCAATTGCACATGCTTATGGATCCCCGGCCAGCCTCATACGCCAACGAGTTGAGTTATGGTGGACACCCTCAGGAAATATATCTCCGGCTATGTACTCCGTACCGAAGCCTGCCTCTATCATCCTTGTCCATCAAGCTGCGTTTGTCGGGTCAGCTCCTAATAATTCATTATGTAGTAGCTCCTTAATACCTGGCATGGATCGTGCTATATTAACTTTTTTCTTTTTTTTTTTTTTTCAAATTTCGCCTAGTCAATGAAATGAAAGGTTCCTTGAAGCCGGAAGCGATTTGGACTGACCGAAAACGGGCCGCTTGGTCACATAGGCCAAGATGGTGATGATAGATAAGAATACGTTTCCGCAGGATCGACGCCGATGCCACACGGGCTTCGGCTCCCGCCCACACTGTCCCGCTTTATAAAATTGCATAACTCCCTTGCTCATAACTAGTTAATCAAACAGAGAGCATAGTTTACTGATCAAAAAACCAGCCCGCTTGTTCGCTAACATGACAGGTGAGCAGCACTTCTCGCATGGGCATTCATATCCCCCATTCGACTTCATGGGGGGGGTTGGAAGATGCGTATTTTACCAATCTGTCGGTGTTTGGATAGGGACGTGGGGGAATTACCTGCCTTTTGTGCTGAACACAAGCGCTTGCACAGCCTGCAATTTCTCTCAAGCGCTAAGCCAGTCTACCGCTGGTTACTCTGTACCTTCGGTTCGGTCAGAGGCTTAATAGCAGCCCTTGAGCCAGAGATTAATTCTGTCTTAAGCTCTCTTCGCCATCCGCAAGCGAGGCAAAAATCCCTGGAAGGACATCCATTCAGGCCAAAAAGCGTCAAAGAATGCTTCAAATTGCTAGATCTTCACCGAATGCTTACCTTCTTCTTGCAACATTTCTGCCGGACTGCCCCGTGTTCCCCGTGGATGGACAAGGACAAATGGAACACCGAAATTCTACCACTGGAAATGTCCGATGTCCAGTCTGCACGCTTTCTTCGGGCTCTTTGTCGCATGCAAACATACTGTAATACTTTTGGTAAACGGGGGGACTACTGGAGGCATGCTGCTGACCAGAAAACGACAGAGATCTCTTTGGGTCGCTCTTGGTATCGAATCGAAGAAATTTGGGAGCTCTTCTTAAACACAATGCCACCTTGGGAGGCTGAAGAGATGGCCTGTGTTTTTGGGCGTATCTCCGGACTAAATGGGTTGAAGTATTTGCCGAGATTGAGGATGATGTGTCTGAATACCGTCCTAGAATAGAAGGGTTCGTCGCATGGACTGGTACAAGAGGAACGAGCAGCTTTATCCAACTCGTAAGTGAAGAATTTCCCCTAATCGAGCATTGAAATTCCGGTTATAGCAGAGCCAAGACTTACGCTTTTACTGGATAGCTGCGTTCTATGACATGTATCTCGAAGATGTAACAAACACAGGACCAGGGTTTTTATACTGGGTCCTCCACGCACCGTCATACGAGGCGCCCCGGGATGTTACTATAGCCAACACCATTTTTGGCGCTCGGGGAGATACGTTCAGTACGATGCTTGGACCTTACTTGGAATCCTGGGAGTTGGGTCTCCCCGCAGCCAGATACCAGGAACACGATGGGAATCTCGAGGGGTATTTACGCACCTTGCCCCTCACTGAAAGGCCCAATTTGAGCTATGTTCGGTATTGGTATGGTGACGGACCCGTCCTGGAAGTATTCAATGATGATTTGACAGACTTCTTCGCACTCAATAGTAACTTTGAATGGTGCTGCGCCCTGTGGGATGACGAAAGACTCATCGAGTGGAAAACCCCCTTACCTCTACACCCATTTTAACCTCTCCCCTTCTCTCCGGCCCCGCGGGACTCGTCCAAATACCCCTCTCAATTTGAGAAGTTATCCACAAAAGGCAATGCTTTTACTTTGGAGGTATTATTCAACTTCTCCCCGTGTCCTTAATAATCCCTTATCAACAGGACGCGGAGCTCTCCGGTCTTCTGTGTTTTGGGCTAACGGATGGTAAACGTCACAGCGCAAAGCATGCTATCTTGAGCTGTCAAGGCATGAGCAGAAGGAAGGTAGCAAGGGTCAAAGAGTGGATAGTGGAAGGCCGGGTGATCTTACATACTGGTGTCCTACTTCGGCCTACTCAGTAGCAACATTCATCAAAGATAACTAACTGTGAAAATCTATACAATATTATATTTCTGGGCTCCTAAGAAAGCTATACTTGTCTCGCCTAGGAAAAAAAACCAGCAGCACTACAGGATATCACTATAAGTGAATAAAGAACTCGGGCAAACCCAAGAACAGATACCACACAGGCAGGCTCTGAAAACACATCGCCAGCAATATAATCCCAACTCCTAAACACCCCTTTCTCAGCCTAAATGCGTACGGAGGATATAATAAGAAAATCATACGACCAATCAGACAGTATTGACTTCGCCTTCTCCCATGTGATGGCAGGAGATCGGTCGGTCAAAGAACGTAGCCGAGAAGAGCAGATGGGACTTTAGGGAAGACCATGGATCGGGAGGCTGGTACGATCTGAGACAGAGAGGCACAAAAAAAGTAGAGTAAGAAATCATCCACGGCGAGGAAACGCCGAAGATGCGAACGAGTCACTACGAACGGAGTAGGAACTTTAGAGTGCGCCGGAACAGCAAGGTGCCCCGTAGGACCTGGAGATCATCGTCAAATTTAACAGTCGTTAAATCTGTCCTTTAATATCAACGATTCTGTGGGCTTCAGCTTTAGCCGCTTCAAAGTAAGGTTGAGCCTTCGCAGTAACAAGTTTAACGCCGTCTGGTTTCTCTTGAAGGAGCTCTTCCGGCACATGATCCAGAATAAATCGGGCAGCTTGCTCATCTGACTCAAAACCAAGTTCCTCGGTGATGAATCTAATATTGAGGTCGGGCTTATACCTGTTGATCGAGTCAGAGTCATACGGAAGTAGCGTAGGATTATAGTACATACGCTTTACAGATGTAGGTGAGAGCATTAAGACGCTCCCGGTCGACAAACATGTCCATAAGATATGCTCCCATGTTCGGCGTGTCAAGGTAGAGTTGGAAAAATCGATGATAATTTCCAAGTGCCAGAGCGGAACGCACATCCAATGCATGTTTCACAGCATGGTCAGCTGCTTCTGCGGGGGTTAGATCCGCCAAGGCGTTGTTGATGGCGGTTCGATTGCGGGTATAAATGAAATAGAGAATACGATACGCCTTAAATTCCATGGGATGTCCTCCAAGATTCATTGCATACAATGCCAGTAGTTGAGTCTGGCACTGATTATACTCACCAAGATCACCCTTTTCCAAAGCAATTCGAGCATGGATTTCGTATACGTTGACCGTGAACTCATTTCTGATGTGTTGGACGGTTAAATCCTGTCGCATGGACTTAAATTGGTCACAGACGTAATTGTAATTGTTCTCTGATCTCCACTTTTTCTTTAACAGGTCAAGGGTCTTTTTTAGCACAGACAACGGCCGCACAGTGTCCGGGTTTGGGGGAGCAGTGAGACGGAAATAGTTCTTTTCTAAATTCTGGCATCGGCCGATAACGGGCCCGTCATCGGAATCTCTCGTGAGGGATCCCTCGTAGGGCGAACGCGTACTGGGGGTCGCCTGTGAACCAGAGCCTGTGTCCTCGAAACGCCGTTTGCGGCTCTCCAGAACACTGGTAAACTTACTTGGAATTTTGCTGTTAGCGTTATCATTACCGATATCTGTCCGTCTTCGTTTGTCAGTAGGGGAAGGGAAACTATTGCGATCTTCAAACTCAGTGCGAGAGTTAGCTTTTCTTCTCCATGGCGGAATACTTTCCACGTTATCCTCCACTGTGCTAATTTCTGATGATTTTCTTTTCGGGGAATATTCTTCCTTTTGTGATCTTTCCGTATATGCAGGAATAGATCTGTGAAAGCCCACTGGTTGCTGTCTCGTTGACGATGTCAGAGCCCTATTCCGTTCATCACGAATCATTTCCTGGGGTAACGGCAGGGCTTCCCAATTAACATTGTTGAGATTATTGCTCTCGGCTGCTTCCGTGATTATTTGCTTTAGCTTTTTCTCCATATCCTCTCGCGTAATACCCGGGATCTGGTATTCGGGAACAAAGCTCCGTTGCACATATTGGCGTACTCCAGGGGGCCACTCAACCCTTTTCTTACTACCTTGAGCCTCGGCAGGTTTCGGTGGAGGAACATCTGTGGAGTGGGGATCTGTAGTTGACTGCGGGTTTGAAGCTAAGCTGCGGCGGGCTTGAACGGAAATATACGCGGGAGCTGAGTAGCGTTAGGGTTTTGTCGATTGGGAGACAGGCCAACGTAAACTCACCATTTGATGTGTATTGTGCCGTAGTGGAAGCCCGCCATGGCGGAGAAGCAGCATTCATGGCGAATGTCAATAGATCGTAAGTCCAATAGATGAAATCAGCTGGTTCGAGGTGTCAAGTTCCAGATTTGCAGAGAAGGGGTTCTGTGTTGAGGGCTCAGTCTCGACAGGATAGATTCACAGTATAAGCTAAAAGAAAACTCATATGATGGTTCACTCTGTACAAAATATGAAAGGAAAGATTCAACACCCTCCACACATAACGATCAAAAGAGCAAGCTGGTGATGGGATGGAAAGGCGCATAAATGAGAAGTGTCGTTCTTCATGATGAGGTGGCAACCAAGATGTGAATGGGGCGCTCGCTTCACTCTGTTTCCGGTTTAGTGCGGTCTTGGGAAGGCGGTGATATCACGTGAATGAAATAGGCGGATGACGAAATCCGTCGTGTGCAGAGGTGAGCGTCACTGATTCTTGAAGAAGAGTATTACTGCGCAGACAGGAATGATAGGAAGCCTAGAGTTGGGATTCTACCTTCTTGCTTATATTTTTACTGTGTAAAATTCTAGCATCATGCGCCATTCTTTTTCTTGTCCTTGTAGATGTTCTTCAAACCAGTTGATCTCACCACCGCCCTGCGCCCCGCGCTGCTTGAGGATGAATCACTGCTGTTTGTCCAGGACATGGTAGGATTGTACGAAGGGTAGGTGTTTCCTGTTTTCTAGGCATGAAAGCCCCTTGACTGACTACCGTCGGGGTTATTATAGAAAATACAAGATACCCAACTACCAGAATGGCCATGCTTACCTGACTTCACATCGCATCTGCTATGTCGGGGCTTCCGAACCCCGTAAATACTCAGTAGCGGTTGACCTGAAAGAAGTGGAGCGGGTAGAATATCAGGTATTAGAGTCCTTGGTACTAGTATTATTGGGCTTTGTTTTTTTTTTTTTGACGGTTTGGTATTAGGCGGGCTTTCTGAGATCGTCACCGAAGATTGCAATATACCCCAAACCTTCGAGGAAACCTCCAGGGAAAAGTGCCGTCAAGGTTGAACGTGCCTCATCACGAAAACTTTCATCTTCCTCATCACAGAGAGCTGCAAGTCCTTCACTTCGCCAGGTAAATGGATCGTTGCCCAGAGCTTCAACTGCAAGTTGGGTCTGCCCAATTTGCACTTTCTCGAATCCTGTTCCCTCCAACTTTGACCCATCCACGGCCACAGCTTCTACTCCACTTCCGCCATGTCTAGCCTGTGGAATCAAGCCACCCCTTACGACACTTCTAAAAGCAGCTATTGCATCTGCGACAAATCGCATCGTCACAAATCCTACAGTTCTACAGCCGTCTCAACCCCATGAGCAGGTTGATACGCTGCCAATAAGCCGCGACAATAGCGGAGATATTCTTGAACTGTCACGTTCCATAGCCAAAAGCCATATAACTACTTGCCCACGATGTACCTTCGCAAACCACCCTTCCCTCCTGGAATGTGAAATGTGTGGTGCACCTCTTAAGCATTTAGGCAACAATACCCCTGATCGATTAGATTCCCCGGCTCCTCTCTTTCTTACTTCTCAGTTAGAGAATACGGAAATCAACGAGAGTATGAAACTGTCATTTCGTGGAGGCGGGGAGAAAGTTTTTCATGAGAGACTTAACGATGCTCTGATCCAAAGGAAGTGGCTCCTTCACGATGCCCCGCCTGTCCCTCAGATGTCACTTTATCCCGGACCTCAAGGAATCTCAGCCACTGGGGGAGATTCCTCTCCTGTTGAAGAAGGGTCGCCCCAGCCAAAAGGCGTTGGAATTGCCGGGCTTGAGCGTCGCGGTTTTCATACAAGAAAGCTTAACGAAACAGTAATTGGAAATGCTTTTGAAGACCTTGAGGCGTTGATGGCATCGGCTAAGGAGATTGTCGCCCTAGCTGAAACCTTGGCCACAGAAACCGGAGTAAAGCCAAATGATCACTCTACTCTTGAAGCGGATGCAGTCCTGTCGCAATCCGCCGCCGCTCTTGGAATGATAACAACGAAAGACATGCTTGGCTCAGGCAGCAGCTCGGAGACACTGTATCTTTCCGAACTATCACGTAATCTCGCTGAATACTTGACAGACGACCGAGAAGGCGTACTTCGCCGTGAAGGTGGCATCATGAGTCTTATAGACCTTTGGGCTATTTTCAACCGACGCCGAAATGGGGTGGAGCTCGTTAGTCCGGCCGATTTTCACAAAGCGGCAGAGCTATGGGAGAAGCTCAAACTTCCTGTGCGGTTACGTCGATTCAAAAGCGGGTTATTGGTCGTTCAGCCGCACGATTGGACGGACGAAAGATGCATTCGTCTTCTTGAATCGTGGATGAATGAACTACAAACTGATTCTCCTGCTGTAGAGGTACCTTGGGATTGGACACTTTATGGCAGAGGAGTAACGGCGCAAGAAGCCGCTCAGCGCTTTGGATGGAGCGTTGGTGTCGCATCCGAAGAGCTGGAAATGGCTGAAGATCGAGGTGTTCTCTGCCGAGAAGAAGGTATCGAGGGTACTCGATTCTGGCGGAACCACATTTTGATAACCGAAAATGGTGAAGGCTCTATGACTCAAAAATGATATGAGATAATAAGTTGGTCCGGTCATCAGGATAATAATATAATATTCTTCCCAAGGCATCTACACCATTACAACCAGATCAGTAGGCCCTTGATGGACAATTGATGTGAGTGTCTCGGGTGTCTATTGAAGCTTACATACGTCATTATGCTGTACGTAGTAAGAAGAAAAGTCTTCGCCGATTTGACGAGACTGAGGTGAATAGATGTTAAATTTGACATACCGAAACTTCTCTCTCTCTCTCTCTTCTCCACACACGTATATATATTCCCTGCTGTACAAAAAATATGAATGATCATTCCAAATCCCCCAAGCCAGATATCAAATTGTTAACATTGGACGAGAAGCATAAGATTTGAGATTACCATCATGGGACGGGCCGCAGAGAGGATTGTTTCGATTCTTAACACTTTGGCGTAGCGGTACCCTCTGAACGACAAGGGGGCTGCAAGAGTTGTGTCGGTTCGTTGCTACCCTTCAAACATAAAAGTTGACGCCTCCTTTCTCTTGCTGGGTCGTCATCGTCAAGATCATACCGTGATAAGATAAGATGCGGGCGGGGAGAGTGCGGGAGGCGAATGACATAATCAGCGGAGCCCGCATCAGACGGCCGAACCGACACATCGATCTCCGCCTGGTGCTCCTTGGAAGCCCCGTTGAAATCCTCCTCAGTGCTCTGCCGCGGCGGGAATCTACGGTTTGTCTATTATCCTTAGTGGGTATATATGGAACCCGGGCAGCCAGCATCGACCCTATCCGATGTGACCTATCTTGCCTCAGGTAGCGAAGAGTTCTTGAACTCAACGACCGCTATCTGAACGTTTTGCCCGCCTTAATCGTTGAGTACACGGTTGCAATGGCGTCGGTTCTGGCTAAATCAGTCTTTCGGAGCCGAGCCACTCGGCAATCGAGTATACTCTATGGCCCTACGACGTTAAGAGCTACTTCTAGTCCCCAGCGCCATCCTCGTACCTTTGAGCAACGACGGACGATAGCATGGGGTGGTCGTCCAGGTGGCCCGGACTGGCAGTCACGATTTGAGTCAAAGCTACGACGCTCCATTGAAAAAGCAAATCGCATGCTTTTCCATAAATGCTCTCATGGGATGCGCCCACGGTCGGAATGGTATCGTTGGCAACATGGAAATCTCTGGGGCTGGTCTCAATTTGGGTCATCGGGGCCTCATAGGGGACCGGGCGATGGGCCTGGATGGTCACCCTGGAAATGGGGCCAATCGTCCTGGGAAAAAGAATTCACAGCTGAACAACAACGCTTTGAACAGGAATTTGAGGAGTTCAAACGGCGGATTCATGCGGATCCATATGGCATGCTCTTTGGGAGGCGCCTTACGCGGCTACACCCTTTCCCGCTTGGTCCGAAGGATGATACCCTGTCAGCCCTTTGGCGATACCTCTTTGGAATTGAAAATAGTGCTGCCTCATCTAAGGAACGAAGGCATCGCCATGGAGACGAAACCGCTTGCACCGCGAACGCGAACGTACATAGCCATTCCGATGGTTTCCAAAAGGCATCTCCAGACAAGGAAGCTCTGTTTGAGTTTGATCCAATAAGCGGCCGGATGGTGCCCAAGGACTGCCCAAATACAACCGTGGAAAATGCACCATTCGAAAAGACCGCACATGATACGTTTGATATTCCCATGAAAAAGTCACGCTCAGAGCTAGCAGATAATAGGAGTCGTTGCACAAAGGTCGAAGTGTCTCAAAACTCGGCTTTGCTGGATCAGAAGCGTGACTGCGATTCTTCGGTCGAGGGACCGAGAATAGATCGGCGTAACGCTTCATCCAGCTCACAAGGGATAAACAAGTCTGGCCAGAAGAGAAGCGATGGAGTCTTTCTGATGGGTGCCCCACAGAGTCAGAGTGAGGTGAATGACCTTGGTTCTTCGATTACGAATACTTCCCTGGACAACGAACTGGGCATGGACACATCAAACAGCAGCGCGTTACGAGTTGAAGACGAAAAGCCGGGATCACGGGCACCACAAATACGCTGTGCACAGTCTGTCTTTGATAAATTCAAGGATTATCTTACTTGCAAGCCTGAGACATACACACACGATCGGGGCGTGTTAGCAAATACTTGGAGCGCGAAGGAAATGGCTCTAGAAGATGTTCCACATAAGTGTCGACCTGTTTTGCATAATGTTCCATACGAGGATCCAGAACGAATGAACATTGATTCTCTACGCGCCAACGACGTGCGTGCATCCTTTGAGCGTCGGAATTCCGAGCTTGAAACCCAAAGATGGGAATCGAAAATTGATCATATAGTTAATTCCCAGGCCGTTAACGCATTGGGGGCACGTGGACATTCAAATGAAACCACCGGTGCAAACGATGATGCTTCATGTACTGCAACCGATATTGCTGATAAGGGAAAAGTCGAGGACATTACCGGACAAACGCAAACCAGCTACGAAAGCGTGTATGGTGAGGTCACCCCCAAGGACAGACAGGCCCAAGCGTCTACAAGGGTGAACGATTCTGTGTCCGAGATGGGTATAGGGGCTGCAGAGCACATCGACCTAGAAGTACCTATTACGGACACCAATACAAGCCGTCTGACGCTACTCATGAGGGCTGGGAGAACCTTGGATAGAATTGAAAGGACAAGTAGCGCCATTCGGGCTTCACTGGGAGACACCTTAAAGAGTTCCGCAGACGTTCCAACAGAATACAAGATTCTTGCATATGACTCGTCAACAATGAAGGTTCTGGATGCTGTTATAACTTCAACTTTCTCTTCCGATTTTACTCCTCTCCATCCAATAGAGGCGATATCTCGATTGAACAAACCTTCAAAGTTTCTTGCCTTTTTTTCGTCACTCTCATCTCAGGGCTACGAGATTTTCTCGGCCAGCGGTGACGTACTTGTCTTCAAGAAGACACGACGAGGCGATTTTGAGACATCCCAGGGGGATGAGTCCGGTACACCTGTTTCTTCTTCAAGCGGGTCTATATATTCACCGAGAAGAGCCGCTGAGCTAGATGGAGAGTCCATCGATGAATTGGAGGCTAACAGATCCACCTCCACTTTGCAAGCAGGGACTCCTTTAAATAGACAAGAGAGCTGTGTAAACCCCGGAAGAGAGTCTATGCACTCACCTCAAGGAGCTATGCGGCTTGAACAAGAATCCATCGAGGGCTTTGAAGCCAAGAGGACCGGATCATCAGAACTGAAACCTTCTGGTGCACAGGGTGAACCCGTCGCGAGCATTGATAAACAGCCCGTGCATTCACCGAGTCGTGCGGCCCAAAGGGAACGAGAATCCGTCAAAGAGTTTGAAACTAGCACGCTGAAATCGACCACCTCGCATCCTTCCACCATGGTCCGGCGACAGGAGACCCATTTCACGGGCGGACCGCCAAATTGGTCACCATACGACCCAAATGAGAAATGGAGACTTTCGCCTCCTCAAGGCGCTGGAACCGCGAGGAAGAAGGAAGAGGGTTTTCTGTCGTCGTTTCGGAGAGCGATTCGTCGTGCTGTGTTGGCTGGAGTGGTTGCTGGGGGCACTTGTTATGCAATTGGTGTTGTCGCAGAATATTTTAGGACTGGAGGGCAAGATGGTTTGGGGCCGAGAGGATTCACGGGTCTTGAGGGCAGATAAGGCTGGCCTCGTCATGGTCCTGGGGGAAAAATGGCCTTCCAGCGTGCCCGAGAGGTCAGTGGGATGGAACGAGAATATATGGATAATTTGTCTATTTAACCCCACGAGCGCGATTGCACACTTTGTGTTTGCTGTTTTTGGGTTTTTGGGTTTTTGGGTTTTTTTTTTTTTTTTTTTTTTGGTAAATACTATCATCTTTTCTTTTGTTCCCACCTTTGCCCTTTCAGCGCCCCCAAAAAGCGTACCGGCTGAATGCTGCGCAAGTGGCTTCCTCTCTCATTCACAGTTACATAGCCCCTTCCAGGGACTGAAATTCTCCAATACAATGGCGTTTTGAGAATCTCCGCGGGGGTATTCTGGTACTTTTGTTTGCAACCATGAATTGGAATTCTATTCTGATAAACCGAAGCGTCGATGTTCTCTCAATTAAGCTTTGCTCTATTTATACGGAGTACGGACTAGCTAAGCAAGTACGGAGTCGAGTTGGGGTTTTCAGGTGAGACAAATCGCCCAGCTGCAGATCGGTTTGTCACTTGCAGAAGTAGCGACTTTTGTTAACGAGTTAGCGAGCAATTCGGTAGCGAGTCGACTAGTTTCGAACCACCGTTACGAGGGTTGCCTGGGGAGAGGAGATGCGAGAAAGAATGGTCCTTTTTTTGCACGACTTGCGCTTCCGTGCGGCTCCGGGAGGTGCTCGGTGGTGTTTACGCAATAGTCCGAATTTCCCCCTCCCCCTTTTTATTTGATTTCCTTTTGCCTGGCTTGGGGTTCGAAGTGTGTGTGAAAGGAGACGTTCATGTTCTGGAGCACGGAGGAGGGATGAAGAACTCTTTTTGTTTCATCACGAGTTCCAGAACCTCTCGTCTCCTGCTAAGACGGAAGAAGCGGGGAGTGGATTTGCGTCCTCAAGCTCTGCCCGCTCGGAACGTCGTCTCGGTCAATCGGGACCAGTCTCAAGGAGTCCATGGTTAGCTTTTTCGACGATGGCTTCGAAATGTCTCTCTCCCGCGTCACTCTGCGAGCTGTGGTGGGAGGCTGACCGCTTTAACGACAAGGATGGCCGGAAAGGGGCATCTTTATGTATGTACGGAGTACTCCGTATGGATGGATGTATTCCGTCCTGAGAACAGTCCACAGAGCTGAGATGACAGCGGGATACGGAGGAAATGGCGTCCATCCCAGATGTCGCTGACTGCAACGGCGAGCCCACCCGCCGACGTCGGATTGAGCCTCTCGCTGCGAGCGCTCCAGACACGGTATGTCAGAGGATCGTCACCCGTTTTTTTCATCGGGAGACGGGGTTTAACTCCTTTGATCGACGGCTATGTGTGTTATTTCGTGCGGCATGCAGCCTTGTCGTCTCGTGCGGTCTGACAGCAAAACCCGCTGCGCTATCTTCCCTCTTCCCCCCAAAAATCGTCAGACAGACGCAGTCGGCTGGGTCGTGTGTGCCATCGAAAGCCCACCGTGAACGTCGTGGCGCAGCACAGCAGCTTCTAGCCCCAGTACTCCGGCCCAAAGCAGCAAGTCTCGCTGCCGATCGCAATTCGCACTGTCGAAAACAGCTTAGCGGCGAACCTTGGTTGCTTACTCAAGTTTGTAAGTTACACCTCCGCTTTCTCGCGTGTATCATTTTACTCGCATGTCGTCATGTCCCCATAGAGAGCGTGGATGACCGGGACGTATTGGTATGTAATGGATGCATCGACGGGCGTCTGGAATCATTTGATGGCTACTCTTTTCATTCTGGCACCATTTCTTGCACTATTTTTTTTTCTTTTTCTTTTTTTGAATCTTTCGGTGTTATCACAAGGAGATCGCTGTCATGGTTGCAATGGGCTGTTCATCCGATGAAGGCTGCTGCTGCTGTTGCGTGGGTGAGGGGAAGGGGAGGAGCTAGCAATGCCTGCTTTTCCACTTGGCGCACGCCCGCTCGCACCTGGGGGCAGGCGAATGGTAAGGGTCTATTTTGGCTTCCCTGCCGGCTATTGCTCGCTTCGCATCGATGATTGCGTAGGCGTGGTCGCGCAGTATTGCCCGTTGTCAGGTGCTCGCTGGCCTTTATATTTTTTTAATTTTTATTCTAATTTGTTCCAGGAAATTCTGTAAGGGGGTTGGAAGCGGCGGGAGATTGTGCAGGAACAGGGCATTCTGGAGCTTGGTGGTAATCCAGTAGCTGTTCGCAAAATTTGTTCGCATCTGGTGTTCAGGGTACTCCGTAGATGAAATTATGATTAATTTCAGTTTTCCTTTCCTTTCCTTTCTTTTTTTCTCTCTCGTTTACGGCGTCTTCCTCTTTTCGGGCAGCAAAGCACGGACAAGTTTGAATCCGCCAGTCTTCCTTTTCTGCGAGAGAGTTTGTGAGCCCGTGAGTGGACAGGGCGCCGACAATTCCCCTGAAATATACTCCGTAATTGTCGCTAAGTTAGTGGCTCGTCGCAAGAACTGGGGATACGATAGGCAAATTTCGGGAGTAAGCAGGCCAAGACCATATCCTTCTCACCCTTCTCAGTCGTTCTTCCCTGGAAGCAAATGCGCAGTTCGCGGGAAAGTCTCCCCGTGGGAGGAATGATGGCCAGCTGTTCTTCTGGCTTCAAGACATCGATGGCAGCGGTTCAAAGGCGTTCTTGAGATGGAAGATGAGGTTGTTCTTGAGGGATCCGTCGTGACCATTGTGAGCTCTGGAAGGGCCGCCATCCGGACTCCGAAGAATTGACATTGGGCCCGTTGAAACCCCTGCATTTTGTTTGTATGCAAAATACTCCGTCGCTCCGTAGTTTGAACTCCATAGCTTTGCACCTGCTGTGGCTTACCCTTGGAGGATAGGTCCTGCGCTCTGCTCGATAAACTCGAACACGCTCTGTTGTGGAGGGCGGCCGCTCGGTGGGGTCCATTTTGTTTCTCGCGGTCTCTTCGGAAGTGCAACTCTCGAACCCGAACGATTTTATGGGATGTGTGTTTGACGCCGAAGATAAACAGAACAGGTGTAGCGCGTACAGCAACAGGTTTCCCTTCTTCACTTGCCCCAGATTTTACGAAGTCGACGGGAGGTTCGAGAGAGTGTCTGATGGTGGTACACGCCGAGTCGAGCCAAGCAAGTGTGTCCTGCAGATATTTAGGAGCACAACTCCGAGGCACATACGAAGTACATATTCATGCATACTAAGTAAATGGTATACTCTGTACGTAGTAATCCGTAGATAATTATTACTACCGCGTATACAGTACAAAGTGTCCTATGCTCCGGAAGATCTAGGCCCTGCACAAGTCTAGTTTACGTGCAGGAGTACTCCGTAGCGGTGTCGACAATTTGCGTCCTCGTCGACGGTCGTACAAACCAGGCAAGGAGGACAGAAGACACGCAGGAATTTCGTACTAGAAGAGGAGGAGGAGGAGGAGGAGGAGGAGAAGGAGAGACATCTTCAGACGGCCGAGTCGCCTTGCCAGAGAAGGTTTGGGCGGTTGGGAGCAGACACGTGGTTGACCGTGAAATTGCCTTTTCGCCAAGAGACCGGAAGGTAAGATATGCTCACTAAGAACTGGGAAGCTCACGAGGCGACGGTGCTGGCAGCAATTTTTGCGGGTAGTTCAACGATGGTTCGGGGGAAAAAAAAAGGAATTTGTACAAGTGGAGGGGAGAGAAAGGCCGCAAAATGTCATTTTACCCCTGAGCAGGCGCCGGGCGATGATTCGGCGTGCTGAAAACAGAGCCACTCGCGATCCGGGGTCGCTGTGGCCGTCGTCTCACGATTGGCCCTGTGCGGCACGCTAAGCCTCTTTCAAGTTTAACTCCGTTCCTGGCGGCTCGTCGAATGCAACCAATCGATCCCCGGTGGAGCCCGCCGCCTTTCAAAACTTACCGTCCAAATCCCTGCCGCCCACCCAGTCTTACCGTAATCTACCGCGCAAGCCCTGTCACGCTCCCGTCATCCGAGTATCATATCGCGTACTTACCATCCCCGTACGCTGACACCTTGCTTGAGCGCTGTATCGTTGCACCAATAGAAGAAATTCGCTGCCCGTGTTTGAAACGGTTAGGCCACACCATTGGCCAGCGCGGTAATTCTGCTGAGAGTGTAATACGCAGAAACTCGCGAACGGCCTCTTCTCTGCTGGGCCAAGATGGGGTTGGTGCATGTGTTTATTACAGCGCCGACCGTTGGTTTCGTGGGCGTAATGCCCTCCCAGATTCCCGTAAGCGCAACAATACCTCCTAACCAACAGGGAAGGGCGTCTTTTGAGAGGCTTCGCCGTCTCATTATCATCGCTGTCACCTCCTCGCTTTCGCCCTCTTCCCGTCTTCCCTCCCTCGCTTCCTCTTCTCTCTCCCTCCTCCTCCTCCTCCTCTCCCAACTTCACCTCCATCCATTTCGCATCCTTCACTACACTCTCCTCCCTCTCCTTGTATGCGTCGTCGTCGACGCTGTTGTCGGTGTCGTTTCCCTCTTTCTCCTCCGCTTCCCACCTTCGACACCTGAGTACACAACGGCGCCCCTCCGTAAGTTAACCATGGGAATAATCCACCCTAACGCCCCATTGGCGCAAGCCATTAATGACTAAACTGTACGACTAACACGTTGGCTTGACTTATTTACATATAGTAACTCCAGGCTCCGGGTCGACATCCACACCTCATCTCTCTCCCTCTCCCTCCCCCCATCATCCCTCTCAAAACCCATCTCCCTTTCCGTCGTTTTCTTTTTCTTTTTTTTACTTTCCTTTCCTTTGCACCTCTCTTTCACTCATTTTCTGTATTTAATTATTTTCGCGTTCTCTCCCCGGGCATCCTTGCCTCGCCGCTCCCTCCATCATCTTCGGGGTTCCCCAGCCAAAGCCGACCGTGGTTCGTTCAAGGGTTGAAGGCAGACAACTTTGGGGCGACGGGACAACAGGACTAAACATTGCTTATCTGGTGGCTGCGACGTCTTCTTTGAGGGTTTGCATCTTTTGATCTCGACATTTGAAGAGGGAAAATCCATACATCAGACCGTGAGAAGGCAAAACCCACACTGTTAAACAACGAAATTAAAAAAAAAAAAAAAGAAACGAAGCGCAGCCGTCACTGACACCATAGCCAGGACTACAAGCTTCCTCTCGACGATAGATCTGCGCTTTAATTTTCGGCCGGAAAGGTTTCATTTTTTTGAGGGGGATTCACCGTTGGACGATACGCCTGATGAGACAAATGATTCTTATTACGCGTGTCTAATGGGACGAACCGAATCAGACTGAACAGTACGTTGGGCCTGTTGTCGAGCCCTTTTGTTATTTTTATTTTTATTTTTATTTTTATTTTTATTTTTATTTTTTTTTGGGCAAAACATCCCTGTTGAGTATCTAGGGCGCGTGATAACAGTTGTTGGATCGAAATTTAGTCGAAAGGCCGCACATTCCCTCAAGTTTCAAGCTACCGGCAGCTGAAAGATTGTTGCTTCTATCCCCGTCGCTCTTTATCGCCTGGAACGTTTGTTCCGTTACGCTCTTTTGAAAGGTATGCGCCTGCAAGATTGCTGTCTTTGACTCATGCCACAATCATCCCAACTTTGCTGTTTTGTTGATATCCTTCTCCACTGGACTACCCAAATACCATCGCCCTCTTTGCCTACCGTGTGGGCTGACGGAAAATGCAGATAGTACCGCTTCGCGACATTAAGTCGCTGATTCCACTCGCTTAACACATTGAACATACGCACAAAGTACGTGAGGCATTCGGAATACTCCATACCGTGATATCGATATAGGACACAACGATTCACCAGTCATCTGCAGTCGAATAACCATGCGCGCCATCCTGTCAACGCTCCTTGTGTCTCTCGTGTCGCTGGCAAGCCTGGAGCAATGCCAGGCGTTGGACACTCCCCATGGCAACGAAAGACCCCAATACTACTTCCCTCGGCGGATCAAACGCGAGATACATAGAGAATCTCCCCTCTACGTCAAGCGCGAAGTTGTCGTGATACCTGTAACTGTTATGTTGGGACCGGATGGGAAGAAAACAACACTTGGTGCGAACAAAGTTGTTGGCATGGGGACACAACCCACTGCTGTAACGTCTGCGACAACCATTTCGACAGGATCCACAGACATTCCGGTGACTACACCTTCGGACCCAGATAATCCTCCAGTTCCAACTCCTTCAACTCCATCCACGACGTCTGTACGGAAGATACCCGGCACTTCTCCAGGAAGCACGATGAACAACCCAGAAACCACAGCCAGGCCATCCGAGTCGACCGGTCTAACTACGCCGGCTGCCTCGGTCACTACTCCAGTTTCAAGCAGCCCAAGTGATGATATGGAAGAAGGAATCAGTATCGACCTCTCCCGAATAATTTCTGGTATACCGATGCATTCAACGGGTCTGGTTCCTAACCCCACGATGAATTCCAATTCGCCAAATGGATCTGCACCTACTACTAGACCCGTTGAGCCGACCACGGACGTTTCCGCAACATTGCCATCTCAGTCCGGAAGCTTGAGCTCTCAGAGCTTGGAGCCTTCGGTGACCAGGGGTACAGGAGGAATAGGCTTGCCATCTCTACCTCCGATTCCGCCAGTAAATGACACAATCTCCAGTTTAAGTATGAGCCTCCCGACAGCTTCCTTGAGTATTGACCCTATAACAACGCCTGGAATACCCATGAGTTCGCAGATTTTCCCTCCAAACAACACGTCCACTGTTGAGCCGTCCGGCTCTGCTACACAAATTCCAGGCAGTGTTACAACTACGTCTGATCTAATACCAGAGTTTCCCACTCTAATTCCGCCATCTGTGACTGAAATCCCAATTGGCAGTGGCACTGGAGTGAGACCGCGGCCAACCAATACGGCAAGCAATGGTGAACACTCTACCCCTAGTGGAAGCGCAACTTCTGCGACCGGCTCCGAGTCTCAGCCAACAGCGACCCCGTCAGCGACAGGAACGTCAACGATCCCATCCGGTATTTTCCCACCCAGCGGCTCTGGATCCGGCTCTGGATCCGGAATCTTGAGACCTACCACCACTTCGGGCAAGGGATCTGCGACCGAAACCGGCTCGCAAACGATGAGCATCACGACAAGTGACATGGCCAGCCCTACGCCAGCGCCACCCAGCACGAAATCTCCCGTCTCCCTGTCAACAAATTCCGACACAGAGATGTCTATTCCCACAAGCATTGTTGTACAGCCGACGCAAACAAACACCGAGACGACAACAGAAAGTCAAAGGCCAACTGAACGACCCAAGGTCATTTCACCCCCGCCTAATGAAGACAAAACCCCGCCAAATTCCGTTGTGGTTAATCTAGGGTTCAACGGCTCTCTGAGCTATGATTTTGTCGTTGACCACTCCGGTGCAACGACACAAATCTTCTACTTCCTGCCAATGGGTGTTGCATATGCTCTCGAAATTCCGAATGAGAGCGTTAAGGTCGGGGCTCTCCGTCCGTATGACACCGTTGCTAGACTTGGCTACACTACCACAGTTGCCTCCGTTTATATCCCATCAGACCTCATCCAGTCACTTGCTCTGCAGCTCCGGACTCCGTCTTCTCGTCTGTACAATAACCCAGACCCTTCAGTGCGGACAATAATGGCTATGCTGGATCCGACAATTCCTCTCACTGGTGTCCTCTCAGGAGGTAATGGCTCACCGTCCAATCCAGGACAGAATAACCCCGACCAGCCAGGTGGCGACGACGGAGGAAACAGCCAAGACACTGGCCCAGGTCCAGGAGGATCTGGAGGGAACTATAACGTTCGCGCGACATCCGTTGGTATTGGTTTGGGTGTCGTTGGCGGTGCCTCGCTCTACGGTGCCGCCATGTTCTTCGTTGCTCGCCGATATAGAAGAAGACGCCGGTTGATGAACGAAGAGAGCTTCTTAACCGACGGCCTTGGCGGGCCAGCTGGACGGGAAGGCGAGCCGTTTATGAGCGGCGCCCGCAGCGATGGTTACGGAAGCTCCCAGCGTAACAGTGGAGGTGGAACCAGTGCCAGGACCCAAACAATTAGCCCGCCCATGATGGCTGAGAACTCGCTTGGTTGGAACTGAGCGGCGAGTGAACGTCCGAACCAAACTGAAATTGGAAATGGCCAGTTGGATTAGAAATGGTCTAAGCTTCTGAGCACGCTCAACGGAGTTTGGCATCGTGTCTGACGTCAAAAAGAAGCTCCCATCGAATTGAGTTTGTTTAAGTACCACATCGCACCATGCACACTCAATTCATATCCTTGCGATATTGCAAAGTCAAGCGGCTACCTTATCTACTGAGCAAATAAGGGATGATCTTCATGTCGATTTCAGCATTGGATTTTTCTGCACCCGCCTATCTTATCCTTTCGCCCTGACGCACCTTTCGAGCCTAGTCCGCTTTCTGCTTTATGAAGCCGGACCAAACTTTTGTATTATTTTTCTCCACTGCCCGACAGTGACAAGCCCATACACCATGTTTCCTTTGTTATGTCTGAATTACTGATACCTCCCATGTCTATCTGTTATCTAAAGAAAAAGATTGCTGTTTTTAACATGCGAGCAAAGGGCTTCGGATATTTCTTTTGGTCTTTCCTCACTGTGGGCCGAGCTCATTACAACATTTAATCGATCGCTACTTCAAATTTCAATATGAAGATTTGCTTCCCTCGGGTGCCGAACCGTCATTTCCCGTCTCAAGCAGCAGTTATTTTCCTTCCTTTTCCCATATGATGCGTGTATGGGGGATGAGCAATCAAAAGAGTAGGCCTTTTGCGAATCTCTTTGGCAAGATAGGCGGGACAATGGCATTCAGCCGCTTTGGAAGACGAAGGAAAGGGTGTCTAGACCTGTCGGGTTTTTTCTAAACTCCTTTTTTCTTCTTTTTTTAAACTTCGAAAATCTACCTTTTCTCTTCCGTATGTCCCCCTTTGGGAAGAATTTTAAAGAAAAAGCGGAGGAGATTCCGATATTATATCTAATACCAGGAAATCTCTCTCAATTGGGGCGAGCACACATCGCTTCTAAACCATTTAACCCAATTTTTTTTTTTTTTTCTCTTTACTTATTTGATATCCCCTCCCGTATTGGCATTAGCTAGACAACTCCTTTCACCTGGTTTCTAACCTGGGTCGGGATAACTGACTCCTTTTCTTTTTACACAAGGTATATATTACTCCCTTTTTTAATATTAGTGTCTCCCCCTTCACACGCCTTTCCTTTATTCAAAAACTCGTCTCCCGTTCGCTTTACGTGTCCGGGAGGGCTTTTTTCCATGCTCTCCCCCACCCACCACAGCAGCAAGCAGACTAGACGATGATCCTTGTTGGGAGGGATTTCTTCCCGCCTTAATCGTACTTCCCACCTATCTACGGAGTACATATTGCGATTTTACATCCCCCATCGTTACCAATGGGCTAGTCACTGTTCGGCTTTCTCTCTTTCTTTTGCATCCTGCGTTTTCCTTCGGAGACGTTTTCGTATCGGCTACGCACCGTCACTCCTCCGGGGTGTCATCAGTCACTCGTTGAGGGGGAAAAAAAACAAAGAAAAAGAACTTTGCCCGTCATTTTGTTAAATAAACTGTGTACGGAGTAGAACTGAGAGGCGCCGTTGCTTTCGTTTGTGGATTTTTTTCTTTTTTTTGGCATTTTTGGCCTGGGCTAGATTTCTCAAACCCCGGATGTGGCTTGCTGTTGATGTCTGTGCTTCCCCCGCTCTTCACTTTCACCCCACCCGGTGTCTCTCTCTCAGTTTCTGTCTTTCTCTCTCTCTCTCCCCTCGCGTGTGTAGACCTCAGCTTTTGTTTTTTTTTTTTTTTGGATGCTATCCTTTGTTAGTCTTTGTGCGGATTTACTGGCTTAGAGGGTTTCACTGCATAATATATGTATCTACGGAGTACTGTACATAATAACCGGGCACAGAGTTAATTGTAGGATTTGCATAGTACATAGTTGGAGATTTTTAACTAGTTTTTTCCTTTGACTCTCCTGCCAAATGTGTCTGTGAGGTTGCTTCTCCATCGTTGACCATGCGCGCGAAGGGTGGAGTTAGGACGGACGGACGGACGGACGGCTGGATAGATGGTCCAGATGGGGTGGGAACCTTTGTGTGTTTCTCAATGGGGCGCGGGTGTGTGTGAATTGTATGTATGTGCGTACGTGCGTGGGCAGTCCCATGCATTATTGTTCTTGTGCCGGGAGTTAAAGTGGGAATCGACTACGAACTAGCTATGGAGTAACTATCGCTGATTATGATTATGAGTGGAGTCCTTGGGGGTTGATCTCTGGATGTTCCGTCTGTTACGAGTCGGTCCAGACCCTGAAAAACTGGAATAAAGGAGTTACTCCGGAGACGGATGGTCAGATGGTGGTGGTGGGTGGGGAGGTGGAGAGGAATTAAAGAAAATATATCCATATCATAATGCCATTAGAATTAAAACAGTTCATGCTAGAAGGAATCTTTGTCATCTGCCCATGTCATCGAGGAAAAGGAAAAAGAATCATTAAAGGGTGGGGGGAAAGAAAGAGAAACATAACGTCAATGCCGATGCAGGAATTTGGGGGGAAAGTAAAAAGATAAAAATAAAAAATAGAAATAAACAAGGTGAAGGTGCCAGACATAAAAGAACCGTTATATATATGTGTTGGAAGGCAAAAAAGCATTAGAAACACGCCGAATAAGGATCAGAAGTTTCTTTTTTGAAAAGAGGGAAAAAAAAAAGGTTCAGAGAGAAAGCGAATTAACGACCCGGGAATGTAAAGTAGAAATGCTAGTTAGAGAGGCGAAGCGTGCTTATGCATGACGACTGGGAGGGTATGGAGAGATCGAGATGGTTGCGCGATGAACTACTTTACGCCCGTTTGCTGTTGATGCCTTTGAGTTCGACTTCGCTGTAGGTTTAGAGAACGGTTAGCTCCCAGCTCACGACGCATATTCGAGGTAGTAGGAAGGAATCGGAGGGGAACAGCTGGAGATCGATTGGCGGATAACTTACAAGACGAGAGTCGCATGCGGCGGAATGAGTCCAGGGAAACCACTATTTTTGGCAGCTCAAGTTAGCAATGCCAGGTCGCGATCAAAGTGACTTAAGCACTGGTCTGCCTTTGTCTCCTCTTTTTCTATTGTTCTGCTTTTTCCTTCCTGTGTGACATTGGGTACTGATGGGAGATCAAGCATGGCAGCTGATGTTATTCCCCAGACTTTTGTGTCACCGGCAGCGAACCAGGTTCTGAGAGGCAGTTCGCAGGGATCAAGAAAAAAACAACTTCAGGGTAATTGAGCATACCGTGCACCGTATGCGTAATCACTACTCAATCTGTCAGACTAAAACTAATTTTTCCTTTTTTTTTTTTTGGTTCATAACAAAGGACGCAAAAGGGCAAAATGACATACTCAGTGATGGTTAATATGCTCTTCTCGCCAAGAGACATTTGGAGGACGGCCTCGTCCCAGCCTAGAAGCCAACGGCGAAAGAAGTCAAGTTAATTGCAACTCTATTCTCCTTAATCATTCAAGTCATGTGCATTTGACAAACTCATCAGAGGATGTCGAGAGACACACTCGGGGTTGTCCCGGAGCACACGGGTTTTTCGAACATACCGCGGATAACTACACCGATGCCAATTTTCGTTTTGAATTCGCCACGTTCTTCAGTCGAGTCGAATCTAGACGCAAGGATCGACAGTCAGCCCCAGAAAGTGTGAGCTCAAAGCCAAAAAAGAAAAAAAAGGCACAAAAGTGACCCATGCACGGCCCTTGTGACCACCCCAAGCCGGATAAGTTTTATGTAGGGAGTACGGAGTACTCCATACTGATTATGGATTTGCAACGCGACTAAAAATAGTCGCCAGGGGGGTAGAGAAATCAAGAACAAGATCATCAAAAAGAAAGACAAGGGTGAACCTACTTCCTTCCCATGAAGTGCTCGGAGGGTTTGCTGGAGTCATAGAGACAACCCCGGTAGTTCATGACGATATCGTCCCCCTTGACGGGCTTGTCGACGCCATTGCCCTCCTTGAGAATCTTCTTTGTGACGCCCATGGTTGCGAAGTAAAAATAAAAGTGAATCTGTTTCCTTTTTTTTTTTTGTTTCCCGTTCAATCAGGGCTGGTCTTTGGATATAGCGACGAAGCGTGCGATCTGGAATTGATGTAGGCCGAGCGAACGATTGGCAGAAGGGAGAGGGAAAAAAAAAAAAAAAAAAAAAAAAAAAAGAGGAAGAAAAAAGAAGAAAAAGGTGAGGGCAGGGAGAGCGATTGTGTCCCAGTAAAACAGTAACGAAGGATAGCCGATGAAAGAAAAAAGAAGAATATAAGACTAGGGAAATCTTCTGGAAACGCCGTGGAGAAGACAGAGGGAGAGGAGCAGAACAGTCCCCGTTCTATTGTCTCTAATATATGATTTGGCTTGTGATGCCGCTCCTGGCTTTTCTCTCTGCGCCCGAGTCTCGAGTGGGGCTCGACCTAGAAAGTGGAGGGAGAAGGGCGACGCGACAGCGGGCAGTGGGTTGGAGGTGTGGCCTGCGATCCGAGAGGATGGACGACGAAACGCAAACCGGTCTGAGTAAAGTAGCCACCCGTGAGTTGTTTCGCTTTTGCCGAACGAACAGGGTTGAGGAAGAGGAAAGGCAACAGACGAGACACAGCAGAGGAAGAAAAGCAAGTATAGGGAGAGAGGGAAACAAAAAAAAGAAAAGAAAAGGTACAATGAAGAGCTGATTCAGATCTCACCCCAGTCTGGGGGACCAAGGCAAGTGGATTGACTCGCCGGATGATTGGGAGGGCGTTGGAAAAGCAGCAGGAGATCAGAGAATTGGTGAATGGAGCTGTTTGAGTATGTCGGTATCAAGCAAAGTGTGTGGAGGCCATGCCACATCATGCATGAGCAGTAGGAATTAATTTCTTTTTTCTCCTCTCACCTTTTTCTTACGGAGTACTTGGCTGTCTTTTCTCTTATTCCGCCCTTTGTTTGCGGGTTTGGCGAAAGGAAAACAAAAAAAAAGTAAGTAATGGTCTTTTCTTAAAAAAAAGAAAAAGAAAAGAGAGAGAAAAACAAAGAGATCGGAGCCAGAGGAGGATGAGCACTTTCAACGCAGCAGCCTCTCAGAGGGCCGGATTTTGCTTTATATTTGAGAAGTGCCCTTTGGGCTCCAGAGTCAAAAAGAGGCACGAGCCATGGGATGCCGGTGCCGCTCCAGGGATTGGCAGATTGCGAACCCTGGAGGGGATCGGGAAAAGGCTGAGGTCTAATTCTGGCCGTCAAGTCCTCGTCGGAAGATGCAGCCAAAGTGGGCTGCGGAAGTGGGTGGTGGGTGCGCAACCATCAGGGAGTAGTCGGTTGATGGAGAGCGTGAAACTATGTCCGGTAACTAACTAACTACAGCTGGCTACAGAGCGACTAGCATGCGGGTTGAACCAGTCATCCACCGGCCAGCCTGTCCGTTCACAGTTCACAGGTCGAAGTCTGACAGCACCCGTTCTCATTGGTGGGCGGAGGAGGATGAAATGAAGACAAATGGAAACACAGGCACACACACACACACACACACACACACACACAGAGAGAGAGAGAGTGTGTGTGTGTATGTGTGTGTGAAGAGAGAGGATATCCACTGCGGATATCGCGTTGAAGCAGACAAATCAAGCATCCATTTCTCCCCGTCACCTTTCTTTTTTTTCCTTTTTTTTTTTTTTTTTTTTTTTTTCTAATTCCCCCCCCCCCCCCCCCTTTCCACGCACGGTCTGGTGCCCCAGACTTCGAGATGGGCCACCACACCCGAGGCACAGAGCACCAACTGGGGCCAATTGGAGCGGGCACGGCGCAACAAAAGTCAAAATAACAATTGCAGAACAAACCGAGCGCGCAGGAAGGCCGCCTGCTAGGTTTTCCCAACGAAGCGGGATTTGGGTGCGAGACGTGCAGCAGATCGAGTGGCCACCAGACCGTGCTTGGATGGTTCCGCGTCCAGTGCTGGTCCCTGTCGTTGGTTCGGCCATCCATGCAGAACGCGAGGGTGTGTGTGGATCATCTAGAGTCGATCTAGAACGCCGTCTTGGTTGGTTGGATCCCTCTAGGCAACCCGCAGAGTTTTTAGGCTTTGCGTTTTCTGTCAACCAATTATCCTTGGGCGACTTGTCCCACGGATCTTCTTTCGTCCTGTCGGGAGATCATTCTCACAGGCGCGGGGGGGGAACTTTTTGGCGAGGAGAAAGTCTAAATTATAATCAGACGGACAACGAAAGGGAAGTCTGCAAGAATAATGTAACAGCGACTTCACCTTCGGCTGGTGGAGGGAGAAAAAAAAAGAGACCGACTCGACAGTGCTGTGCTGGCGATGTGGCATGCTCGGTTAGCTATGCCGTCTAACGGCCGCCGCGACAACAACGTCGACGACGACAGCCGACCGTGACAGGCTGCTCCCCGGCGGCAAGTTTTATTTGGTTGGGGGTTTAATTGCCTGCTGCCATCGTCTTCCCTCGGAGACATAGGTTATGTGCGTATTCCGTCTTGTAGTCACATAACTACCAGTCATGCAGAGATCGAATGGGTTTCTAGATCACCTCGCATGCATTTACGATCGAGTTATCCCTACAACCTCTTCCTTTCTGGCCATAATTTTGGCAGATCTCTCTCGCGGCCACATGTCTAGACGTGTCTCGTCTCGGCGTACCCAGTAACTATTTGTGCGCTGGATGGGCATTTCTCTTCGGCTGAATAATGTTTCGTTAAATCCCCGTCGTTGCATTCGTGTCTTAGACATCCAGCTCTGCGAGACTCCTTGCCTTTTGGAATGTAAACGGTACATCCATCCATCCCGGCATTGAATATTATTTCCCGCTCTTCAAAACCTCCCCCTTAAAAAAAAAAAATATTCTATTCACCGGAAAGCTGCGGGTGACAGGACTAAAATTCTTCAGCTGGGTTTCACCTCAGACCAGCTCCTGTGGCCATAGTACCCTGCCTTCAGACCTGAGTGGCGGGCGTCCCTTGCAGCGCCCTCCGAGGGATGCTACACCTAGACCCGATATCTTCCTTGTCCTGTTCATGGATGGGGATAGCAGCGATTTCCCGTTTTGGCCGCCCAATTCATCCGCAGTCGCTTCTCAACCGTCGCCCTCATCAATCCATCACCACACTCGCCGCCCGTTCTCTCCCCGCTGAGATAAGCAGTCTAGGCCCCAGACAACCCTAAACCCCAAGCCCTAAACCTAAGACCTGGGCACTAACTCAACCCCCGAATTCTAGGCGGTGGCCCTGGACAGCGCTCCACAGCGAGTGTCGTCCGCAATCGACACTGCTCTCCTCCCGCTGACCCTCCGTCTGAAACCTGTCTATTCATGAACGTCTCCCACTGATCTGTCGGTTTATATTCCACCTGCCGACCCGCTGTCTGATCATAGATGACGCGGGCTGCAAGGGTCGGGAGGGATACTTAAACTATCACTAGCGCCATAGCCGCTGGAAAAGATGCTTGGAAGAGAAACGGGTAATCAATGTGCTCCTGGCAGAAGCCGAGCAAACCAGAAATGACTCGAGCACTGCATGGTTACGGATGATTTTCTCTTTTTGCGCTCTTTTCTTCTTTTTCTCTTCTCTCCTCAACAGCCGCGCCTTGTCTCGTATCGCGGATGCCGAATCCGTGGATTTGCAGCACGCTCTGCGTGGCCCTCTCCCCTGCACATGCAACTCCCCTCCATCTCGCAACGGCCGGGCTTCCAACAAACCACCCCGGTTTTCGCGTCCTGACTGGCGCGGGGGGGTTTGGCCGTTAGCACTCAATCATAGATGAGAAAGCAGGCCAGTGGGCATATTCCTTTTCATGCGCCTCGATTTTGAGAACTTGGCTTCTAGGCGGATATTCAACCGCTCCTTTCTTGTCGTCGTGCTTTGCTCAATTCTTGAGATCGAAATGGGATCAATCCATTTTTGTTTCCTTCCTACGTACTCCATGAATATCCGATTAACTCCTTGCCTTCTATGAAAGGCGGAAAAAAAAAAGAAAAAAAAAGAAAGAAAAAAAGAAAAGGCAAGTAACAATAAATAAAATACAATATCTCAACTCGGCCGGAAACACGTTGCATACGATGTACTCACCGGCATTGCCGCGAGACACGGGGAAAATAACAACGCACCACGGACCGCAAGTTTTGATACGACTCATATGCAGGATTTTACTTCCCTGTCAGTCGATCTACAAATCGACGACAATTGCTCCAGCATCTAGATGCGTCCAGCTCATCCGTTTGGATCGAGTCTGTTCCCATCCCGACTCACACAGGTCGCTTTCTTCGGCTACACTTCATTCTCGAATCAATTAGCCAGAATTGCTTCCGGCGGCAATTACATACATACACATAAGGATCCGCCACTGTTTGCTCTGTCGGGGAAAAATGGGAACTAACAAGCAATGCCACGCTATGTCCCGTGCACCAGGCTTACATATGTACATTCCTCCCCTAGACTGGCATCGGATCTGCCTTACGTATGCATTCATGCAGCTCGATCTATCATTGATGTTAATATGTACCCCCATGTTGCACATCTGTGAGCCATGAAGGGTCCATGCCCCCCTCCCGCTCGAGCCTTTCACACAGAAGATGCAGGGCGGCTGAAAAAGGTCATCTGTTTTATCATCTAGCAACACTTGGTTCTCTTTTTTTCCAGTGTCTACTTCTGCAAACTTCAATGCTTTCTGAATAACTTCCACTGTGGTTGGTGCTACCTGCCAAAATCTCTGATCTACTTTTTTTGTGACTGATACAATCCAAGCCTAGAATGTGAAAGTGACCTTAAAACCGTGTGGCACAAGACGGCTTCCTATGTGTCGATGCGCTGGAAGGTATGACTTGTTTCGAAAAAGGACTGTCCACGGAGGCATATTTCCTTTCGGCTTGGTTTTCTTTCCGGCCTTTCTCCAATCTATGGCGGATGAAGAGGAGCCTGTACACTCGGCAGCTTTTGTTTCCTCACAACTTTGCTGGGGATGATCGACTAGTTTTCCAATCTTTTCCTTGCACCTTCTGCTTAATTCGTCAAGCTGTTACCTCACGTTGCCCGCCTGGTGCCAGGATCTCACAGCAGGTCTTCGTTTTAGCTGTGCGGGATCTTGGACGGCAGCGTTCGATCCGTTGGGACTTAGGGATTATCCTTTATGGTAAATGACTGACTTCTATTGCCTCTATGCGAAGACTCGTATCTTCTACAAAGTCAGATTGACACCATCATATTTAACCCGTTATGCTACCAAGATGATACCCTCCATGGGCGCCAAGGCACAACCTGGTTTTCCATGCCTACACCGACACTTCTTCATTCCTGACTAAACCCCTTGCCAATTGATGATTGTTTCCCTAAACCAAATATGTCAAATCAAACAGAACGCTTATTCAATACTGTTGACAATCGGCATGTGGTCGGATCCCTTTTCCGGATCGTCTCTTATCGTGCCACAGATCTGGCTACCGCGCACCAATGGTGTGTTTGTCCAATACGCGAATCTATTGATATGGATTCACGGTGTTCTTAATTATTCGATCCCCGCAAAAAAAGCTCGAAGCAGCAATAGGAGTATCGACAGCTTGAAACATTTCGAGACCCTACTATCCCTAGCTTATTGGCAAGGGAAAGAAAAGAAGCGAAATTCTGACGTGTCATAAGAACAAAGGTAATTGAAACCGATGGGAAATATGCTCGAGCTGTTGAGGAATTGGAGATTGTGAGTGTTATGCTTGAAATAACTCATATTTTAATCAGTCGACACACAGGAGCGGGAGCTGGCGCGGCTCACATCCAGTTGAGTTGATGTCTCTGGGCAGAAGTGGATATCTCTCACCTCCACTTCCCTTATCGCTCTCTTCCTTGATAGAACACTCAAGATCGTGGTGAATACCGAATTCTCTGATGAGTCTAATAGCACTATTGCGGCCGCCATTATCGACAACCGCGCCCAAACCCTCCTCCTGTCTCATGACGCTTTCAGCATGCTCCTCTATCTATGCTTGGCCGTCGCCATCCAAGATGTCTGAACTGAATTGGACATCCCTTCTTCTTTCTCTTTTTCTCTCATCTTACTGTAAAAAATAGTTATTGGGTTGCTCTATTTCGCAATCATTGAAATTTTCTAAGGAGGCTTTTTTTTTTTTTTTTTTTTTTTGTTTTATCGGGATCAGATCAGATTTACCAGCTAGTTTCCTAACAGTGACAAGTTAGCTTTTATTGTCTCAGAGCCCGAAAATTCTGCTATGGCGGTATCACTGACATTTACTATCTACACGGGCAGCTAGAGTTCGGCAAAAGAGCACTTTTGATCCCCCTTTGCTGCTTATCCTGGTGTCACTAGCTAGACTAACTCGGACTACACGATAACCATTTGCCCAGAGTTTGTTTATAGCAATCAGCTTCGGCGGGGTCATCGTACTTCTATCGTTTTTCATTATGGCTCATCAAGATACCTTCCATCTTGGAGGCACAATCTGCTCAATTGTCTGAAGATTCACCCAATGGGCCACAAATATGAAGTCACTCAGACTTGAAGACCTCCCGAACATGGGTGATTGTTTTTGTAAAGGAGATACGAAAGTGCAGACTGGGACAATATCAATTCATACAAGAGCATTTCAAGAAAACTCTGGCTATTGTTCAGCCGCTCGCCGACGTATATGTTGACGATGATTTCTCCTTGTCTTGAGCTAAAGTTGCTCACTTGTCTTGTTTCTTGATTGTAGGGCAATCGCTGCGCTTCTGGACAGCGCATAATGCGGTTTTACTCTGGTATATCCACCCTATATACAGACTGATATCTCACAGAGGTTGGGTCTTCTCTCCAGCACATGTTGACCCCGCTAAGTATCACATGGTAAACGTTGGGGGAATGGTGAATACTGATATTTTACTTGGACTACTTACTTGTAGCAGGCATTGAGATGGGGAATAACATCTACATTCAAATGTCAAGCTGAGTGTCTCAAGTTTTCGAATAATCATCAAAGGGATAAATGGCTTATTATATTGAGACCTAGGCAAAACAGTCCCTACAGGTTGGATCCCACGCAACACTGGTCAGTCTGAGATCTCAGACACAGAAGCTATCAGTTTTAAATGAAATAGGATTTGCAAAACAAATATTGGCCAGGCAGCTGATTGGGATTCACATATTGTGTCAGACGTGATAAACAGATCACATACGACCATAGGAGGTGGAAAACAGGGCTTCCCGTCCGCTCAGCCATACTTAAGGCACCTGCCGGCCGGCTAGTAGTTGGGTGGGTGACCACCAGCGAATCCCGGCTGTTGTATGTTTTTTTTGCTCGACAACCCCTCCAGGTTTTTGGGTTGAGTGTTCATGAAAAGGGTGAGTTAACTAAGATAGCCACAACAAAAGATCTAGAAACTGTGAGATGAACATTTAACCAGTTCTGCCGGGAATTTTCTTTTGTATATTCGTAGTTTTCTAGAGGTTTTTGCAAAAATGCATTTGCAATGCGTCGGTGGCTATCTGATATCTCAAAGAGCCAATGCACTTTTCCTACCTTGCTGACTTGTAGAACGTAGTTCTCGAATACGTTGTAATAACGCTTCAAGTTGACTCTCTCTCAATTTTAACATATATAAATCGATACCGAGCAGGGAACCTGATTCCCCCGGAGACAGACCACGAGAGCCGGTCGAGACTTTGATGATTAAGGCGGCCGGTACTTTCGGTTCTCGATAGAGTAATTCTGAACAAATATTAGCATCCAACTGTAAATCGCATTTTGTATTATTTCAATCAGCGTCATTACGGAGTATACAGTTTCTCAATGTTTTTATTCAACGCTCCGGATTCGCAACGGGCCAAGTCGAAAGGGCTAAATTGTGGCTAAAGTCTCAAGGCTAGCTGGCCTATTAAGCATGTCCAGAAGCAAGAGGAGCCATGAAACCAATCAATTTGGGTCCTAAGAGATTACAGGTCAGATGAGAGGAAAAGCTCTGCATTAGATAAGGAAGATCTGCGCTGGATGCCTGGAGACTCAGTGGTGTCGCGGCATGCCCATAACTCTGGCTCGCCAGGCACCCATTTCATAACAATAAAACGCACGGCTGCCCGCCTGCATCGAAGTTGTCATATTTATGATCCAATGGTGTCCTTGGCCCAAAACAACACCGACAGAGTCCCCCTTACGGCTGGCGAAAGCCCGAGGCCACCTTAGGCCATAATGGACATCAATACTAGGATTGAAGAACTTCAGAGGCAGCTAAAAGAAGCAGAGGAGAGGGCGGAACAGGCAGAGCGCATAGCTGAAGATGCAAAGGGCATAGCTGAAGACGCAAAAGCCAGAGCCGAAGAGGCAGAACATCTCCGTGAAAATGAGCAACGACTTCGACAAGCCCTGGAGAACAGAATCAACCTCACAACCTTCGAGACCTTCCTTCGATCCTGCCACGAGTACATAACCGTACCGCTTAACATTCAACCGAAGAAGTCCAAAACTACAAAGGGCTCGATCACGACCCCTACTGGTCGCTACTGTCCCACCACACTTTGCCGATGGACAGATTTTCCCCGTCTGCGCAACGAGCTCTTCAACAGGGTATTCTCTCTCTTTCATCCAACTGAAGCACCCCCATTAGAAGTGTTCCCATCCACTGAGGTGGTGAGGGGTGTCGGTAACCTTGTCTCGCGTCGACAACTAGGCAGCGAGCTCGACCTCTTGAGCTATGAGCGATTCGCCGTTGAAGAACATGTCATCTCCATTATGCAGGAACTGCTAAAGCTTGATACTGGCACCCACCTTCCTTTGCTCGGGTCGGGCATATCCTTTGAAAATCATGCCAATACCCTCAGTGACGAGCTGGAGCTAACACCGCAGAAGCATCAGGGCTGGAGGCCTCGATCCGATCAGCTATGCGTGTTTCGAAAAGATGACGAGGTTGAGACTTTGCTGTTCATCATTGAATACAAAGCTGGCCATAAACTTCTGCCTGCAAATTTACGGGCCGGGCTGCAACCCTCAAACTTCTGGGAAGATGTTGTGCAGGCTCACCTGATCCCCACTGATCAAGAGGAAAAACTCATTTACAATGCAAAGCAGATCACTGGTGCTGCCATCACTCAGGCATTTGACTACATGATTAAAGAAGGGGTTGAATATGGGTATTTGACTACTGGTGAAGTTTTTATTTTCCTTCACATCAAAGAAGATGACCCAACTACACTATATTACCACCTCTCTGAACCTGTTCGTGACATCGAAGCTCAGGATGGCAACCCTTTTCCATCCCCTAACACAGCAGTATCATCGGTCCTTTCGCTATGTCTACTGGCCTTGGGTTCACAGAAAAGGGACCAAGAGTGGCGATCTCATGCATTTTCCATTCTTCACACATGGGCTATTGATGTAGAGTACATCTTGGCGAAGATGCCAGCTGAGGAGAGAAGCCGAACGCCATCTGGGTCGAGCTTTGTCCCATCAAGCCCGCTTTCCAGTCCTATCCAACAGGAACAATCTCGTCGATCACGTCGACTGCAAGGTCGCTGTGCGGACTCGGATGACACGGCCGAAGATTCACCCTCGGATAGCTCTGAGGGGGACGATCCCAGCAACCGTAATGCAATGAGCAAATGGGGATCCAAACGATTCGCAGTTGTTATATCTCCACCTCGTCCCCCTGCAGCAAAACGACAGCAGCAGTCGCAGGAGGAGCGCAGACGTAATCGGGAGCCGGAACGTCAATACTGCACACAAAGGTGCCTTGCTGGTTTGGCCAATAGGGCTGCTTTAGATCAAGCATGTCCCAACATCACTCTTCACCGAACAATGAGCCAGGATGACAATCATCCGATTTTTACAGCGAGAGTTGCTGCACTACTTGAAGCTCAGCTCAACAACGACCGAGATAATGGATGCAGACCGTTGAAGTTCTTTGGGGCCTACGGTATTCTCTTTAAGATGACACTGGCCAAATACGGCTATACTTTCGTGGGGAAAGGAACGATCGAAGGATTGATACATCATCTCCAACATGAGGCTAAAGTATATGAATACCTCAGCAAGCTTCAAGGTAGTTTGATTCCGGTCTGCCTAGGGAGTGTTAACCTAAAAGAGCCATTCATCACTGATGGTTTGGATCGGATTGTCCACTATCTGCTCCTCTCCTGGGCTGGAGACAGCTTAGACTATTCGCAGCATTGTGACTTTCATCAGGAGGCGAGAAGACTGCAAAAGGAGTTGGGTCGGTATGGTGTGGTCCATGGGGATGTTCGTCCTGCCAATGTCACCTGGAATTCAGAGTTATCCCGACCAATGCTGATCGACTTCGACAAAGCGCGGCTGGTGCGGAAAAGACCATTAACCGGCTCAGGGCCGAAAGCCACTCATAGCCATGCCATTAAGCGGAAACGGCGAAGCCTTTTCCAAGTTGACGTATAATCTTATTTGTTACCGAGCAGGTTTCGACAACCAGTGGTAAGCTATCTTTCCGGGCGTCAACTGCTGAAAGTGGTATCTTTTTATAATGGAGGACTAAGATTGTAAAATTTGACGGATGAGCGATTGAAGCTATACAATAAAGCATCAAAGAAGCGTTAAGAAAAGTTGAACCAATTTTTCTTGAAAATTGGTGGGAATCGAGCTATGATCAACACGTTGTGGATGCTGAGGTTACCGAGCAGGATTCAACTTATCAGTCTGATATTTATGCCTCTGAGAGAGTCCATTTGCTGTTTGTGGCCGGGTCCTTTCTCCAAGCCGCCATTTTTTGGGTCCAGTCTTCTAGTTGATATGTTGGATAATTTCATAGCAGCTGTCTTGGTTGTTTCCACTTTTGATGAAAAGAGAGCCCTGAATGCCATAGGGCTAAATAGATATATCATGGTCATTGAAGCTCGATCAAGGTAGTCTTGCAGTCAAACAGACACAAAAAATTGATCATCACAGAGGTTGTGTATCACCTTGAGAGCACATTCCCCCACAGCCACCTGTGTTTCAATGTGCTTCTAGCAACAAATCATGGATCATTCCAGGATGGATAACTGCTATTAATAAATTTATGAAGTCAATAAGTTCTAATTTCAAAAGGCAATGAAACCAAAGATGGTTTTAGGGAATAGATGGATGCCAAAGCGACTTCGCTTCAGAGCAAATAATACATACGGAGTTGAGAAGTCAGAAACCCCATAAGTTGATCAATTCCAATAAAGGAGGGAAAAAAAAAAAAGAAAAGGATACTTCAGCACAAATGATGAACCCTGAGGACAAAGCACAAACAGGCAGATAACGAGGCACTGAGAAAGATTACTACAAGTGGCTGAGCAGTCCATGTGTGTTCAGCGCCTCAGTTGCCTTACATCTTCTTGAGGTAATGCAAATTTCTGTGCAATTGACAATCTCCTCCCATAATATGCTTCTCAAACTGAGTAATGATATTTCTAGAATCATCCGCATTGATTGCACCAGTGTCCAGCACATGAAGAAGGCAATCTGGGCTCAGAAACACTGGCAACCAGACCAACATTTCACCCCATTCTATCCACACATCAGTCAAATGCTAGCCTATGAGCAAGTTGATTTTTGCTACTACCGTTCCGATACCGGATGGATCTTTTCTCCCTTCTATCTCGAGCCCTCCTCTCCTCAATCAATTAACCTGTAAATTCTGCCACTCCAACCATGGCAATTTCACCAGTCACTAACCGGGGACTGTACAGAGTATGACACTCTTGCATCTGAAAGGGGCGACGAAATTTTGAAAATTGGAAAACCAATAAACTCTTCAGAACTGGGATTCTAAGGCAGATTGGAACGCTCTTGGTTGAGAAAAGGGAAGAAGTTCCTGAAAAGTTGCCAACACTACGGCGCGGATCTTTAATTGCCTGTCCACGCATAATGTCAGATAGTAGCTTCCAATTATCCGAATTTTCTGTCCAGGTACATCCATGTTTCCGGAAGAAGAGTTGAGACAAGAAGTTTCCGTAATGTGTTATCTAAGACGACGACATACAACGCTTTTTGTTACTCACGTCCTCGGCTGCGGCATGACCATGATCTTGTTGACGCACTCAATGTTCTAGGCCGCCTAGACGCACCAAAATCGTCTAGATGGGAAATATGCCGTGGAATCTATTACCTCAAACTACCTTTAAAACGGCCTCTTCATACTTCCTTGCGCTGGCTCAGATGCACATGAAACACTTGATTAGCCAAAGGAATGATGCTAACAGTTCAGTGGAGGACTGCAGACAAAACTATATTGCTCGATGTCTATTCTGCAAGCTTGCCCGAGGATGCCGTCTCTAAAAAATATGATGATGGCCCTTTTTAAATTATTCCGTGATGACTTTCGCCCCAAGTGTTTTGCTAACACCGGACTCAAGGCCGCAGGAACGATTGACTGGAAGTTCACATATGTTGCACCAGCAAAGTTTGCTAGAAGCCCTCTGTTCTGACTATTACTGGAACTTCCTGGATACTGGCCCGACAGGCTTGATGATTGCTCGAAACTATGAAAAGTGCTTGAAAACTTTGTTTGAAACATTTCAAGAAAAAGAAGAGATGGTTATCCAACATGGAATGAGAACAGAAAAGAACAGGCTCTTGGAGCATGTGAAATAGAACTGGGAATCTGGGATATCTTGGTTAAGTATGTCGCAAGGATGAGTTGGGCATTTGATATGATTTTTTGGGCCAGAACTGATAGAAGATTATTTGCGGCTGGTGATCTTGAAGATCGATTTCAGTTGCTGACAGAAGAGGAGTTGGATGGGATTGAAACATTTATGCGAAGAAAACTGCCTGAGAAGAAAGAGTGGATACTGAAGGGTTAGAGCTCTGTTGTTTTGTCTTGAGTCAATATCAGTTCAATGTAGACTTGCAGTGGCTACAATCTGATATTATTCCCACAAGGAGTTAATTGTGAGGTTTGCGAGACTAGGATTCCACCATGAGAAGGTTTTGGTAGAGAGGTGCTTCAAGAGATACAAAGCAAGAATGTATGATTCTGACTTTTACTTTTCTGTGGCTCGCGAGATACAAGCATGTCTTCTATGGGAGATATTGGAACTTATGCTCATTGACAGAGCATCTAATGGATGCAAGGTATGCCACAATGCCAGAGCCAAATTCTGTGAGGTTACAGTCATTTGATTCACACAGAGCTGTACAAATATTTGGAATTCTTCAGAACTTGGGAACAGCATCTCATGTTGATGTTTCAGAAAGAATACATCCATCGTTCACACGAAGTAAAGATCCGAGCATCATCTTATTGCGACCTCGAGTCTTGGACTTTGGGCACCTGCCGTGTATCACGTGACATAGCCAGCTGTTGGGCGATTTCCGGTCGGATTTTGCAGCCGAGTCGATCTGCGCTGAGAGAGCAACACGGGGGATTGTTTCGCGTCGATTCCCGTCGATCAGCTCACCGATGGGATGGATCCTTGTGAGCTGTCAAACTTCTAGGCCAAGTTAGTGTTACGCGTTACCAACTCCTTGTACGGAGTACTCCGTACAAGACCAAACAAGGCGACAACCTTCCTAGCTCTTTTGTGTGGAGGGCAACAAACTCCAATTGCACTCCGGACTTCGGCGAAGATGCAAACATTTGCTAAAGGCTGGTTCGATCCTGTTGTTAACTGTGAAGTCGCCCAATTATATCCGGAGTAGAACTCTTCTCTGGAATGAAGATGGATAGGTGAGAAACATTGGCCTGTCGATAATTCGGACATATGGAGTACTAAATAGGTGCAGTCTGAACGGTTTAGCAAAAGCGATTAATATACGGAGTACATAGAGGCAAAGTTGGCCCTCGATGCAAAACCTAGCGACCAAAATTCCTCTATCATTGGCTAATCCCTTTACTGGCTATCTACGGAGCGTGCTGCTGCCATCATACCCAAGAAATTGAGCGAAGCTGACCCCCGGTACTACCAAGTTTTTGGCCTCCTAATCTGGATATCATGGCAGTAGGTAACTGCTGCCCCCACGTTTTCAGCATCAGTATGCAGTGATGATGAGAGCACACTCTTTCATAGCGGTTCCGCAGTACTGGTATCAGAGACCTCTACTCGACCTGCTACATGCGCCATCAAATCCATCTCAGCAAACGTTCTCTATGAACGGCATCGATCGTATCTTATATGGGATAAAATCGTAATGCTGGGAAAGAAACAAAATCAAACTAATACTCCGTGACTAGCATCTCATTTCAACATCACGCGTTCCAGATGGATAGGAACTCACCCGAATACAACCCAATTCCACGACACCCCTCCTTGGGTGTAGGCCCCGGATCCTTCAATCTACTCCATACACCGCCGGGTTTTACAACTACGGAGTACGGAGTACATTCTGATAAAAGGCCTAACACAAAGTCAAGCTGACCATTTTATTGCTTGAAGACTGACTGTCAGCTAATCTTTGACAAGTGGATCCGGTGGTCTTAAATGACCCCGAAAACTTCGGACCAGGTGGTAGTTTGTTTGGGACTAGAACATGGGAGATGAATCCTAAAATTGAGAATTAACAGTTGACCTTGTTGGAATGGATGCGTACCTCTGATAAAGCAGCATGTTCTGCTTGCAAGGGCTGAGGTGCGCAGAAAGTGGCAATCCTGTCATCTCTCCAACGCTCCGATCGCCTTCTTCATGTCGAGGACGGGAGATGATCCTACCCTGGTTCGTCGCTCGTTCCGTATAATTTAGGTTCACCTCCGGGAATCCTGCTAAAACACCGCTTTCCTTTTGGTTGTTGCCAAGAGGCGTTTCCCCATGGCTGTTCCCGGCTCAGGGTGACATGGTCAGAAACGCCGATCACTTATGTTGCGGACGCCCGAACGGCAGGGATGCCGACACAACCAAGATCGACTCTCACCGAGTGAGGATAGATCTTAGATCGTAGAAGCGAAGATGTATAGATGTGAGTACTCTCTTCAATGTCGAAATGTCCGATTTTTCTCACTAGACGCTAGATTGTGACGATGTCATACCCCCCACCTCCGCATTTGGCACTACGCAAGAGACTAAACCTTCCTGTCAAATGGACCACCGTCGATACCACCATACCCCGTCATTGTCACTTCTCCAGATGCTAGCGGGCCCTGGAGATCGGCTGGGGAAGTACCCACATCATGCTGATCCCACCGTGTCTCCCATCTCCCCGTGGGAGAGACACTTCCAGAACTCTCTTCAGAGAGCACATTCGCTCGACCTCGGGAAGCACTTTTATATCCTTAGTGAACGGCCCACGTGAAGAGAATTTTCCGCTACCAGTCGACATTTCTCTGGGCCTGGTAATTTCAAACCGGAATCGATTCGTCCATGAGAAGTGGGAGGATCCCTGGTAAGTATGATTCCACTATGCGCCCGGGACATCCGTATAATATTGCTATGGCCGATTCTTGGCCGGCAAATTCCTCGCGATGGAAGACTAGATTCGGGTTGTCATGCTGTTTACTGCATAGAAGCGGCATCATGCTGTCACCGGAAGAGTTTCTTCAATCTCAATAGAAGCGCCCCATTGGGTCATGTTCCCACGACCCCGATGTTACGCTGCGGCGGAAGGGCAAAAATAAAAAATTCCCGGGCAAGGCAAGGGCTCAGATAGCAATTTGTGTGCAATTGTATTTGGTTGAACGCCGCCTAGAATCCGGTCGAAGCCGTGCTCTCAATCCCGGGGTGGAAAAGCGGTATATAAAAGCCGAACTCCCAGGACCCTGAGCCATCGACTTATTGTTCCCGGTTTGAAACATCGGCTCTTCACCAGATCTAGCCTTATCTCTGTTCGTCCCAAGATTTTCGTTATGCGTGTCTCCGTTCCTGTGTTGGCCCTGGCCTTTGGCTCCCTGGCCGCTGCCGCCCCCAACGCTGGGCGTCGAACTTGTGGCTCTGTACCACCTCCAGAATTCTTTGAAGCGTCAGAAAAAGTCGCTGCTCTGGAAGAAAGCGGAGCGTTCGCCGATTTGCAGGCCCCTATTGAGGTCGAGACTTATTTCCATGTCGTCGCTTCGAGTAGATCAGAGCGTGATGGCTACATCAGCGTAAGATGACAGCCCTAGAGCCGGTCAGACTCAAAACGGGATATGATCTGCTAACGAAACAAAAAGGATCAAATGCTGTCCGACCAAATCCGGGTCATGAATGAGGACTATGCCCCTCACGGAGTTCATTTCAACTTGCGAGAAACGACCAGAACGATCAATCCAAGCTGGGCTTCAGACGGAAATGAGATTGCCATGAAGCGCTCTCTCCGCAAAGGAGGCTACGCTGCTCTTAATGTTTACTTCTTGAAGGACCTTGGTGGAGCGTTGGGGGTATGAATACCCTGGAACAAAAGTGTACTACCACACATTCTCTTGCAAACGCTAATTCAATATAGTATTGCTACTTCCCCACCAATGCCGCTCCCGGCTCGACCACCTTCATCCGTGATGGATGCTCCGTTCTGTCCTCTAGTGTTCCCGGTGGCAGCGGAGCCCCTTACGACCTGGGCAAAACAGCCACCCACGAGGTTGGCCACTGGATGGGTAAGTCCGCCATCCAGAACTCTTCTAACTGTTTTTAAAATATATTTAAACTCCATGCTTATCATGTCCTGTTAACTCCCGTCAGGTCTCTTCCACACCTTCCAAGGTGGCTGCTCTGGACAGGGTGACTACGTCAGCGACACCCCACCCCAGCGCAGCCCAAGCTCTGGCTGCCCTGTTGGCCGTGATTCGTGCCCCGGTGGTGGTGTTGACCCAATCCACAACTACATGGACTACTCTGTTGAGTAAGTGGCCTCATGCCTTCTCACCGAATTGACCCCCTCCGAAGTGATTTTATTTGAATAAGGGCTAACATAAAGCACGCAGCTCCTGCATGAACCAATTCACCAGAGGCCAGGGTACTCGTATGAGCTCTATGTGGAGACAGTTCCGTGCCGGAAAATAATCCGTCATGGTTGAGCCAGATCGGAGCCCAGAATCCATTTGATATTTTCATGTACATAGTTGATGTCAATGTGAATTGAGATTTTGGATAAACAACTGCGCCTGTAAACAGCGTAGATTGGTGTTTTTTTTAGCATACCTTGAATGCGCAACTTATAAAACTAAAGTTCCAAATTATCATGTCTTCAGGATCTTGGGAGGATCCACGCACAATCGCGGGTGTTGACGGCCACCTTGATGGTTCTTATTCTTGGAATGATTTTCGACATGTCTCTGGAGTTTTTTCCCCCCCACCAAACCTTAGCCAGCAGGGACTAGTAACAGTGTGCAGCTCTGCATTTCTATCACCATGCAAAATTCTTGTATGTATGTCTGAGAGGACTTGGATGCAAACTCCTTTCTGCTCATCTGTAAAGGTTCGGGAGCCCTTCGTTAAGTGCACTGCTCTTGCTCAGGGCATGCTCACAGCGATATGTTCAAAATGTACTTAATCGCCCGGTAAGGCATATTCCCCGCAGGATGGATAGAATCTCAACAAATCGGAACAAGTGGACAGTTGATCATTTCACAGGTAACTGCTATCGCGCATCTTTTTTTGGACGTCTATGGAATTAAGGCATATCAAAGTCGATTCGTCGAGTTGCTAAAGACTAAGACAGAGCAGCAGCCCATAACGCTCGCTTGCAACTTTTCACATCTTTGGGTGGAGAGTTCTTAACTTGGAAAGCTGATAGGTGTATATGTGGAGGGCTTTTCTCTTTTCCAGGTTCAATGAAATACTGTATGCCCCTTGTTAATGTAGAGCTTCACTGAGAGTAGAATAAACAGTATTCGGTCGTGTTTCAGGCCGGAGGGTAGAAGATCGTGGGTATATTTTGGGAGAGAATGAAAAGGATGGTCGAGGTATATCGGACAATTCCGCTAGGCTCTCAGCAGGTTGGGATATACCCGCGCAGTTGTCCAGTTATTCAGAAACTTCCTACACCGGTTCTGATATCCAGAAGACCTGTCGACGATAATCCATGAGGCACTTGGTTCACCTTTCAAGTGGTCATAATCTTGGGGTACTTCTAGAAAATAACATCAGTATCACCGTACTTCTGATGGATCGTTCCAGCTTTCAGCACATCATCGGAATCCTATACTGTCGCGATGTACGAAGTATTGTCATGCGATAAAATCTTCAACAGCACTTTTTAGTTGCGATGTACTATCTTTATGTGAACATAGGATATTCGAAGGCTCACGGAACTTTTTGAAATGAACAAATTAGAATAATATTGAATTTTTCCGTTGAATTGAGGCAAGGAGTTGATAAAATGGTCTCCAATTGGTAAGTCCTTAGAGTATAAAAATTGATAAGCTATAGAAACGGGGTCCCGGGACGATGGTGAAAGGGAGGTATTCTGGTATGTTATACAGAGAGAGCATATGTGGGATACAGAAGTAAAGGGTCGATACGGGGAGCAATTTTCGTTCTTTGGCTACCAAGCGGTGAGGGAATGAATTCCAAAGAGTGAAAATGGAACCTCAGAAATCCAAAGAGCATGGTTTATACGGAAGGATTCGTCATATGAATCAAGGAATTATAGAGAGGTAAATGCGAAGTAGGCACAAAAGCAAAAGCAAAGTGAAATCAAGAGTGATGGCTGAACCACACATACTCCTCATACTGTGAAGAGTCATAAAGTCACCTGGATGCCGGAGGTGAGAGGATTTAGTTTCGGTTGAACAGTATGTCCTCAAACGTGACAAGGATGCAACAAAAGCAGTTGGATTACATCAAGACAATGATGTAATGATATCCGGCAACCATGCTCAGCGTGATTTAATAGCATCTCTGGGACAGAGGAAGGTGATTGAACCAAGGGTTGAAGGTGGACAGTCAGTGTCGACATATGGGACACAATTTAATATTGAAAAGGACTTGCCGAGTTTTAGCATTTGATATGAAAGGCCTTGATTCCTCGACAATCGATCGGTGGATTGAATATCGGTACCGCTAATGTGAACAGAGACACACGTTTTAACCTCCGGAGGAACCCTAGGAATCAATAATTTGCCATAGACCTTCTACAATGGCCTAGGTTGTCGACACAAAGGGTTTGAAGGCAATTCTCAAGTATAAAGATGCCCTCCTCGGGACAGACACTGGGCGCCTTGTAAGTTTCCACAGGGTCCTGGTAAACGATGGATGAGATCCTCTCCATATAGATGCCACATATCGGGTGATTCCTGGATGTAAACACGATCCTTTGGAATCCATTCGCTAAAGAGGCAGAGTAAATCACGTATATATTATCCCCGCGAAGCACATCACGTTTTCCGCCAATGCATATTCGAGGGTCTTTTCCCTCGTGCTTTTTGCTCTGGTCCCCGCGTCTGTCGCGTCTGTGCTTGTTGCTGATTCCTTTTTCCTTCCCATACTTGCTTGTTTTCCAAATGGTCGACAAGAAGCCTAGCTTGCTCCACAATCTTTTCGTAGCCCGCCTTCATGACCGGCTCAACCATGCGAATCTCCATCGTTCCCTTCAACGCTTTCTCCGCCCCTGTCACATGGCCCTGGCTATCGCGAATGAGCTTCTTTCCTTCCGTATTATAGCCGCGTTCCTTCAGCACAGCTTCAAAGGCCGTTCTAACGCGTCTCGCGCACCAGGATCGAACGACTGGCTTCAGCGAAGACACGAGGTATCCATCCACCACTGTCCACCACAGTATACCGCGTTCGCGGGTTTGATACATATGGACGACCTTCGGACGAATTGGGTGATCAAAGTCGTTAAGGTAGCGGGCGGCAATGTAAGGAATAAGATTCTCTGGAGAATAGAATATATGGAAGAGACTCACGCCTTTTATTCGTAGGGGCTTCGATGCTCGTTGGAAAAAGGTCGGGAGTTTTGCTCCCCTTGCGGCATTCATCTTGAAAAGGAGGAACCTGGACAATAACGGAAAGGGAACCAAAGAGGCAATGGACTATGTTCAGAACCTCTTCACCGATTTTAGTTAACACAAAGTGGAAGAGCTTGACATTTCTGATGTTGCGGCGGCCAAAACAATCCGTCCGTGGAATTAATTCTTGCGCTGTGGCCATAATCTAGCTGGCCAGGATTCCTACGATAGACCATAAAATGACCGCGATAACTTCTGGCTTTCGAAGCGCCAGAACTAAAGAGTGGAATGTTCAGAATAGAATAAGCGTATTCATTCTGCTTCTATCTTGGTAAACTATTTGTTTGGATACAAAATAGTGTACGCAGTACAACATGGCGAAATTTTCGCTGCCTTCAAGGTCAGCTCTTTCACCCTGGTGTTAGGGCTAGCCCCTCTTCCACTATGCCGTTATTTCCCAGAAGGATTCTTTCTTAAGGTCCTCCACGCTTATAGAGCCAATCCTCATATTGGGAAAACGGAAATCATCAGCCGGGGCCGTTGAGTCGGGCTCATATTTGAGATAATGAATGGTAGTGATACCAGCAGTGTCAAGAAAATCACGGACTCGGCTATAATTCAGTGCCACATGGTGCACCCCATGGCTGTCGTCTGACAGGCAGAACCGACCGTTTCTTGCTATAAATTCCTATAATAAGAGAAGAGAGATTGGGTTAAATAACCGATTCATGCGTAAAATTTTGACATACGTCCTCACCTTGCAGATCTCAGCTTTTGGGTATGGTTCAACCATCCCTTTCCGTAGACTGGCCGAGTTAAGTTCCAGAATGCCACCATATCCAGCAACAAAGTCCAGGTTTCTCAAGATCTTTTCCCAGACATTGGGCCAATGCTTAAAACTCCTATCCGGGCTCTCACTCATCAACCTAATAAGGTCAAAATGTCCAACAACAGGAGGTTTTAATTCCATCAGCATTTTGTATTGGCTATCGAAGTAGTCTCCAAATATCTTCTCATCCGTTCCGCCGGATATCTCCCTAGCGCGGATGTAGAAATCCCTATCGTAATCAATAGGAATGGTGTGAACATGATGAACGGAACCGATAAAGAAGTCGAAGGGGTACTTGTCCAAAGACTGTTTAATCAAGTCCAAGGACGAAGGACGAATCCAGTCACACTCGAACCCAATTGGAAGGTTGATCTGAGACTGGTACTTTTCTCGAAGACGAGTGGCCTCTTTAAAGTAGGCAGCTTCAACTTCCAACATAGTTTCAAGTGTGTTTGTCCCGACCTGGAAATCGATTAGACATTTCGAAATATTCTCGCAAGCTCAAGCGTTGAGATCATGCAAGCGACAAAAGCGACATATACAGGGGCCACACGCACTTCTTCCGGGTAGAGATCCTCAGTATGTCGAGGCATATGCTCTGTAAGGCAGAATATACGCATGTCCTTTTGAATTGCTGCTTGAATTACTTCTTCCAGCAAGTCTTTCGCATGGCCGGGGCAGAACTGCCCGGAATGACTATGGTGAGAAAAAGGCATATTGATGTGTCGTCAATATACCCAGAAGAGACAACCAAATCTTACACTGATATTAAGATCAGTAAGTCGAACAATGTGCAAAGGCAGACAATGTAATGGCCAACCTAGACGATGTTTTAGTTGCTGTCCACCAATGCGAAAGAAACACAAGCGCATCCTATTTAGAACAAACAGCAGGAAGGCTTGTTGAACAGTGATGGCGTGAATGGGCCTGGGAAGACCGCGTATTACCAGCAGGTTCGACTCACCACACAACTTGTCACCGCAAATGAAAACTTGACAAGACTTCCTCCTGAGATTCTGCTATTAGTGGTGATGTTAAGTTCCACAGGCTTGAATCTTGCGATAGAAGCCTATTAATTACCAAAAAAAAACATGCACCTTTAGCTGCTCCTTGTGGTGGGGTTGTTCGTGGTTGAAATAACAGTTGCAGAAACTCAAAATTCTGCGAAGAGGAGAAAAACAGGACTCGGTTAGATCACAGTCAATAATCCATATATAAAGACTTCTACAATTCCAGGTCCATCTTCTTTGCGCCATTATTATAAACAGTTGTATTGACAGCAATGGCCAGTGATCACAACGATCAACACAGCGCTTCTCTACAGGGACCAGGGGCCTCCGTCCGACCCACTAAGAACGACCACGCCGAGCTTATCGGCTCCTGATAAGCTCAAGTCTTGGACTTCCGCTGCCATTCCCTTGATGGGCCTCTTTTAGTGTAATGCGGGCTGAAGAATGCAGATATATCTCCCAAAGTCTCCTGATTGGGCGTAATCATAGTACCGAGGTACCTTTGTCAAGATGTGCATCACATGGCGCTCCTGCATCGCGGAAATCCTGAGGTCCTGTCCAAGGTCCAATGATTACGACGAGCTGTTGCATGTGGAATGTTCGACGGTACAACGGGATGGCCCACGATCAGTAACAAATAAGTCGCAAGACATTCAAGGTCCTACTGTCCCGGAAGAGGGAAAGCTTCAAAACACCAATTCCTATATATCTGCTTTGTAGCGGCATAATGTAGAAATTGAGACAGGAGCGGCGTAATTCTGGCATGGAGTTGGCCAGACATAATGAGCTTGAGGGATTGGCTGCTTTTTGATTCATCACATTCATAGCCCAGGCACCCAGTTTATTACCCGAGAGAGGGCTGGAGTGTCAAAGGCGTGCATGCACACAGCCTCCTCTTGAGCGATGGTGGTCTTAACTTTGATGAAAACAATGCTTTCATCGTCCTGGAGTTTTTTCATTCACTTGGAGACGCCGCGATGACCGTTGCAACAACATACTCTCCATCGTGGGAAATGGACAATTTGCCAATTCGGCCGACTTCTTCCCCGTTCCTTAAATACACCACCTCAGGTCTTCCGTTCCCCTTGGGCTCGTGTCTGACGATAACTTCTTTCCAACTAATGCTTGCAGCGCCGCCGGGTGCTGCCTTCCTTGCCGCTTCCTTAGCAGCAAAGCGACCGGCTAACCATCTCGCTATATCGTTGGCATTCGACGCATTGAGCAACTGTGATGACCGAGGTATCGTCTGGGAAAGGTGTGGTTGATATTGTGGAAATTTAGACAGAAAGTAGGCTTGTTCCTGCTCAGACAAAATGCGCCGTATAAACCGGTTGAAATAGTTGTGGGTGCCAGCGGATGAACGAGTGACCAAGCGAAAGATTCGAGGAATGTGCACTATATCAGTGCCGACATTCAGGCATAAAGGGAACGGAATGGCCTTCATTCGGTAATAGTAAGATAGAAATTCCAGGAAAAACTCGTACAAAAAGTCGAGCTTGTCGAGGCAGCGTGGAGTTACCAGGAGGCGCGTCGAAATCCCTTGAATGATGATATAAGCAGGGGTCTTGGCCAAGACCCCTGGAGATATCGACTTTTCGAAGCGCGACTTTTCTCAAGTCCTCAATAAACAAAGCGGATGAACAACTAGCGAATAAGGTTAGCCACATGGCCACATGCCTCTCTACCTTTGCCTAAGGCACGACCTTCCCTTTTGTGAGGCCTCACTAGTTCGTCCTCCCTGCGCAGTGGAGCGTCCTAAACGGCAGTCCTGTTCCAAGGAGGTGCATGGTGTACGTACGGAGTACTTTTATTATAGTATGAAGTAGCGATTTGTGTGATGCGTTTCCTCCGCATATCACTGGGTCCAGAGTCGTGTGTTTGAACCCGTCAGCAGCCAAAAGAAAGATTCCTTTCTCTTGCTATCTTTTTCTTTCCGCTGGTGCCCTAGTTTTGCTGCTAGGAGAAGCTGTTGCGATTCAATCCTCGTGTTTTCTTCCATTACCGTGGCCACGTTTGAGTTTTCGATCTCTCTAGGCTACAGAATACGCAATCGGATTACCGAAGCTCATAAAAGCTGAGCTGCTCGGACCTGGGAATACTTGATGTCTAACCGCGGAGTATTTCCCTTCATATTAGATTCTCTTCTATATACGAAGTCACATCATACACACGTAATGCGGAGGTGTGCTTCTGTAGCAGCTTTGTCCCAGCCTGCACATCTGCTTCACTTTCTTACTTTCAATATTCGATATGCAACTTGACGAGAGTTCTCGGCACTTTCATGAATTTTGAAAGGAGCTATGGCTCTTGAGCTATGATGGTATTCAATCACATAATATATCTATATACATTCTCCTTATAAGTGATAGATTGGCACCACTCCACACAATCCGAATTGACTCGCTCTTCGGCCCGAGTGCGGTTCCCAAACTTAGTATGACACCCGCTCGGTAATCGGCATCTCTCCGCGGCCATCTGGTGCTGCTGTTTTCGTCGCCGACGCGGGGAAGGAATTCAATAGAGACATCCTTATAAATGTCAAGAATCCTGTCGCTAGTTCAGTTGTAATGTTTCTTCTTTTGAAAGTATCCATTTCCTGTTCGGTTCAAGCATCCTCACCATAAATAGTTCCCGAAAGCTTGTCGCTAGGGTCCGAAAGGATATTTTGTACGGAAGACACAATTTCACAATGCGCTCGATAACTTGTCAAGGTACTCCGTCTGAGGTACATCAGTCCTAGTGGCTTTTCCCCCAAAAACCCATAGCTCATGAAGACTCGGACTAGATCGGCCTGCAACATGGCCAACAAGCCAAGTCCGAAATCCAGGGCAGTATAGAGTTCTACAATGATCTCTTTAAAAAGAAATGCTCTATGGATTGGCAGGGGGTGTGTCGAACGGCAGCAAAATTCATCCCGTTGCTAGAAGCTTCGTTTCCGGAGTATTTACAAGAGATAAAAGGTGAGAAGGGAGAAACCTCCTTTCCAAGGTCTTTCTCGTGCTACAAAGTCCTAATAAACTTCAATAGGTATTGCACAGGGGGCTGATGTGGATATGGAAACCATCCTCGCTCTTAATGTCCGAACAGAGCTAGCATACGGAATGTTCAGTGACGGATGCACGGCGTTCTCTTGGAAATCGAAGACAGAAAGCTTTCTAGGCCAAAACTGGGATGTAAGCTCGCCCTTTTTCTCAACGACGCGTCGCAAAAAGTGTACGAAGACAGGAACTAATGTCCGCAAAAGTGGGATAAAGCGCAATCCCCGAACCTGGTCTCGATGCATATCCGCCCTTCTCAACCTTCCAAGCCTTCAATCCACATGATCACCGAGGCTGGAATCATTGGCAAAATTGGCTTAAACTCCTGCGGTGTAGGCGTCACACTAAATGCCATCAAATGCGCCGGAGTCGATTTCAATAAGATTCCATGTCACCTCGCCCTCCGCACGGTGCTCAACAGCAGCTCGCGTGCTGAGGCCGTTGAGAAACTTGAGAAGCTTGGCGTGGCGTCTGCATGCCATATTCTCGTCGCAGATCACACAGGTGGAACTGGACTAGAATGCTCAGCCTACGACATTGTACGGCTGAACATGGGCGATGAAGGAGAACCATGCCCTGGCGTTATCACCCATTCCAATCATTTTGTGCGTGAGCACAATAACGTCAATCCAATATTATATTTAGCGGACAGTGAGCCTCGATTGCGTCGGGTTAGAGAATTGACAGGCGCGGCCGGGTCGCGGCCAGGGTTTGACGCCATGAATAGGATTTTGGAGGACGAGAAGGGTTACCCAACCGGAATCTGTCGTGCACCCACAGAAAATAGCCAAATGGCGTCTCTTTTCAGTATAATCATGGATTTGAAGGGGAAAACAGCAGCGGTTAAAATCGGGAGGCCAGTTAGTCCGACCGGAAGCCTGGAGTTGCGACCATAAGAAGCGACAATTCATTTTCTTTTGTTAGTGTTTCCCCGGTTTCGTTGATATAACCCAAACTCCAAATTCGAGACGCCCAGATGATGATCTTGTTGCCAGTTTTCTTGTGTGGTCTTGTCTTTGTATATCTATGTCATATACCCTGGACTTTAGTTAGCAAATGCTCTGCGATAAAGCTTGGATATTGACCCTAACATGCATCTACATATGCAGGAAGAGGTATTCGCAACGCCCTTAAAGACGTAAAGTGGATTTGCTGCATTAGGGTATTCACAGTAAAAGCTCTGAGGTCTCTTGCAAAGAAGGTCCGCTCTCCTTAGTTTGTGTAGTGGTAAGTCGTACTCCATCCCACCCTTTTTGAAAAGCAGATAATTACCCAAAACAGTGTCATAACGAATCTATCATGCCATTTGGTGTCTATATTTCGAAATAATATCTGTACATATGAGGCACCTTCGGTTTAACCCTTGGCGAGACCCGGGCACACAAAGTTCCGCGGCATTTCTTCCCAAACGGCGGTATCAAGAGCATATCAAAGAGCTGGGGCTGCAAGCGTATACATTTTCGGGGTTGACGGTCACAAAAGTTCGATGATTACGCTTTCGCCTTCTTTTCCTCGGCTTCAACGTTTTTCAAGAATTCTCTGATGATAGAGAAGAAACAAAAGTTAGGCGCGGACAGTAATATGGGGTGGGGAGGTCCAATCGTTTTAACGAGGGAGGAGTAAACGCGTTCCGGCAACATACTGGATAAACTGCTCCTCATCCTTACTGCTAGCCTTGATTGGAGGGCCCTGTTCCTTCTTTTTGGAAGATGAAGGCATTGCGAGCCAAGCGCCGGCGAATGTTGTACCAAGAGTGGCCATTGCGAGCTGTTAATAAGTCATCAGCGGAATTTCTTAATCGTAACATCATCGACATATAGAATATATCTCCAGTGAAACAGCCGAATGGTATAGCACGGCCGTATGGGTCCGGGAATCGCAAGGGCACACATACAACGTGGGAGCCGACTTTGCGGCCGGCAACTTGATAGTAGACCACCATTGTGAGAAGGACTGGTAAGAAAGAAGGTTAAAAGCAGGGCAGAAGAAGGTCAAGGACCGAATTGATGTTCTGTCCGGTAGCAAATGCAGCTCACAATCCGTCGAGGAGTTCGCGTTGGATCGGTCCAGCGATAAACTGCGGTTTCCCAAAGACGTCGACGATTTGTGATAATCACGTGATACTACGATGTTTACATCAGCTGTGTCGAGGACCCGCTAGTCTATTTCAGGTTAGATCAGAGCAGAAAAACCGAAAATTGCCGATTGACCAATAGAAAGCAGCAAATTAGGTTGATTATATAATGCGGGGTGCCGGGTTGCTATGATTGGCTGAGCACCTTCGGCGCTGCGTGTGCTCCGTCGTCGCCTGTCCGCCATTTCTCCCGAAGCCCCAAGCCCGTGATGGAGCTCCAAGGGAGGCCCGGAATGAAACATTTACCCAGTGGGCTCTTCTGTGCCGTAGAGGAGGGCGGAGGCTTATGGCGATGGATACACGCGGATAAAGTAATAAAAGTTGTGCCCTCCATCAATGCGGGCGATGGTAGCTTTTTTCGTCCTCGAGCCTCCCCCTCGGATAGCTGGGTGGGCTGATGTCAACGGCCCGAAGAATAACAAGGAATCCTCTGAAGTAACGGAGGTCTAAGATCCAACAACAGTCGCGTGCTTCCTCACTTCGTCTCCCATCCACTACGTTTTGGTCTCACTAATTGTTTCTGACGTCTCTTCTCCCTTCGTCTATTACCCCAACGTCTGCGGAATTGATCGTTTCACCCTCCAGACTTGCTGAGCCATCCCTCACCATGTTTTGGGATCGCAAGAAGGACGAACAGGTTGACGACACTGTTGGGCGGCCCTCGCGGCGGCGCAAGTTGAATCCAGAATTGCAGAAGCTTATCAACCAAGAAGAAGAATTCCTCGATCAGCTTTATGACGGCCGGTATGGACAAGCTGTGATCTAAGCTCCCTCGCCGAGGCATGGCTCTTGCGCGCTTGCCTTGTAACGTCCTGTGGTTTTGAAAAGGGCATATCTGATCAGTCTCCGCCTGGCAGCTCTGCAGATTCCATCGAGACTCCTTATCGTTACGCTGCGTACGCCACACGCATCAAGACCCTTCTCCTTTCGGCACACCGTTATGTCGCCTACACATCCGACATCGGTGAATCCTTTCGGCCTGTAGCACACCCCTGGCTTGTACGAACTGCCTACGGTGTATCTTGGGCCTATATCTTTGGAGATGTTGCGAACGAAGGATACAAGGCGTATATGCGGAACCAACGTATCCTCATCCCCAAAGACGAGGCATACCGTTCCGCCGTCGCGACTCCCACTAGCCAAGACGTAGACTCACATGTCATTGCCAAGGAGGGTTTGCGGCAGCACGAAGCTTTAGTAAAGTACGGCAAAGTCACCTCCGATCCTCATTCAATTTCTTGGAATGATCCTGAGGAGGATACGTTGACGCCATGGCCGACGAAGAGGATTCCATTGAGTGAAGATTACAGATCGATTATGGCCGAAAGAGCGGTGTTTCAAGGCCTTGCTAGTATGGGCTTGCCGGCGTTTACCATCCATTCGGTTGTGAGATATTCTGGAAACGCGTTGAAGGGTGTAAAATCCGCGTTCTTGAGGACATGGGCTCCCATTGGGGTATGTTCAACCTCCCAATTACTTTGTGGATAGGTTTTAACTCTTGTGTTGCTAATAGCTCGGCTTATCCATCGTTCCCTTTCTACCATATGTCTTCGATAAGCCAGTTGAAGAAGCGGTCTCTTGGTCTTTCCGCAAAGCTTTCCTAGCCATCGGAGGCCCTGACGCAGTTCCCAAAAGTGAAATTGAAGATAGCTCTGTTTCCAGGGCCATTGAGACCTTTGAAGAGAGACGGCATCGCCGACGAGAAGAGCGAGAACGGAGACGTGCTGAAAGACAGGCTCTTCTCGAAAATACGAAAGAAGAATAAACTAGCCGAGTTTCTAAAGAACCCAAAAAGCACCTCTGAAAGTCAGTTTTTACTTTGTAACTAGCATTTTCTTTCCTTTTTTGTTGTGCACAGGCTAGGTGATCCTCACTTTTCCCTTTATTACATCATGGAGTCTTTGTTTATGGAGGACAAGTATTTTATATGCATCTTTGTCATGCCACTTTGTGGTATTTTGCTATGACTCTAAACCCTGCTCTTTTCTGAATACATGTACTAGTATATATAGCCTACATATCCAAGCGAGTGGAATTTACCGTTCTTGTGCGAATATGATGAAAGGTGTTGAAAACGGCATGTTCATGAACACATTGTATTCCTGGGTAGCTTATTCCGCCAATTTCCTGATGGTGTGCTAGATTTCTCCTATAATCATGCATTCAACTTACTGCCTTTAATGATAAATATCACAACTCCTATAACACTTTTTAAAAGCATTTAAACCAACATAAAAACATTATGCTACCTCGGGTTGTGCTCTTTCTCTTCTCAAACTACTGCCGCACCCTCAAAAATACAGGTTAATTCTATACAACTATCAGCTACAGTGCCTCACTCGATAGGGACCACAGAAGTCCATCGATAAGTACTAATGTCTCTCAGGCCCGATCGATCCCCAAACGAGGAAACCACAGAAGAGCAGGCCCTTATTAAGCCTGATGATGATACAAAGCCGGGGATCAAATTTAAGATCCGCGAAATTGAGACCGACATCGCTAAGCAGCAAGCACTATTGACTCAGATCCGCAAAAAACTTTCACATTCGGAGTCTAATATCGCTATGGAAATGGAGCGTCTTGAGCGAATGAGCGAGGGTGTTCGTCAAGCAACAGAGGATTTTGTAGCTATGCGACTGAGGTGCAGTGCATTTCGTGAAAGGCTTGGGTTGAGGGCGAGAACCAACCCAGAATTAGACAACAAGGGGGACAATAGAGGATCTTAGGAGGAATGATTATGGGGCCCTGAAGATCCAAAGGCAGGATAATAAGGTACAGAACACAGTGAAAGTAGGGACAAAATTGTTTTGGATGTATTCTATATTTATTCCGAGGTTCCAGAATTGCAAGCAAAAAAACTGCGAAGTGTGACTTGTGACACCCATGACTACATACAAAACTGACAACGCACAAGAGTAACATCTTTAGGCATGTTGATTCTTTGGAACTGTATGTTTTTCTTTTAACTCTTGTATTCATAAAACATCCACTCGACTCTGTGCAAATGTGTAAACACCAGAACAAACAATGAAATTGTATATAGATGATCCTCTTCTTTTGTTTCAAACTGAAAAACAGATAGGGTATCAAAGATCTTCAAAGCTCTCTAATGATAATTCACTCAGAAATGATTTTCGGCGCAAATCGCGGTCGAGGCTCGCGTCGACTTTTGAACGGCAACAAGGACGAAACTATCAGCGCAAAGAACATCGCAAAGTTCGGAAGTAGAGGCAGGTCTGATCAAAATACGACATGGCTCGTCAAATCGTAATCGTAGGGCATCGAAAATGTCGGCCCTTTGATTATAATGTGCTTTTTTCAGATGCAGTTGCTTCGAGTGAATGCATAAGGTTCGCCCGGAGTTTGGTGTTGACGACACCGCCGACACCATAAGCTGGCAGGATACGCCCTATTCTTGCAACACAGCTAGGAAACCAGTCCCGCTTCACACGTGCCCACCTATCAGCGGCAGGCAGCCCTCCAGAAGGCTGGCGATTATATAAATCCAATCCCAGAAGGTGGAGTGGGGTGCTGAATATTTGGACGGTGGCAGGGATCGTAAATTGGGCTAAGGATGTCTTTGATGATGGTGTTGAGGCGAGGAAGTTAGGAATATGCGGGGAGATCAGCTGCGGGACGTTGAAGGAAGCGAATATCGTTAGACTGTCACGAAGACCGAACAAGCCGAGGGAGATTTTTGGGATTTTCGGCGCTGCTGCCATTTTTTTCATTGATTGGCACGCCATCTGAGCGCCCCTAGATGCTGTGGCTGATGATTGGGGTGAACCTTGAGTCTGCTGGCCTTGAGCTCCAAATAGCTTTGCAAATCGTGAATCCTTATATACGCAGATCGACATATTCACGAGTGCAGTTGAAAGGAATTTTGTAGGGCCAGCTGATACGTGACTAAATTCCTTATCGTTCGTGGTTGAAACAACAGTGTCAATGACATTGGCTGTCAGATAGGTGCAAGAATAGAGCGTGTAAATGAGTAGAAACGGCGTTGAGATGATGAAGTGGTGTGGACGGGTTATCATTCCTCGAAGAGAGGACGTCAAGCTCTCTCGAATAGCAAGACCCTTGGCGGCTTTCTCTATTATGGCACTATAGGTTCAAAAGATAGCAAAATGTCAGAAATGGTCCGATCGAGTAGCTTAGTTGGGATAAAAGTATGAGCAATACATACCGATCTATGATCGTAACAACGGGGCATATCAGAGCTGCAGCAGTCGTAGCACTGGCGGCATCTAAAGCTAATCTCATACCCAAGCTATTGGTATTCCATTTCTTTGCTGTCGAGGCCAGTGATTCTGGCACGACATGGCGGTGAGGTACATGGACCGGTGGTGGATGGACGTGAGGCTCAAGATAGCTCGAGCTGTTGTGTTTGATCACCATGTCTTTCGTTGGATGGGTAGAATCGACTGACACTCGGTCATCTTGCGACATTACCAATAGTTAACGAACGAAAGCTGGAAGAAGCGAAAGTCGGTGTGGATGGCCTGTCCAAGAGTATGCACAGAACAATTCACCACGAACAGTGAAGGTAGGGGGAAGAAAGAACGGAGTTGGTTATCATTAATAATATAGACAAGAGACGCTGCAGCAGTCGGATACATATAATATATATGCTCCGCAATGAATATCAAATCAACATCTAAGGAAAAATGAACGACAATTGCTTCGAAATTCTCCGACTCAACTCTTTTGACGGTGAGGCCAAATTCGAAACTGACATCATCCAGTTAAATTTTGCGGCTAAATTCAACTACCCACACGATTAGTCATGCGTGGCCTATGCAAACCAACAAACAACCACGTGCCCCAAATCTCTGCCGAAATCGGACCGGTGGCCTGCTTGGCAAGTACGCTGCGGATCATACCTGATATATTCCGACTCCCGCACAATTGGAAGGTTCCCGCTGCCCAGGCACTAGGGGCCGTTGGGAGCCCTCCCGTGCTCTGGTGGTGGTCTCTCTTTTCTTCTCCGCGCTCATCACCTCATGATTGTGTAGGTGGTGACCTCTTCCCGCACGGTGCTGTTGCAACAGCGTCTTGCTACTACCCTGATGCAAGATGGCTGCAGGAGAATTTAAAATTCGTTCGTGGCGGGGTTAGATACACGATGTTTCGCTCCATGTTCTTTCAGCTCCTCCGCATGGGAGTACAGAGACAGGCATCAGGCCTTAGTTCTCACCTGGCGTCTGACACTTGAACGTCTCATTGTACTAGCCTTATGTTATGATAACGAGTCCTTCGTTTCCCTTCGTACGGCTATTACCATTTCGACCCTCGATCTAAGCAAATGGGAATTCAATGTAGCCTTCTACTCATTGTTGGAGACTAAACTCGCGAGTGACCCCACCAAGTCCCTCTGAGCTTGCTACAACCAGAATGTACATCCAAGGATTTCTGCGAAGTATCCACTACCCCATGGCACTGGCCGTTTTGATTCCTCCTGCAAGATGCCGCGGCAAATTCGCTGGCAGGTTTGGGAACCCAAAGTTGCTGGAACGATCTTCAGAATCTGGGAAGTTAATGGCCAAACTCTCGGCTGAATGCTTGTCTGAATACCCCGTACGAAAGCAGAGCCAAAATCGCGCTTGGTAACACCTCCCCAGTTCTGATTGGTGATGGACCCAGTGATCTACACTCACACCCAGCGTCACCGGGATTGTATCTCCTAGGTTGGCGGAGAAGTTCTGGGGTAATTCAACTAAAGCACAGCTTGATTTGCTTTGTCTCCCAAATGATAGCCTCCGTGCTTTTTCGGCCAGATATTGGGGAGTCTGTTAAGGGTCGACCGTCCTTGCGTAGGAAACCCGGCTGTTGCTTTTTGCCGAAATATTTATACAGCCGCAGCTCCCAATTCCCAAGGTAGCCTGTTATTATTCTTGCAGGCCTTCTGTCAAATCTCAGCTGTATCTCTATCAGCAATGGCTTCACCCTCCAATTTGTCCCCCGAATTGAAGGGGGACGATCATCAGATAGAAAGCCCACCAAATGAAAAGTGCCATAACAGCCTGACAACGGTGACGGACGAACCCAAGATCGAAGACGTTGAGGGGATCCGGAGAACCGTGGAATCTTACACCCCCGAGGAAGCAAAGCGAATCCTTCGAAAGGTTGACTATCGATTGGTTCCACTGCTGGCAGTGCTCTATCTCCTGGCTTTCATTGATAGAGGGAACAGTGAGTATATGACACTGATGATGCCACATATTTTTCAATGAGGTTACCCAAGAAGTTACCAATTTCTGCTAGCTTTGTTGTCGGCTTTATAATAAGATGCTTACTTCCTTCCAGTTGCCAATGCTAAGATTGCGGGGATGGAGAAGGATCTCAACCTTCATGGCTCGCAATATAACATTGCTTTGACCCTGTTTTTTGTGCCTTACGGTCTCTTCGAAGTTCCGAGCAATATCGTCCTTAAGATGCTACGACCTTCTGTGTGGATTTCAATTATGATGTTTTCATGGGGAACTGTGATGACGTTCGAATCCCTATCTCCTTGCGGTCATTTAAAGAAGCTAATATTAGGTCTAGTTTAATGGGTGTCATATCCAACTACAAAGGTCTCCTTGCAACGCGCTGGTTCCTGGGAGTTACTGAAGTGCGTACATTGCCTCTGGATCCGCCTTCCCAATTCTATTCTATCTAACCCGAGAACACGTATAGTCGGGGTTCTTCCCAGCGGCAACATATTTGTTGACGATCTGGTACAAGCGCTATGAGGTTCAACAGCGAATGGCAGTTTTCTATGCTGCAGCATCACTTTCCGGTGCGTTTTCAGGACTTCTAGCGTTTGCTATCGAGAAAATGAATGGAGTCGGTAACTACGCTGGTTGGCGATGGTTAGTACTAACTTAACCCGATAATACGTATTGGATTTGGGAGCTGAGGGATTTTTTGCAATAGGATTTTTATCATTGAGGGTCTTCTTCCTGTGGTTCTTGCAGCAGTTGTGTGGAAAATCCTTCCGGATAGTCCAGAGCAGGCCCGATTCTTGACAAAGGCCGAAAGAGAGTTTATTGTTAACCGGCTCGCTCTTGAAACCGGCTCCGGACATGGAAAGGTTACAAACTCTGACAAGATACAACTCCATCACATTGTTGCTGCGTTTAAGGAATGGAAAATTTGGGGTGCCATCATTCTCTTCTGGGCCAATACTATTGGTGTTTATGGGTTAGTATTCTAGGCCCTACATCAACAGATATATACGCTAACGTTATATAAACGACACCAGTTTCACGGCAACTGTTCCTACGGTGATCGCTGACCTGGGCTACACAGCAGCACATGCGCAGCTTCTCACTATTCCTATCTATGTGGTCGCTATGATAGTCACCCTGGTATTTGCGTTTGTCTCAGATCGCTACCAACAGCGGACTCCATTCATCATTGCTGGCTACGTTATTGCCGTCTTGGGTTTTACCTCCCAGCTTGCCATACCGCATCCTGAGTATCCCGGACTGACATACGGCATGCTCTTCCTCGTTGCTGCTGGACTTTATGCGCCTTTCATTTCCATTGTCTGTCTAATTGGTAATAATCTCGCCCCTTCTTCAAAGCGCGCTGTTGGAATGGCGTTGCTAATCTCCATCGGAAACTGGGGCGGCATCGCTGGGTCGAATATCTACCGGGAGAATGAGAAACCAAAATATCCAACTGGTTTTGGAGTGTCTCTTGCCATGGCAGTCATTGCAATTATTACAGCATTCGTACTAAGGGTAGCGTATCGGAGAGTTAATAGGCAGCGTGATCTGTTGTTGGAACAAGAAGGAGAAGAAGCAATCAGGGCACGGTATACCGATCAAGAATTGTTGGATATGGGTGATATGAGCCCGTTCTTTAGATATACACTGTGACAACTATGTGCCACTTGGCATATTTGTCTCCTTTGGCAAGAGACATCCTACATATATGGATGACGAAACAAGTAAATGATATTAATCACATCTGCATGTTTGAAACGATATAGAAATCGAACTAATCCAATATATGTTGAGTTTTAAAAGACAAAAAGGGAGCTTTCAAGTTTCGAACGAACACCTCCCGAGCCTCATGTTCAGCAGGCTATACTTAGTAGGTCATGTTTTCAAATAACGATGCCATATCTGTTAGTTAATCACCCCGAGCCAGAATTCGGTCGTCGAGACTAGGAAGTTAACTAGCCCAGATCCAACCACTAGCTTATTTCCTTACCCTACCCCGAGCATCAACCTAGTAAAGGGCAATGATTGTTTTCTGTGTACGGAATCTAATACGGAAAAGGTTGTGGTCCCTGTCATATCATGAATTCCTATATGTATAACTAGAACCTTACAAAGTTGGGTTCCTAGCATGGCCTACATAGATATGGAATAGTTCTATTTGCATCACCTTTTCCTTTTATAAGTGAGGTATTGAGATTTTGAAGCAGAAGTTGATTCTCTTTTTGAAAAAAATGGCCAACACACATCATAAACGCCTTGTCGCCTGTAGAATCAAAGACACCAAAAGTATCACATCATCATAGATCCGAGCCGGTTATAAAAGCCAACAGCATGGAAACAATAATTAGACAACAAAATTATCATGCTGTGCCAATTGTATTTTGGGCCTCAGAAGCTGCGGCTTCAGGCTGGTTTACAGACTGAAAACCATCAACGGTAACGCTAACAGCACCTGCTTGAACAAGCTATATATATGAACACAGGTTAGCTGGAGTCACGATAACAATAATAGAAGCTTTGAAACCAGGCAGGGATGTGCCACTCACTGCTCTTCTAAGGTCATCAATCAAGTCATCCACATCCTCAATACCCACACACAATCGAATCAGGTCCTCAGGCATTGCCCTCTCCTGTCTTGTTTTTGCATCTATACTTGCATGGCTCATGCGGCATGGCATACTGATTAAGCTGTTCACACATCCAAAGCTGACACTGATTGCCCACAGTTTGGCGCTTTCCACAATCCGTTCGCTCATCGCGACGTCTCCTGTCTCAAATGAAAGAACAGCGCCAGCCCCTCGGGCCATGGATCTGTGTAAATCATATTGTGGATGTGACTTGAGACCAGGGTATCTCACGCGGAAGCCATGTGATTCTAGGAATTCTGCGATCTGTTGGGCGTTGGACTGTTGCTGTTCCATCCGAACCTTCAGGGTTTTCACTCCGCGAAGTAGCAACCAAGAATCAAATGGCGATAACCCACATCCGGATGCATTGATAGGGAAGTAGAGTTTCTCTCCGAGTGATAAGTTGTTTACAGCGATCACACCAGCCATCAAGTCGTGGTGTCCTGAAAGGTACTTTGTACCACTCTCGTAAACGATATCGGCTCCAAGATCTAGCGGATTGAGGAGTAAAGGAGAAAGCATGGTATTATCAACCGCAACCAAGGCGTTAGGGTTCGCTTCGTGTGTCATGGTAGCAATTCGGGCAATATCAACAATCTTAATGAGAGGGTTCGTCGGTGTTTCGAGTAAAACCATAGCTGTATTTGGACCAAGTACTTCTCCCACTTTTTCCGGTGTCGTCGTATCAACGTGATGCACTATGATTCCGCCGTGGGTCGACAAATACTTCAATAGACGGTGTGTGCCTCCATATAAGTCGTCACCTGTGATGACCTCGTCTCCAGGTTTGAGTAAGCGGGTGATAACATCCAATGCTGCCATCCCTGACGAAACCACAAGCGCTCGCTGAGCAGACATGATCTTCGCCAAGTGCCGCTCGAGGTGCGTTCTGGTAGGGTTCCCCGACCGCGTGTAGTCATATTCACCGCCGCCACCACCAGAGTTCTGCTTAAAGGTCGCGCTCTACCAAGTACAGAAACAAATCAGTCCTCTGTCCGCAAAATAATACGGGGTTCGTCTCACCTGATATATCGGCATGCTGCTTGCTTTGTACTGATCATTTCCCTCTGTGTAAACTAGCTCCGTCGCAAGCGCGTACCGCCTTCCCGTCCGTGGGCTTGATGGTGCAGGAGACGGAGGAAGATTATGCCCAGCCAAATCGACTTTTGAAAATGCTTTTCGTACAGCACTCACATTCTCCGCAGGAGAATTACCACTGTTGGCGCCGGAGAATGCTTCGGAATCGGACATGGCTAACCTCACCGAGCGGAGCCTGTGGTGTGTAGCTCAGCAGAGAGAGTAATGATTGATGATAACTTAGATACGTCGTTAGTGTCGCAATGTAACTCTCCAAAAGGCTTTGGATAGTCAAT